AGACTACCTTTTTTTTAACGTTGGTAAATGCATTAACGCACGAGGTGTGGGACTCACCGGCAAAACCAGACGGCAGACCACAACCACCATGGGGTTGCTCCAAGGTCCACTCTGCTATCAGAGAAGTACCAGGAGCAACCTCGCGTTAGACTACCTTTTTTTTTAACGTTGGGAAATGCATTTACGCACGACGTGTGGGACTCACCGGCGTAATACAGCCAGTACTACCCACTAAAACCCAACAAAACCTTCCCCCGTCTTAATGGGGCGTCGCAGGATCGCTTACGCATTCAACTACGACGCCCCGACGGCAGGTCTGCCGAAGCAGACCACCACAACCATGGGGTTTCTCCAAGGTCCACTCTGCTATCAGAGAAGTACCAGGAGCAACCCGCATGGTACACCGCCCCCCAAAGAGGGCCACCTCCCATCGCCCACCGAAGTGGGCAACCTCCCTGTGCGTTTCTTAGCTTCGCGCTCGGTTGGATTGCCGGGCACTACTGAGCCCCCCACCACGACAAGGTGAACGCACGTTGGGGGGGCGCGTTAGACTACCTGCCCTAACTTTTCTTAGCTATCTACTCTTCTAATTATAGGGGCGAACCGCGAACCCGAGCGGAGCGAAGGTGAGTTACTGGTTGTGATATAAATCCATTTGTTTGTTTGTCCTTCTTTCACGTCGAAACGGAGAGACGGATTGGCATGATTTTTTTTTTGTGGAGATAGTTGGAGGGCTAGAGAATGACATAGGCTACTTTTTACCGCGGGAGATTATCTCTTTCCCACGGGAAAATACGTTATAACACAATCCAAAAAAAATATTATCAGAATTACTTGAAACTTGGTATATATGCTGTTCAAAATTAAATAAATACGTGTCTTAGCTTTTTTAAAATTCATCCTTTATGGGGGTAAAATAGGAAATGAAAGTATGTATGAAACTACCTTTTTAGAGATTTTTTTTGTAGTTTTAGCGCGAGCGAAGCCGCGGGTTCTGCTAGTATTATATAACTTTAAATACATGCATATTATAAATATAAGCCACCCATGACTGGAGTACAAACATACATACGTGTTCATCACACAAATGAATGCCCCCAGCGGGACTCGAACCCGCGACCGTTGACACAGCAAGTAGGGTCACTACAAACTGAGCTAAACGTGTCGTCAACATTAGAGCATGCTTGCATTGAAAAGAGAATACACAACATGGCCATATCAACGCGTACCTCAAGCCGATGCTGCAACGAGATTTCATCAGTATGCTACCAAGTATGTCGTCGTTTCTAAGCATTAGCTTTATTTTTCCTCCTGACCAACTAGACTAGAAAACTCCTGATTAGCCAACTGCAGGAGATATTATAGTGCACAAGGGTCTTTCACATAAACCCCTATTTTTCTTCACCAGAGTAATGCCCGATTTCACCAATATCCCATAAGCTACCACCTACGTATGGGATCCCTAGCTTAAAAGTTTCCCTAAACTAGCCCTTAAATTAAATTTCGTTTTCCATCGTCAGAGCCCGTATTTCTAGTATCTATATTTAGTTGGCATTTTAACATTTAGGTGACCCCTAACTGGCGGTGATACAGAAACTGTCCCCTAACAGCCCCCTAACCATGCTTATGGGATCATTTAAACTTAGGTGACGTTGGTGAAATCAGTACAGACAGTCATTTGTGTCATGAGCACGAATCTTTGTACTTCAGTTATGGGTGTTTTTATAATATGTATGTATTTAAAGTTATATATGTGTAGTGTATCAACTATCCGGTATCCATAACACAAGCCTCGTAGCTTACCATGGAACTAGATGGTGCTGTGTGTTAATGTCCCGACATATTTATTTACAATGTCCCCATAAAAATCAAATTGTATAGGAATTAATTTTCAAACTCCACACATAATTTTAAAAACAAGTGATATATCATTATTATCAAAAGAACCTTGAAATTAAAAACATGATAAATGTAAATGCCGTTATTTCGATTCATGTCTGTTCTCAAATACCAATACTCTGTTAATATTGAGTTTCGAACAATATTTTTAACTAGCACTGCCCGCGGCTCCGCCCGCGATCAGATAACCAAAAACCAAATTCTTAGGTTTTACATATTAGTATACTCTTACAATGGAGTTTTTGAATTTTTTCTCAGAAATGAGATATTTTCCCGCGGTAAAAACTATTCTATATGTTGACCCGGATAACCAGCTATCACCATACTAAATTTCATCAAAATCGCTCCAGTGGTTTTTCTGTGATGCGGTAACAGACAGACAGACAAAAATTCTAAAAATTCTAGATTCGATCTCTGTATCGATAACAATGTTTATTTCAATAAGATTTTCCAGAAAATATTTAACGTACAGATTCGGCTTAGTTACAATTTTATTATATGTATAGATTTTATTATTTCTTATCTTACTTAGGCTTCATGCACCATAAATAAAATAAAGTAAATCAAATTTGTTCCACGTTATCAGCTCGTATCAGGCTTCGAAGGTTTTATTGAAAGAAAATGTAGAACAATCTCATATTTATTATTAAATACTAGCAACAATATCGCTTTAATTGACGTTTTAATTTTATTGAGCGGAACCCCAAATTTTTTTCTAAAGCAATAGTACCCTAAGTTACACCTTCTAACATCAGCTATCTGCCAGTGAAAGTCTCGTCAAAATCGGTCCAGCCGTTTCGGAGATTTGCCGGAACAAACAAACAGACAGACTGACAAAAATTTTAAAAAGTGTTTTTCTTATATGTACCATATATTATACTTTCATATGTATGCTTTTAATAAAAAGTTGTTATTTCGACATTACAAACAGACACTTCAATTTTATTTATCTATATAGATCATTTTTTTTGGATAAATAAATATTGTGTTATCTGTACAAATAAAATTAAAGGTTTTGTTGTATATTTGTCCTCTGTTTTCCTAAACCACCATACCATAGTGATAGGTCTTTGGCCATAAACAAAATGTTTAAAAAAAAATAAAAACTACTCTTCATTTTCATTTTTCACCAAGTAACTCTGTCTCACGTTATAATATATAAACATGTACACAAATCTATCCCACGGGAACAGTAGATTTAACGGGATAAAAAGTAGCCTATGTGTTATTCTGATATACGAGCTTTATTATTGTAAAGTTTTATTAGCACCCATTCAGTAGTTTTTGCATGAAAGAGTAACAGACAACCATACATACATCTACACATCCATACATCCTCACAAATTTTCGCATTTATATTATTAGTAGGATATACATATGTGCCAATTCATGAGACATTAAAAAAATATAAGTCAAAGCACACCAACTCTCGGTTACGGACAGACACACTGATGCTCATTATAAATTAAATTGACAATTAAAAAGTGCTTGTATAAGTGTAATTGAAAAAAGTTTGATTTCATTTATTTCCACTACTATATGATATGTATAATCTATACATATAATAAAATCCTAACTCAGTCAAATCTGTACATTAAATATTTTTTGGAAAATCTTATTGAAATAGTCATTATTATTGATACGGAAGCTGAATCTAAAATTATTTTGTTTGTCTGTCTGTCTGGCAATGCATCATGAGAAAACCACTGTATAGACTTTGATGAAATTCGGTATGATGATAGCTGTTTATCCTGGTCAACATATAGGATAATTTTTACTGTGGGTAACTATCTCATCTCTGAGAAATCTATACTAACCGTTTAAATGTATCTAGGGGTGAAGTGAACCCAAGCAGAGCGAGGGAGAGTCGCCAGTTGTGGTATAAATATATGTATTAATATTTAAATTAATTTAATACTTTTTTTTTAATGACAAGGAACTAAATTGGGTAACTTTAAATATCAAGCTGTCAAACTGCTCCTACATAAAAATACAGTATAATAATATTTAATTAAATAGATTATAATTAACAATCATACAGTATAATAAAATATTTCATATCCACACAAATAAATAAAATTGAAGTGTCCATTTTATAATGTCAAAATAACAGCTTTTTACTACATGTGTATAAAATTCTACAAGGTATTTATAAGAAAACATTTTTAATTCTTTTGTGTGTTGGTGTGTGTTTAATCCGGCAAATCTCTGAAACGACTAGACTGATTTTGACGGGACTTTCGCTGGCAGATAGCTCATGTTATAGGGAGTAACTTGGCTACTTTTATTTTAGAAAAAGAATTAGGGTTCCGTGAAAAAAAAAAACGTACCTAAGGACGCACCCGAGCGAAGCGACGCTAACTCGCTAGTATGCACTACAATAAAATCAAAATATGAAACTTGTTTAAACATCAGCAGTTGTCATGATAATAAAATTTTAAAAATTTGTTGTTTTATCAAAATCAAAACAACCATTTTCGGCACAGATATTTTAAATATGACGCTTACTACTTTAACAGTACTTGTCTGTCACGCTTTTAACGCCATATGCTTTTAAGGTGTTGCAAAACAACGATGACCTTGGCCTTGAAGAGGCGCGCCATCGTTTTTTCAACATATCACAAAGTTTGAAAACAAACATTAACTAATTTGTAATTCTAATTTAAATAAACACTCACGGAAGTTGCTTTTAAAATTAAAAATATACATTATACCTTACAAACGTGTTAGATGGCGATTTAATTATTACATCCATTAATTTATCAAAGCGCGTTTGCTTCTAAATAGCCTTGGACGACGAAAGTTGTTTACTTGGAGCGATTGCATAACGAGTCAATGAACTGTAAATACTATTTGTGACATATCTATAATAATTAATAATAATCAAAAGGGATTTAAAGTAAATGGCTACTGCGCAAAATAACTCTTACTTGACCTTGGGTGATCTAAAATGCCGCAGCCGGTGCGTAGTAAACAATAACGTATTATGTAAATATACAAGGGATGGGTTCTATTAACGCCATGGACGCTTTCCAGAACTTTCTAACGCCGGTTTGGATGTTGATTTTGTAATGTAGATGAAGTTAAGCCTTAAATCTTACCTTTCTTAGGCAGCCCTCTGCCATGTCCGTTTCTTGGTCGGCGGCTGTTTTTCCAACTACGATATTTCGGGAGCGGTGTCGTTACCGGGGTAGCGCCATCCTTGCTATTGCTACGATTGATTTTTTTATTTTTACGACGCAGTTTCTCCGGGTGGGATGTTGCGGCGTCACCGGCTCCCTTGTCCGCGATGGGCTTTTCGATTTCACCCGCCGCCACGTTTCCCGAATCGGATGCGACGCGGTCAACCTCCATACTCCCTATGATAACCGGCTTCAGTTGGGAATTTGGATAAAGTTTAATACGTTTTTAAGTTTAATGCGAATCTACTAGGATTCCACTAGGAAATAGGCTCTGGTAGTCGCGATTGGAAGTCATAAACAATACGCACGTATTTATGTATACTTGTATAGCATGCACTCTGCGTATTTGTTTTGAGTCTTGAAAGCACATTGACGTGAAGTTAGCAAAATAACACAGAAAATGGTGTCAAGTGTGCCAACAAAAGTTTTAGGTTAGTTCAGTGCTGCCTATTTAAAAAATTAAACAAACGTAAAATAACTTATTTATTTTTTACGTATTTAAATATAAAAAAATGGATGATATATTTTTTTGTACTGTTTAATATATAAATATAGTGTATATTGTGTAATAATTAAAACTATAAATTGAATAATTTAATGTTAATCATGGCACTGGGCAATACTGACTACTGAAGAACAGTTCTAACAACATACCAATTTGCAGATTTGAAAAAATGTTTTTGTATTGAATACTTTGTTAGATTAATAGCTAGTTTAAATTTTATTGTAAAATCCGTACAAGTGTATATATTATATTTTTATATACTAATTTCTAACTAGCGATTGCAACAAAATAAATATTTTATTTATCCATATTTTTTACCTTCACATCTTAATTTGACAATCGTAGCATTAAATTTTTTAAGCTGTGTAAATTTGTAAATAATATTTTTAAATGATAAATATTAAATTTCAAAAATCTATTAAGATTGACCATAGAGTATATTGCTACAAGTTTGACTAATCGCGAATCGTGAGACTGAGAATTGAGAAATAAACACGAAGTGTAAAAATGAAGAATCAGCTAGAGAACGATTTTATTTCAAAATTTGACTTATTAAACTCGCAGGAGAACTCCGAAGAAATAATTTGGAGTAGCGACTCTAGCGATTGTGAAGTTAATTCAAAAATCGGAAATATAAAACCAGACAGAGTTATAAGTTATAATAATAAAAGAAAACGTGTAAGTAATAAAAGAAAAGTTCCTAAAAACTTTTCTAATCTTGACATAACCTTTAGTGACGGTAATGAGTTAGAAAGAAACAATAAAAATATTGTCAATAAATCGTCAAATTATTTAAAAAATAAATCACCAAAAATCGATTTATCGCCAGTTTTGACGAGCTCCCAACGACATTTTGTACCATATAAATCGAAGAATATTGATAGATCACCAATTATATTAAATAGAAGCAGAAGTAGCAATTTAAAAGAAAACAAGTCAGCCAGCCCTATCCTTCAATTCAAACATATTTCTCCCATAAATTCACCAAAAGTGAGGAAAAAGTTGTTTAATATGAATTGTAACAATGTAACAGAGCATACAATAAACAAAACATACAGGAGCAAATCACCTGTCTTAACATGTACTCAAACAATATCTCCGAAGTCCATATCTTCTAATACAAATTCAAGTTATAGTAGAACATTGGAAAAAGAAATAAAACACGTCCAAAATAATATGTCAAGTAGCAAATTAATAAAAGATGCGCCAAAGCCAAGTAAATGTCTCGACAACTTTAATATATCAGATGAAATAAATAAAGAAGATGTTCTAACAATAAAAACAAGTTTTCCATTAATAGAAAAAGTAAAATCATATTTTGAGAGCCATTTTAGTTCACATACAACATCCCAGAGTGTCTCGATAAGTGAATGTGAGACTGAAAAAAATAGTTCAAAAAGTAATGATGATATAGAAATTATTAATTCTCTGCCTGAGAAGGCTGTATCGAATGTTATTAATTTAGAAAATAAAACTTCATCAGATAGTTGGCGAAGTTTTGAAGAAAATATGCAAAGGACAAAGAAAGTGAAGTATAAAAAGGATGGTTTGTCGTACCGACTTAGCGCACTTGTGAAAAAGCAGAATGCTAGCACTTCTCTGTGGCTTCATGAGAGATATTTGGCTGCAAATTCAAATTTTGTGTTGCCGACAGAAGAATTTGTAGTGTTTAGAATTCAAAACATAGTTTTTAAATTTGGTACCTTTTTAATTAAAGTTTTAAATAACAAAGATGAAAAATATTTGGTTTTATTAAATATTATGCAAGTACACAATAATAATATGGAAAGAGATGCAATTTTAAAAGTATATAAGCCTTTTAAAATAATGAATTATAGAGGCTGTAAATTAATTATTAATGTGTATAAATATGAATGTAGACTATTAAAAAAATAAGTTTTATATATTTATTATTAATAAATCATATTTTTATATACTTTTAATTTTATTTTTTCCTTTCATCCCTAGATACATTTTAACGGTTAGTATAGACATCTCAGAGATGAGATATTTTCCCGCAGTAAAAAGTATCCTATATGTTGACCTGGATAACCAGCTATCGTCATACCGAATTTTATCAAAATCTGTCAAGTGGTTTTCCGTGATGCGGTCACCGATAGATAAACAGACAAAAATTCTAAAAACTAGATTCGGCCTCTGTATCTATAATAATGACAATTTCAATAAGGGGCAAAAATCTACTTTAAAGTTGTTACTGTAAGGTTGATTTTTGCCTCTTCGGCTTGTGCAAATCGGCAGATAATTCAATTGCACACCTTTCAGGATGTAATTAGACCACCATACCTTAATCTGACGGTTTCAAGTATGTCTACCTTATGAAAATATTTTTTAAATATTTTGATCGGCTGCCCTAGACGTGCGCCCTTATATATAGGACTTATATTATAGTGGAGGTACTCAACAGAGTTCCCCTACTTGGTGATATAGAAAAAAAATGTTTTTGTAGTTTGTATCAAAATTACATAACTAAGTACACACAAAAACATGCTTTTTGTGAATGAAATCTGTGTCAGGGACGAATATCGATCAAAAAAGTACTAGATATAGGGAAAATGCGTGTAATACGATCCCTCGAGGTAAAATGATTCCCCACCGTATACGAATAACTACTATTATAAATTAGAAATATTATTTTTTCTTGTTACAGATTGTTGTTATAATGTAAATAGTATATTCCAAAAAGGTTTTCAGTAAATTAAAAATGACCTCGTATATGTATGTATGTTCGTAAAGGTCAAATTTTACATTTGACCTTCATTTGAACATTAAATTTGACCCACTTTCCGGTGTTCGATTGAGCTGATATTTTGCATACTTATGTTAGTCCGTTCACAGTGCAATATTATGATACCATTGAGCTGATCTGATGGTGGAGCCAGGGTATAGAGAATGGAACTACTTGATGGCATATGGTAGAACAGTTGAATTTGGGTTAGTATTTTTTTATCATGAGTAATTTCCATTACATATGATGACGAGGGTCTGAAGATGAAGCTAAAAAATCGCCACTGGAACTCCGCTTTTATATCATATTAATTGAGTAATGTAATAAATTGATGGTTTGATTTGTTTTAAAGTTTATTTTGTTCTTTTTAGAGCATTTAAATTAAAGCTTATTTTTTAAAAAAAATTTACTTTGAATAATCATTTTTATAGATCATGCCGCGAGTTTACAAACGTAAACCCATTCGCCAAAATTGGCCTGAGGAACAGTCTTTATTGTTTTTTTAATTATGAAGAAGAGTTTATTTGTTTATTTATATTTTGTTAGTTATGTAAACCTTAAAACGTTTGTTACAATTATTTAACGTTTAATTTTGTTGATTTAGTAGTCAAAAAATGATCTTCAATGTAACTCAAGACTTAAAATGTTATGTAAAACACGCTTAAATATTTTTGTTGCTTTAAGCAATACATATGATTAAAATAAACAGCTGGGTATTTTTTTTGTTAATATTAAATATTGTAAGGTATAAAATCATTTTAACCCTTCCCAGGGATCGTTTTATACACGTGTATGTATAAAACGATCCCTTACTAAACTTTTTTTAAAATGACGAAATTAATTAACCACATACAAATCATCACAAATAAGTATGCAATTACAAAGATAAGTAAATTTATTTTTCCTGACTATTTAAATCTTGTGTTTTTGTCTAAAACTTTGAAACACAGTAAAGATTTTCCCTTAAGGGGATCATTTTACACGCATCTCCCCTACAATCCCATGCAAAAGTTCTAAAAAACTGTCAACAATTGTGTTTAGGTAATTGTTCTAGTTGAAATAAATATAAAACAATGTAAATTAAACCTTAAATGTAAGGCTAAAGTTGCTTTCACAAAAAAAGCGCGTTCAAATGTTCAATTGACCGCTCATTCGGTGAGGACATTTTTTGTCGCTGATTGTGTATCTAGCAGTACTTTTATGATCGATGAGGGTGAGGATCATTTACTTTTATTTCAGACCTTATCCTTATAGGTTCTATTATAAAAAATAAAATTAAGTCGGTTTTATTTTTCTATTATTAAAAAAATCTATTATATGTAGCAATGTAGGTATATAACAAAACTACATAGTTTTTGCCCGGAGATTCACTCGCGCCATGATTGATTTTTAAACTAAGTATTTAATTCTTTTCATCCCTTGAAGGGTTTTTTTCGAAAAAGCACGAAACACGTGTTTATTTGTTTATCGACGGGAGTAATCCTACGAATTTTCAAATTGATACATCTCTTTTATATGATTCATTTTTGATTGATTTTATATAAAAATCTGTTCTTAGCTATAGCTGGGCTATAGGCTTGGAATGCCTATTAGACCAGGGTCGATAATTTTCGAAACCAAAAAAAAAGCCCATTGAAAAAGGAAGAGAATACAACAAAAATGAAAGGAAAAATAATTTACTGGCGATCTGAAGTCGGGAAGTGGGAGGGGGTGAGTTTTTAAGAACTGCAAGTTTTATGAAAAAAAAATTAAAAGGCAAAGTTGTAGGTAATAAAAAGATCTACAACTTTTGTATTTACACTTTTTTCACATAACCTCAAAATTTATGTAAAAAATTCAAATAAAGAAGTTTTTGGTTTTTTTTTTATTTTTATCTTTTACAAAAAAAAACTTTTCACGAAATTTGGTGAAAACTTACCTTTTTATGTCCCAAACATACTGAATTTTTTTTGATTTAAAATATTTATTTTTTCACTTTATTTTGACTTAATATCGAAAAAGCAACCTAATTTTTAAACGAAAATTCTCGCGTCAAAATATCTGCTTTTAAAAAAGTCTGTAGGCTTTTTGTTCGTTGAAATCTCTAATTTTTGATGATGTAAAAAAAAATATACATTACTATAGTAAATTTTCTCAGAAAATGCAATTAATAAATTTAATATTTAATAAAACATCTACAATATTTTGAGAGTTGTATGTAGAATCTTCTTTAAATTACATGCGTAGATGCCTATTTATTGCTATTTTAAGATAACTTATATACCTAAGTGACCTACGGAAAATTTTAGCCCATCTAAAGGTATTTCATAAAGAAGTGGGGAAGGGGTTGGGAGGGTCTGCCCTATACTTTTTGCATTGTCTGTATTCTTATTGCATTATTATATTCTCTTCCTTTTCCAATAGATTTCATCCTACTATTATTTTTTTCCACTTTTTACCATTTTCAAAGGCTTCAGCCCTCACGTATAACTATCGTGTATCAAGCAACCCAATTCGTTCAGAAGTTTGAGCGTTTTCTTTTAATATACATATAAAAAACAATAATATTTATAATAATCGCATATATATTTTTGATGTGAAACATCTATGGCGCGTCGAGGCAGTGAAACCGACTCCTATGGCGTGACGGCAAACGGCGTGACGCTTCTACGTAACCGCTATCGACTCCTTTGTGTACGCACGCGTATACTATTCACGCTCCATTGTAACAACTCTCTTTTAAAAATACTTTCAAATTTTCTATTCTATTTTTTAAATATATATATTCTGTAATTATTATTATAATTAAAATAATTAAAAAAAATGGTTTCATTAATGAAACTCTATTTTTTCTTTATTTTACTCCATATTTCGTTATAGGTTCTTATTAATATTATGAATAAATCCACACCTAATGGGCGTCCCGTGACGGCCATCTTTTTTCATTTAATTCTTGTAAAAAACACGTATAAAAAATACAAAGTTTCCCTAAAATCATTGGAGCGAAAGCTCGCCGCACTGGCAACACCACTGAAAATCTTTCAGAACCTAATCATTCTCGGAGCTTTTAGTCAATATTTTTTACAGGCGAAAGACAACGCACTGGCCCTGTTTTTCTTAAATCATTTACAAAATTAATTATTTTATTATATTATTGTAAGTTTTATAATATAAATACTGAAAGTTTTACGCCATTTTTTTCTGGAAAGCAGTTATTGATCGGCTCTCACCTATAAGGTAAGCTTATAATCTATTTATACGTTCCTTTGATACCGTCGTATTTTGTTATTTAGTTATAAGAAATAACATTTTTTTATATCCATACAGACAAATAAAATTGAAGTGTCTGTTTGTAATGTCGAAATAAAAGCTTTTTACTAAATGCATATGAAATTATATAGGTACGGTACTTATAAGAAAAACACATTTTTTTTATTTTTGTCTATCTGTCTCTCTGTTCTGGCTAATCTCATAAACGGCTGAACTGATTTAGACGGGGCTTTCACTGGCAGATGGCTGATGTTATAAGAAGTAACTAAGGCTACTTTAATTTTAGAAAAAGAATTAGGGTTTCGCTCATATAATTAAGATGTACCCAGGGACGTACCCGAGCGAAGCGGGGTGAAGACGTTAGTTTTTAATAAGCATCAAGCATTTGTTCATATGTAAAATGTTGGGTGAAATAAAGGATAAAGTCTTAGAATCTATTACTTTAAAAAAACTTAATAAATCAATAGATCATTTCGAATTTTTATTTACTGGAACTAGCATTGCCCAGCTTCAGATGACCAAAAAGCTTATCTTAGCTCGATTTAATTTTTACTTAAAGCACAAATGTTTTCATTAGGTAATATATTTTAAAACCATGCCTCGCATTTCTTAGCAATTAACGATACATGTAAGTAAGGAATCTTACTAATATTATAAATGTGAAAGTTTAGATGGATGTTTGCATGTTTGTTACTTAATCACGCCAGAACGGCTGAACAGATCTGGATGAAATTTGGCACAGAGATAGATTATAGTCTGGAATAGCACATAGGTTACTTATCCCGGAAATATGTACAGTTCCCGCGGGATAGACTTCTTTTTGTTTTTCGAAGCGAGAGTGAACCGTTAGTAAATAATAATCCCAATATCAAATCAAAATATACTTTATTTAAATAGACTTTTACAAGCACTTTTCAATTTGACATTTTAAATTTAAATTAAATGTCAGTAGGTATGTAAGTCCGTGAGGAAGCTACCATAGGCATGGAAGGCAGTTTTGCTGAGAAGAAAAAATATGAATCATAACACAAGTTAATTTACTTCTTTGAATGAAAAGAATTGCGTTACTAGCAATAAAGTATGTATGTATGTATGTATGTATGTAAATAACTGTAGATGAAGCCGTCTGCACTCTATCAAGATAATCGTTAAACTACGCTTTGTTTGTATTAAGGCCGGGTAAGAATAAGACACTAACGGTACACTCATTGAGACACTGTACACCGAGTGTCTCTGTGTGAACGCGAGTGTCTCTAATTGTAATTTTTTTTGTATGTATTGTATTGACAATACATATAATAACATACATACAGACAATACATACAAAAAAAATTACAATTAGAGACAGTGGGACGTTAAAAATGGCTGAATACAATTATTCAGCCATTTTTAACGTCCCACTGCTGGGCGTGGGCCTCCCTTCAATACAAGGGGGATCAGGCCATAGTCCACCACGCTGGCCAAGTGCGGTCGGACTGAGCATGTCTTTAGAAAATTTGCTAGATTCTCTCAGACTTGCAGCTTTCCTTCTACATAAGACAAGTAGTAATCACGTTGGAAATGATAAGACAGTGAAATTACCGTCAAAATCAGTCCAAACGTTTCAGAGATTAGCCGGAACAAATAGACAAACAGACAAAAATTAAAAAAAAAAAAGTGTTTTTCTTAAAGTACCGTATGCAGGTTTCCTCACGATGTTTTCCTTCACCGCAAGGCAAGTGGTAATCATGTTAGAAATGATTCACATATGAAAATATCAGAGTTGCGAGACCCGGGATTTGAAGCCGCTTCATTCGAGCTGCTAATCTCAAGCGAGAGTGTTATCACTGAGCTGCCACTATGAGATTTATTGCGACATCTAGGGGAGAGGGCAAGGGTGGCGTGTGTCGTTTGGTCACGCCCCCCTCTCGTTCTAATTTTATTGACTAGTTACTTACTAGGTACGTTTTAAATAGATATGAATACTTTTTGCGATTGTATCTTAGAAGAATTATTTATTGCCCGCAGCTCCGCCTGCGTTCAGATGACCAAAAACCAAATACTCTTACAATGCAGTTTTTGTATTTTTTCTTAGAAATGAGATATTTTCCCGTAGTAAAAAGTATCCTATATGTTGACTCGGATAACCAGCTATCATTATACCAAATTTCATAAAAACCTGTCCAGTGGCTTTCTCCTGATGCGGTAACAGACAGACAGACAGACAAAAATTCTAAAAACTATAGATTCGGCCTCTGTATCGATAATAATGTCTATTTAGCGATAAGATCGCCTTTTGTACATAGCTCTTTTATATTTTTCTTGTATTTTTTTTTCTTTTTGTCTCTTGTGGGTGTACAATAAAGAGTATTTATTATTATTTTTTTTAATTTTAAAATCTCTTTAATTACGAAGGTAATTTTTACTATACACGGGCCTGAGCCAAGTGTACAGTAACGGAGTGGGAAATGTAAAGGGGTAACTAGGATTGTGATTAAAAATTTCGTACTAATCGGCATGTGTTTAAGATTACTGCTTTCTGGAGAAGTATGTATGTGGATTATTAAACGGCTTCACCGATTTTGATGATCCTTACGTCGTTAGATTCGTCTTTAGTTACGAACAGTAACTAAAGAATAATTACGAACGTAGTTTTTTTTTTTAAATCTCAAACACAATTATTTATCAATATGGCTTGATTCCCACATACACTGGATTTGCTTCCCACGGTCAAAACTTGCCATACAGAATGGTACCACCCACTCTGGAACATGTGCTTTTGTTATTTTTACAATCGTAAATAAAGTAGTAACTTGTAAAAGTTTGTTATACAATCTATTATTATAGGATAGTCGAGAAAAAAAAAATAACTTTAATAATTAGACTAGCGGCTCACCCTGGCTCCGCTCGGGTCCGGCCCTATTTACGTTTTAACGTTTAGTATAGATTTCTCAGAGATGAGATATTTTCCCGCAGTAAAAAGTATCCTATGTAATATATAATATATATATATATATATATAATAATATAAATAATAATAGCTGATAATCAGCCTTCATCATACCAAATTTCATCAAAATCTGTCCAATGGTGATGCGGTCACAGACAGACAGACAAAAATTCTAAAAACTATAGATTCTGTCTCTGTATCGATAATAATGTCTATTTCAATAAGATTTTCCAAAAAATATTTAATGTACAGATTCGACACAGAATTTTATTATATGTTTGTACCTATAGATATTAATTAAAAAGTTTTACCAAAAAAAAAATCACCTGACAAGTATTTATGTCGAATTTTCAAAACTAAGAGAGGCATTTTTACATAACTGTATGTTATGTTAGACGTTATCTCCGTCATATGTGTGTTTTCTATTACTCGACCTAACCCTTGCTTCACTCGGGTGCGTTCCTAGGTAAGATTATGTTCACAATTTCATTATTTTAATTTTTTTTGCGCGGAACCCTAATTCATTTTCTAAAATAAAAGTAGCCTAAGTTACTCCTTATAACATCAGCTGTATGCCAGTGAAAGTCCCATCAAAATCGGTCCAGCCGTTTCGGAGATTAGCCGGAACAAACAGACAGACAAAAAAAATACATATACCTTTCTAATACATAAATATCTCGTGCCACGGTGTTTGTGGTCGCACTCCTCCGAAACGGCTCGATTTTTGTATATTTGGTAGGTATGAGATTAGGTCGAAAGTATTTTTCACCCTCCTACCACCACCTCCCATATTTTAAGTAACAAAAGGCGAACCCGAGCAGAGCAAGGGTGAGTCGCTAGTATACGTATATACTTTCATACGCATTTAGTAAAAAGTGATTATTTTATTATTACAAACAAACATTTTAATTTTATTTATCAGTAACTACTATATTAACACTGTAGGTACGTTTTAACGATTAGTATGAAATACAAAGCTTTGAATTTCTCGGCTTTTCTGTACTATAATATGCATGTATTATACATATAAACCTTTCTCTTGAATCACTATCTATTGAAACAAACCGCATCAAAATCCGTTGTGTAGTTTTAAAGATCTAAGCATACATAGGCACAGACAGACAGCGGGAAGCGACTTTGTTTTATACTATGTAGTGAAGATAGCGACCGTATTACGTAGTTAATGCTATTTTAAAATGCACGCAATGCAGTTGGGGCTTAGTAGCAATGTGTTATGTGAGGGTGAGCTTTCTAGTTTATTGGAGGATTGATTCCCCATACAAACTTTCATCCCCATTTTCACCCACTTAAGGGATGATTTCCGGGATAAAAACTATCCTATGTCCTTCCCAGGGTCTCAAACTATCTTCTTACCAAACTTCATCTAAATCGGTTCAGTAGATCGAGAGATTACCCCATACAAGGTCACAAACTCACAAACTTTAACACTTTATAATATTAGTATAGATATGTTAATTAGTAGCATTGATTTGATAGACATTTTGAACTAAATATAATGCTAAATGTTTTGCAAACAAACTAAGCGCACTAATAAAAATAAGTTTTAAATTAAGACGAAATTTCTACATTATATAATATACGATGACACGTTTGGTTCAGTTTGTAGTAGTACTTTCTGTGCCAGCAGTCGCAGGTTCGAATCCCGCTGGGGGCATTCATTTGTGTGATAAGCAAGAATAAATAAAAGTACAGATACTTCAGTCATGGGTGCTTATATTTATATAATATGTATGGATTTTAAGGTTATATATGTGTAGTGTATCAACTATCCGGTATCCATAACACAAGTCTCGTAGCTTACCATGGAACTAGATGGTGCTGCGTGTTAATGTCCCAACATATCTATTATTTTTTGTTCTTTTTTCTGCACTATAAACGCAAGGTAGATAACGTTTTTGTATTGAGAACCTTCAAAAAAGGAAAAAATAATCAATTCATATGTTAGTTTTTTGTTTCAATTGTTACGCAATATCTTCGCACATTTTATAAAAAAAATCATATTCTTTTTTTTATGAATCAATATTATTATTATAAATGTGAAAGTTTTTTAGAATGGATAGACCAATGTTTGATACTCTTTCACACCAGAACGGCTGAAGCATATAGGTTACTTTTTATCCCGGAAAAATGTACGGTTCCCGTGGGACAGATTTGTTTTTGGCCAGGGACGAACCCGAAGCGAAGCAACGGTGTGTCGCTAGTAGGCTATATAGCTACACCATATAAATTTCTCGAAAAAAACCTCATAAAACCTATGGTGAAATGATTACTTATGTGATGTTTTGTTTTCAGCACAACACCATGGAACTGCTTCTAAGCAAAACCGTCTTTTTATCGACAGTAGTGTTCTTGTCTTGGATATCTGTTGGTAAGTAATATTCTTGAGATGCCTTCTGTTATATATATAATAATAATAAAATTATAACCGAGTCGAATCTGTACATTCAATATTTTTTCGAAAATCTCATTGAAATAGTCATTATTATCGATGCAGAGGCCGAATCTATACTTTTTAGAATTTTCGTCTGTCTGGGAACGGAAACCACTGGACAGATTTTGATGAAATTTGGTATGATGATAGCTGGTTATCCAGGGCAACATATAGAATACTTTTTACTGCTGAAAAATATCTCATCTCTGAGAAATCTATACTAAACGTTAAAACTATATAATAACTTTGGAGACGTCTAAAATTAGGTAGGATCGACAGTGCCAAAACAAAATACCATTCCCATTTGAATTTCCAGCTCAAAGCATCGACTGCTTCAAATGTGTGTCGATGAATGGTCGATTCCCCCCCTGTGACGACCCCTTCCACAACAACCACTCGCTGAACATGCTGGAGTCCCCTTGCATGGGGGGTAGAAAGGGGAGAGATGGCTTGTTTCCAGCCACTTCATGTATTAAGATAGCTGGTGTTTTTGGTGAGTTTGGCTTAATTTAAATTTAATGGCTTAATTAACATATTACTTCAGGTCATAAATTATCTGTGTGCAAAATTTCATCTAAATCTGTCCAGCCGTGCAATGCCATGCTGTTCGTCTGTGCAATAGTGTTAGTATTACAATATTTTGACTAACGTTATTTCTGTTTTTTTTATTAAACCATATATGGCTGTAACAACAAGGTTGGTTTCAACTCCCAAAATTTACGAAATCCCAAAGTTGGTTTAGATTTAGGGTACCTTTTAACTTTTTGATTATGTGGCGAGCTTCTGTAAACTAGAAATTTTGGGAAGTTTACTAATCTACATACTAATATTATAAAGAGGTAAAGTTTGTGAATTTGTGACGTCGTAGGGGGTAATCTCTGGATCTATTGAACCGATTTAAATGAAATTTGGTAAGAAGATAGTTTGTGACCCTGGGAAGGACATAGGATACTTTTTATCCCAGAAATCATCCCTTAAGGGGGTGAAAATGGGGATGAAATTTGTATGGGGAATCAACCTAGGGACGAAGCCGAGCGAAGCGACTTTGGGTCACTAATTTATTTATAATTATAGAAAAATCGAAGCGAGGGTGAGTCGCTAGTCTAAAATATTTTCGATTTTCCACTTTTCAGATGACACAGGTGAAAGTATAACAGTGAGGGGTTGTGGACTGGACTCGGGCACCGCCACGACCGACACGGAGATCATTCGTATGTCGCATTGTGGACGATTTTATTATAACGATAGGTAAGTTAGCAAATCTTTTACAGCATCGGGTTCCTTTAAGTGTGCGTAAAAAATGAGAATGACAAGAATGGAGAGTGCACTTGGCACTCCCTTACTTATCATTCTCATACTCTAGTGGAATTTGAAACTCGAGGTGAGAGATCAAGTGACACACAGAGGTTATACGTACTCTCCGAGGCATGGGGTTGTTACACCACCAACTTCCCAACTTCGAACTGAGATTTTCTTGACCAAAAGACTCAATAATTAAATGGCCCGACCCATGACTCGAACCGATTATCTCCAGATTGGCAGAGTTACATACTAGCTACTTGAAATAAAAGTGCATAACCAAGATCATAATAGCCTATCAAAAGTCAACATTTGTAAAGAGGTTTAATTTATTTTTAGACTTGCTAGCTGATTTACCATTGGGCTGATTGTTTGACAGATTGATTGACATTGACAAATAAATAGCAAAATCTTTTATATTCAGAAAATCGTTTGCACCTTAATTTCCTTAATTAGAAACAGTACAATTTAGCACTAAAAGGTATTTGAAGGTTTGATTTGAAAAGCTACCATTCTTGTTCATTTTTACTGCCTCACTGGTGTTGTCCTAGTGACTTATATGTGCATCTGCAGATCCCGAGGTTCTGGGTTCAAATCCCAGGTTGGGTTAAGTACAGTTATTGGATTTTTCTGTTGACCATTTCTCAATAGATATCCAGATTTAAGAAATTGGCGGTGTTCCACCATTTTCCTTTGGAGAGCATGTAAAGCCATCGTCGGTTTTGGGTCTGATCCTACCGGAGTTTAAAAATTAAAAAGTACACACACACTATAATATCTACTGCAGTTATTAAGCATACAAATTCACCAGCCACAACACTATCAGTGTTACAAACATTGACTCAATATTTTTCATATTAAAATGTCATCATGGCAATACAGGCAAAAAATAAAGTATTCAATGCACATAATTAAGTTTTTTTTTAGTTTTATTACTTTCTAAGTCGTCAATTAAGTTTATGACGTCTAAAACATTCTAGACGACACGTATGGCTCAGTTTGTAGTGACGTTACTTGCTGTGCTGCGGTCGCGGGTTCGAGTCCCGCTGGGGGCATTCATTTGTATGATGAGCACGAATGTTTGTACTCCGGTCACAGGTGTTAATATTTATAATATGTATGTATTTAAAATTATATACATATTATGTGTAGTGTATCAACTATCTGGTATCCATAACACAGGCCTCGTAGCTTACCATGGAACTAGATGGTGCTGTGTGTTAATACCCCAACACATATTTATTCTAGATACGTCCACGGCTGTCTTCAAAGCTGCAACGACGCAGACGCTTGCAACTCTTCCATCACACCGGTCTTGGACCCACTGATTGTGCTTGTCATAGCTTCGCTTGTATACGTCAGAAGAAGCTAACAAAAAGTATACAATTTTTAAATTTTATAATATTTCATTATAAATAGATTAAAAGTAGCAGTCTTTAGATTGTCTTAAGTAGGTAGATCGCAAACGTTATAATTTTATTTCGACCTATTTCTAAGTTTGTGTTTTCTTATTTTATAAGTCTTCACTTATAAACACAGACTTATAATTTAAATGTACGTAATTGTAATATTAATTTGATACTATTTACATATTTTTTTATATTACAATTTATAAGTTTGTAATTATGATATTTTAAAAACATAAAATTATGAAATATAAGCTTAAATATAAACCTAATTATTTTGAATCCTAGCCCTAATAATGTATAAATCCATTTAGTTTAGTTTAGTTTGAAATGATTTTTTTTAGATTAAGTACATAAATATAATACATATATTATTTATATATTATATATATATACATATATATAATACATATATATATATATATATATATATATACAAGTACATAAATATATATATATAAAATAGGTTATTTTTAGAATATGTTTAACATATTGTTAGTTGTTTTTAATTTTAAATATTTTGAGTTTTGCTTACATAAATCGGTTTGTAAGAGCTCAAGTAATAGTATTTGCTATGATTAGTATAATTTACAATATTAAACGGTTAAAATAAACCATTTTAGTCATCTTAGTTTTTTACTGTTGAAAGTCGATTCATGTATAGCGCCATATTAGCTATGTCACGTACACAACCATGCAACTTTAAAATAGTAATTCCTTCCAAAAAGAGTTTTTAATTATTTATTTTATTATTAAATTCGGTTTATAATTAGTGAGAAAAAAAATATTATACTTTCTTATTGAGTTTTTGAAGTTACTTTTTGAAGTTAGTCCTCCATTTTGAAGTTGGTTAATTGTGGAAAGATGAATTTGTAGCCTTCAATGAAGTTTAGGATATGTCTCAATTTATAAGTTTATGCATTTTTATATATATCTGATTGTAAATTATTTGAATTTTTTTTTGTTTTTTTTTTGTAGAAAAAGATCGTTTACATAATATATATTAAAATATTTTAATGTAATATAAATTGCAACTAAAAATTTAATTTAAAATATATTTTTATTTTAATTTAATATAATAATAGAGTTTCATATTTCTTATACTTTAAATTAAATACTCAAAACAAATGTTATTTTTTTTAAATATAAATTACATTATGTTATACTTAATTATATTTTTAATGCTTCTATATTGCTAGTTGAATAAAAATATATTATGTGCACCTGCCTCTCTCACAATATGATCAAGTCTCAGCAAATCTTTGTTCAATTTTTATTATTTTATTGATTTCATCATCGGTGGTAACCCAGTGGTAACGAGCTCGTTAAGCCGAGAATCCGAATGAAACGGGCTTAAGCCTCGGGTCTCGCACCTCTGATATTTTCATGTGCGAATCATTTCCAACATGATTACCACTTGTCTTACGGTGAAGGAGAACATCGTGAGGAAACCTGCATGTCTGAGAGAACCCAGCAAGTTTTCGAAGGACATGTTAAGTCCGCCAACCCATCTCATTGGAGAGAGACTCGTGCCCAAAAACGCCGAGCGTTGCTCTATCGCCGAGCTACTAATGCCAAAAATGCACTAATTCAGAATACTATAAAAAAAAACGATAAAAAATATTTTTTAAACCAGAATTGAATTATAAAATATTTTTTAAAACCTTTATTAAATTGATTTTGATTTCATCAATTTAATATTTTCATTAGTTTTAATTAAACTCAGTTAGCACTAGAAGTTAATCAAAATCTATAATTATATGTCGTAGTTAATAAATATTATCGTACACTTAGAAAATATATAATTTTTAAAACGAGCACGGCTGTGGCTCTTTATACCGTTCAGCAGATTTTAAGTCTGTGAAGCCAATCATTAAGTCGATTTTGATTTAGTTTACGCTATAGTTCTACGTTTCTGAAACGAACTGCTAAAGTGTGGAATACTCGTCCGTGTTTCCTGCCACCTATAAGTACCTTCAAGGCAAGAGTGAATAGGCATCTTCTAGACAAACGCGCTCCAACTTAAATCTCATGAGCGCTTTGTCTTTTTTTTTCGGAATGTGTAGTGCTGTTGGCCCTACTGGCCTTGACAGCATCACCGGGTTTTTGAGGTGGACAGAAGGTCCTACCTAGTAATTAGTTCCGTAAGGGCACCTCCTGCGAGGTTCGGACCACGGCTTACGAAACTGTCGGTCGGAACGTTGATTGTCGTCAAGCTCACGCCTATCTAGCAATAAAAAAAATAATTAAAGTCAGTTTTTAGAGTGCTATTAATTTTCAATTAATGCAATTTATTTCTTTTGCAAATATTACACGTTTCCAAATCTCCACACCGTTACGTACACTGCAGTGTATATCGTAAAGGCATCCACCGACACACCACAGAAGGGTGCAAAGAATATTTTCTTAAAGTTTAAATATAAAACAGACAATATAAAGAAAATGTCGTGTTTTCTTTTGTTTACCGGATGTTATCCAATAAGGTTCATTATCGTAAGTCTTTGTTAGTCGATGAGACCGATAAAGAGTTAAACGAGCACTTACAAAATTGTACCTATATTATTTATAAGTCTAATGCCCGATTTCACCAACAACCCATAAGCTACCACCTACGTATGGGATCCCTAGCTTAAAAATCCCCTAAACTAGCCACTAAATTAAATTTCGTTTTACCATCGTCTTTAAGCCCATATTTCGAGCACCTAAATTTAGGGGGCCTTTTAACATTTAGGTGACCCCTAACTGTCGGTGAAACAGAAACTGACCCCTAACAGCCCCCTAACCATGCTTAGGGGATCCCTTAAACTTAGGTGTCGTTGGTGAAATCGGGCTTAAGTTGTTAATAAATTTTCAACATTTCTAAAATACAAGTACCTAAATGTTTTTTTTTATTATAACAAATATATAAAATCAAGTTTGTCTTTCACTTTCAAAGGATAAGATATGCGGAGTTTAGTCTACAGTAAAATCTATTTAATAATTATTTTTAATATTTTATAATAAACTAGTGACTCACCCTCGCTCCGCTCGGGTTCGTCCCTAGGTACGTTTTAGCGGTTAGTACCTATAGATTTTTTATTTTTGAAATGAGATATTTTCTCGCAGTAAAAAGTATCCTATATATATGTAGTACTGTAGACGAATAACCGGCTATCATCATAACAAATTTCATCAAAATCTGTCCAGTGATTTTCTCGTGATGCTTTCCCAGACATAAACAAACAGACATACAAAAATTAAAACTACAAATTCAGCCTCTGTATCGATAATAATGACTTTGCCTTCAAACCAATTTTTTTCATTCAAACCAAAAATTTCAATTATTTTAAAAATCAGTGGGCCACCTCAAAATGTTGAGATTTTTTTTATTTCAAAAATTTTGTTTTTTTTTTATAAGCTACAAATTCTACCTGGTATGAAAAAAAAATTTTTTCACTCTACCCTATTTTATATATATAATAAATACAATTTTAGCTTAAATAACTATTCTGTACCCTCCGTCTGTCTTATTTTTGTCTAGTTCAGAATATACGAGTATATAGCGTTATATTTAATTACCAAAGACAAATTTTATTAAGTATAGTTTAATTTGCTTCATTGAATTGTTGGTGCTTTAAAAGTTTTTATCATTTCTTATAAATTTACTACACAAATGTATACTGTACATTTATTTAATCGGAAATAATAATTTTGGCTATTTAAAATGTTTATTTAAAAAAAACTACCTATATTTTTGGATTTTTCGCGGATTTTTATTGATTTTTGGTTGCAGACGTTTCTAATGATTTACACAAATCATGGTCACGTGAGAGAGTATCTATAAATCCGCGAAAAAATCCGAAAAGACTTTTTCAAAATTCATGTTTATAGATTCAAAACTCTTTTTATGAAAAATTTAAAATTTGTGAATGGATAACAAAAAAGGTTAAACGTTAAAACGTTAAAATTATCCGAGAAAAATAATAAGACAAGCCGTTTTGTTTTTATTACTGTAAAAACAGAATAATGTTCAATAGAATAATAGAATAAAAATAATACTTTATGCTCAAACCTAACGATGGCGAAATATTTTAAAATGTTTTTATAATAATTTCTAAATAGATATCTTTATCCTTTTTCTCTTTCTTTCCATATAGAATAACTCTTTATATCTGTATTTTAATATTTTTAACAGAACCAGTATGTCTGTATGTTTGTAGTGTTTTATTTGTACACTATAATGTTTATATAAATGTACATATTATATACAAATGAATATTAAATAACAAAAGTCTTTTATTTAATTAAAAGCCACTATTTAATTAAAAAAAATAGAACTGTCATTACAAAAAGAAACTGTCAAAGTAATTTAATTTTTTTTATATTTTTTTTTAAATTAAAGTATCCCATTTAAATTACCAAAAATTGTAACAATAAATTTTATTTTACTTTGAAATAATAAATAGGTGCAAATTAAAATATGTTTAAAAAAATATTTAATATACTATTGTTCATATTCTTCTTTAAAGATGTTAGAGTCTTCTGAAGCAGTGTACTCTTCTGTGGATGAACTTTCTAGAAAAAAAGAAAAATAACTTTAATTTGAATCTAGCTGAAATTTATTATTTGTTCAACATTTTTAACAAATAAGGCACTTTCCACCGGCCAACCATCGCAACCGATATCTCATCTCTGAGAAATCTATACTAAACGTTAAAACGTAAGTAGGGACGAACCCGACCGGAGCGAGGGTGAGTCGCTAGCAATTTATAAATACACTAGCATTGCCCGCGGCTCCGCCCGCATTCAGATGACCAAAAACCAAATACTTAGGTTTTACATATTATACTACTATAGTAGTATACTCTTATAATGCAGTTTTTGTATTTTTTCTCAGAAAAGAGACATTTTACCGCGATAAAAAGTATCCTATACGTTGACCTGGATAACCAGCTATCATCATACCAAATTTCAACAAAACCTCTTCAGTGGTTTTTCCGTGATGTGGTAACAGACAGACAGACAGACAAAAATTCTAAAAACTATAGATCCAGCCTCTGTATCGATAATAATGTCTATTTCAATAAGATTTTCCAAAAAATATTTAATGTACAGATTCGGCTTAGTTACAATTTTATTATATGTATAGAAGAGAATGCATAGGGATGCACTCGAGAGAAGCAAGATATATGCGAGTATGCCGTTAGTATAATATTTAAAAGTTTTTACCGATATTGACTGGACTCGGTGAAGGGGTAGTGTCGCACTTGCAGCGTCGAAAATCTTCTAAAATCCTCAGCTCGGAGGGAAGCAAGTTCGATTTATCTTGAGGCATATCTATTGGATAAAAAAGAAATAATAAGCAATTATTGAGTATATTCGTAGTTTATGTGGTAAGTCAAAGTTTAATATAATTTTTAAATAAAACTATCTTTTCGGATTATTTCGCGGATTTATTTTGATTTTTGGTTCCCGACGTTTCGAATGCTTTACAGCATCCATGGTCACGGGAGAGACTGAGGTGTTACATGTCTTAAAGATATAGTTGTTACAGACAGCCTACCCACAATTTACAAAGTGATGCTGTAAAGCATTCGAAACGTCGGGAACCAAAAATCAAAATAAATCCGCGAAATAATCCGAAAAGATAGTTTTATTTAAAAATGTCAAACATTCGCGTAAATCTAAGAAAGTATTATTTAATATAATTAATTAATATAATTTAATATGTTGGGACATTAAGACACAGCGCCATCTAGTTCCATGGTAAGCTACGAGGCTTGTGTTATGGATACCAGATAGTTGATACACTACACATATATAACTTTTAATACATACATATTATAAATATAAACACCCATGACAAGAGTACAAACATTCGTGCTCATCACACAAATGAACGCCCCCAGCGGGACTCGAACCCGCGACAGCTGGCACAGCAAGTAGGGTCACTACAAACTGAGCCAAACATGTCGTCGAAGTTGATATTACCGGGTCCGAATTTAATTTTGTTTTTGGTCTCCTCGCAGTGGCAGTACGGGTCCTTCTTGGCTTCTTCATCTTCTCTTATCCTTCTTAACTCAGAAGGAAGGAGTTTAGGACCTAAAAAAATGATTTTTTTAAATAATAGATTATAAATAATTAAATTAATCAATACTTAAGGTGTTAACCTAATAAAAAATGAAATACGTTCGTAAATGAAATCTGTGTAATTTTACTTATAATTGAAAAATCTGCCATCGGTTTATGAGTTTGTATTGCATATTTAAAGATGGCGCTGTTTATTTTTTTATGAGACGTAAGACATAAATTAGTCATTGAAATTCCTTAAATTAAATGCAAAATTAATTTACAATATTGCACATATTTTAGTATATTAACAAGAATTAAATTAAAAATTAAAAAAAAAAACCCGCGACCATCTTGGAAAGATTTTCATCACACATAGCTAAGAACACTCCCGATTAATTCACCTTTCAAACAAAAGAAAACAAAATCAAAAGCTCATCCGTTCGGGAGCTACGATGCCACACACAGACATACACACAGACACGTCAAACTTATAACACCCAGCCGTTTTTGCGTCGGGGGTTAATAAAATAAAATAATTCGACAGTTTGTGAAACTATGCCATCTTTTATATATCGAAGCAAACAAAAATAGCTCGAAGAATAGCCCGAATTAGCTCTATCTTCCATTCCGACTTCTTCGTATAGGATGAGGCATCTGTGCTATTGTAGATAGTATTCTATCACTTGAAATTTATTTTTTTTCATATTCATATATCTATGTAAAAATTGATATTTTATGCCCACTAAAAATGATTTTATAGAGATTATTATTAATAAAAATGGCGGCAACATAAAAATAAAATAAATAAAATAAAATAAAAATAGTTTTTATTTCTTAATAATTTTTTACATTTTGTGTTCGAGTCTTCCCAGTAAGTAATCCGAAGGATACTTGTGTTGGGAATGGCCCGCTTCTTCCCATGTGCATACTCTATGATTAAGTTAGGATAGTTACATGATTTAAGTTATTTAAAGCAAAGAAAATTATATAAAATTACAATATTAACAACTGAAGGTTGTTATTGCATGTACAATTTCACTAATGTTAATTTATAATGTTAGGAAAATTACTATTTTAAACATAAATATTTGGGCATGTATTCTCAATAGCAATGCAATATAATATAACGAGGTTTAGTAAGAGTACAAGATTATTATTATTATTATAGTTCCTAGAAGTATCTTATATATTCGATATATTTGTATGAATATGTAAAAATTTATCTATTATAAAGATACTACTATTATAAAGATTACTAGTATTATAAAGAGGTAATGTTTGTTTGTGAGTTTGTGACTCTGTAAATAGTCATCTCTGGATCTACTGAATCGATTTAGATGAAATTTGGTAAGAAGATAGTTAGAGACCCTGGGAAGGACATAGGATACTTTTTATCCCGGCAATCGTTCCTTAAGGGGGTGAAAATGGGGATGAAAGTTTCTATAGGGAAGCAAGCTAGGGACGAACCCGAGCGAAGCGAAGGTGAGTCGCTAGTGTTATATATAATTATAGATAAACGATAATTAAAACGTAAAATATCTTACATGAAGTATCTGGTTGGTAGTGCTCGCTTCTTTCCAAGGCATCTTCGTAAATGCGTCTCATATAGTGTCGATAGTCGGGTCGCTTTACAGCTGTTACTTCGCCGGTAGCCCGAGATATTACTGTAGAAGAATTACAATATAATAATATTATAAGGCAATGGTAGCCCAGTGGTAACGCGCTCGCTTGGGAAACCGAGTGAAGCGAGTTCAAATCCCGGGTCTCGTACCTCTGATATGTTCATGTGCGAATCATTTCCAACATGATTACCACATGTCTTACGATGAAGGAAAACATCGTGAGAAAACCTGCATGTGAGAGAACCTAGCAAGTTTTCGAAAGACATGCTCAGTCCGCCCGCACTTGGCCAGCGTGGTGGACTATGGCCTGATCCCCCTCGTATTGAAGGGAGGCCCGGGCCCAGCAGTGGGACATTAAAATGGGCTGAAAACATACATACAAACATACATACATAAGTAGAAAATTTTGTGGATCATTTTGTGGTTGTGAAGCCTTAAGGGAGCTTTAAGAGCGGTAATTTTAAATGTTAAAGTAATTACAACTTCCTGGACACTTTGAAAAACTCTGCTATAACAGATTAATTTACTTGAACAAATGAAAATTCGGAAATGAAAATGATTATATCTTTAATTAACATAGCTATTATTTATTATTATCGATTTAAAATTTATTATTATCGAGCTACAAAAATCAATATTGTCCACTTCAGCGATTTCGTCTACAAAGGGTTGTTACTGGCTATTTCAAAGAAAAACCTTATAACTATATTCAACTCATCCCGGGATTCGAACTCGCGACATTACAAACTGGAGCCATACATGGTAGCCACTATACTTCTGAGGCAGTTTAAATTTTAAATAATATCGATACATTTACGGAAGTAATTTTAAATTTGAACAAAATCGATATACTCACACTCGCCAATCGCTTCTCTCACTTCTATCTCCATCTCTGTTCTGTGTCGCAGCGCGTGCGAGATGTCTCGCGTGATCGCTTCCTCCTCTTTGCGGAGATACCGAGATATCTCGACGGCTTTTGTATTTATGTAAAATAAATTTAATTTTCGAATATGAGATAAATAATATATTAATATTTAAAAATTAAAATTAAGTAAGATTTTTTTTTAATTCTTGGGATATTTTTATTGAGTAATATATCTTTAAATTTTAAATATAATAATATTCTCCTATGTTAAATATAATAATAAACACCCATGACTGGAGTACAAACAGTGCTCATCACACAAATGAATGCCCCCAGCGGGACTCGAACCTGCGACCGTTGGCACAGCGAGTAGGGTCACTAAAAACTGAGCCAAACGTGTCGTCATTGTAATTTTCTGTCGTACAACTTAGTATCGTGTTGTGTTGTATTGAATAGTATATTCTAGTATCACCCACCATCGTCCACAACTGAGTCCAGCAAGCAGCGCATCTCGTGCGCTGGCGGGTATCTCTCCTCTAACGACTTCACCACCACGCCGTGACCTGTTTTAAATTACTGTTACATATGTACAGATTATCAAATCAAGTTATCAAACTAGCGGATGGTCTGATTTCCCCCCCCCAACGTGCGTTCATCTTGTCGTGGTGGGGGGGCTCAGTAGTGCCCGGCAATCCAACCGGGCGCGAAGCTAAGAAACGCACAGGGAGGTGGCCCACTTCGGTGGGCGGTGGGAGGTGGCCCTCTTCGGGGGGGCGGTGTACCATGCGGGTTGCTCCTGGTACTTCTCTGATAGCAGAGTGGACCTTGGAGCAACCCCATGGTTGTGGTGGTCTGCTTCGGCAGACCTGCCGTCGGGGCGTCGTAGTTGAATGCGTAAGCGATCCTGCGACGCCCCATTAAGACGGGGGAAGGTTTTGTTGGGTTTTAGTGGGTAGTACTGGCTGTATTACGCCAGTGAGTCCCACACGTCGTGCGTAAATGCATTTCCCAACGTTAAAAAAAAATGGTCTGATTTCATCGAGCTAAAAAATTGTTATTTAGTTTTTACAAAATTACTATAATTATTTTTTATTTCTTCATTCCCCTCATACTGATGGGAGGCCCACGCCCAGCAGTGGGACGATAAAAAAAAGGGCTGAATATACAAAAGAATATAATATCATTGAAATATCAAATATAAAGATAATAAAACAACTAACTTCTAGCGTGTTTCCATCGAGGGTCGTCCCTGGACGTGGTCTCCACCGGCTTCACTCGTACGGGGCACGTTTGACAGTTACAATCGACATCGAGGAGATTCCCGCAACGTATGCATTTCTCTAATAAATATATATATATATATATATATATATATATATATATATATATATATATATATATATATATATTAATTTCATATTTTATATCAAACTACAAATTTACTCTCTAGTTACGTATGAATTATTCAAACAGAACCTATTCCTTTTCTAAAACAAAAGTAGCCGAAGAAAAGAAGCCTCCTTATAACATTAGCTATCTGCTAGTGAAAGTCCCGTCAAAATCAGTCCAGCCGTTTCGGAGTTTTGCCGTAACAAACAGACAGACAGACAGACAAAATTGAGTTTTTCTTATAAGTACCCTATATAATTCCATACGCATTTAGTAATAAGCTGTTATTTTGACATTACAAACAGACATAACAAATTTATTTATCCGTATAGATTATTAGAAGAAACCTTCTAAAGAGGACAATATAATTACCTACTTTCCCAACACCATCATCCACAATACCAAATATGGCGCTCCTCGCAGCTCGCAGTCCAGCCGCTTGCAGCGCTGACACTTTGCTTCTGGAAGCTTCTTTATGTGCTGCTGGAAGGAGGAACTGCTGGACCAGTTCCGCTACCACCTCGTTCTGTTCTGCTGTAGATCTGAGGAGTTTAAAATACTATGAGACCATTTATTCCTGGCCTAAAATTTTTCCTATTTTGATACAAAAGATGATTTTCACCAGATTTATTATTCCAACAATTTTAAACTACTTTTCCCGAGCATTTTCAGTACTAAACGGTCATCGTAGCCGTTTAAAAACGGTTCAGAATGTTTTTAAAGTCAAGTAAGTTAGTTAAATCTACATATTATGTAAATTTCAATAATTCAAAAAAATATATATATCAACAACAAACTTCGTCAATTTTTATAACTACGAACTAATTTATGAACTAATTTTTGTTTAAAAAGACGAATTGTTGAATGAAAAAGACGAAAAACGATTGTTAAAAAAATATATTATACTAGCGGACCCGACAGACGTTGTCCTGTCTACACGTCTTTAATTTGAAAATTTCAAACTTTTTTTAATTGTAATTTTTTTGATGAAAATTATTATTCAAATTGTAAATCTAAACCATTTCCAGATCCCCTTGAACACACACAAAAAATTTCTACAAAATCGGTCCAGTCCTTTGAGAGAAGTTCAGTGACATACACACTCACAGAAGAATTATATATATAAAGATATACACTATATAAATTTAGTCAAAAGACAAAGCTGATGCTAATCTAAATTGATAATCTGGTCTCCAAAATTATTCGGCATCTCTTCACATTCGTACCGTCATTTAAAACTGCCTAGGTGGTATAGTGAGTAGCATGTACGACTACAGATTCGGAGGTTTCGGGTTCGAGTCCCGGGTCGGACTATGTTAAGATATCCATATCAAATATAATATATAATTATTAATAAAATAATAATAATCTATACATATAATAAAATCGTAACCAAGCCAAATCTGTACATTAAATATTTTTTGGAAAATCTCATTGAAATAGACATTATTATCGATACAGAGGCCGAATCTATAGTTTTTATACTAATATGTAAAACATAAGAATTTGGTTTTTGGTCATCTGAACGCGGGCGGAGTCGCGGGCAATGCTAGTATAATTATATAATAAGATATCAATATAATAACCCCAACACTCACCCAGCAGCCTCCGCCCCCCGGCCCAGGGCCCCCGCCCCCGCGCGCGCCTCCCGCACCGCCGCGCGCTCCGCCGCCAGCGCCGACGCCTCGCGCGCGACGTCCTGCAGGTAAGCGTCCACCGTCTCTTGGGTCACTCCCAGCACCTTCGCCATGTTATCATAAAAACATATTGACAAATTGGAAGAATACTTTCTTAGATTTACACGAATATTTGACATCTATACATATACTAGTGACTCACACTCGCTTCGCTAGGTACGTTTTAACAGTTAGTATGAAATACAAATCTCTGAATTTCTCGGATATTCTGTCTATAATATACATGTATTATACATATAAACCTTCCTCTTGAATCACTCTATCTATTAAAAAAACCGCATCAAAATCCGTTGCGTAGTTTTAAAGATCTAAGCATACATAGCGACAGACAGTCAGCGGGAAGCGACTTTGTTTTATACTATGTAGTGATAATAAAATTCTAACTGTAACTGTAGATAATTTTTTTTTTTTTTTGGAAAATCATATTTAAATAGACATTATTTAGACATTATTTTTAAATTTTTTGTTTATCTGTCTGTGACTGCATCATGGGAAAACCACTGGACATATTTTGATGAAATTTGGTATAGCGATAGCTGGTTATCCGAGTCAACATATAGGATACTTTTTACCGCGAAAAAATATCTTATTTCTGAGAAAAACTACAAAAACTGCAATGTAAGAGTATACTAATATGTAAAACATCAGAATTTAATTTTTGGTCATAGGAACGCGGGCGAAGCCGCGGGCAATGCTGGTATTACATACATGTTTGAACATCTCGTCGTGTTCTCTTCTGCGATGCTCCTCTTTCTGTCTGCGTCCAGCTTCTGCTGCTTCTCGCATTGTTTTCTCACGAACTGGTTAAGATATAAAGAATAGAATATAAATAATGACTTGACGGAATAAATATATATATATATATATATATATATATAAATATATATATATATATATAAATATATATATATATATATATATACACATAACTAGCAGAAACCGCGGCTTCGCTCGCGCTAAAACTACAAAAAAAAAACTAAAAAAAAAGTAGGTTTCATACAAACTTTCATCCGCTATTTTACCCCCTTACGGGATGAATTTCGAAAAATGCTTGAAGAGCATTTATACCAAGTTTCAAGTAATTCTGATCATGAATTTTTTTTTGGATTGTATTATAACGTATTTTTCCTCTGGAAAGAGATGATCTCCCGCGGTGAAAATCCTATGCCACTCTCCAGCCCTCCAACTATCTCCACACAAAAATCACGCCAATCCCCCAAGCCGTGAGAGAAAGACAAACAAACAAACAAACAAACAAACAAACAAACAAACAAACAAACAAACAAACACTTTCACATTTATAATATTAGTATAGATATTGGTACATTTAGTCTATATATATAAAAGAAAGTCGTGTTAGTTACTTCGCTTATAACTCAAGAACGGCTGAACCGATTTAGCTGAAAATTGGCAGGGAGGTAGTTTAGAGCCAGGAGAAGGACATAGGATACTTTTTATCCCGTTCGACCGCGTTCCAATTTTTATGATATTTTAATTTTTGGATTTCTCTTAGTCCGGAATAGGTAAGTATTAAAACATATAATTAAAATGTGAGAAAGAAAGATTTTTTCTTTTTATATCTATTTAAAACGTACCTAGCGACGAACCCGAGCGAAGCGAGGGTGAGCCGCTAGTATTTTATATATGTAACTTTTTATGTATGTTTATTTATTTATATTAAGTTTTAATGAATTGCAATTTATGCATATTTGAAGAAATTTAGAGTAATTTTCGTATTTTTGAAATCATCGTATAATTTTGTGGATAGGGTGTCTGTAACAATTACATATTATTATGACCTATGGGACATCTAACACCTCAGTCTCTCCCGTGACCATGATTGCTGTAAAGCATTCGAAACGTCGGGAACCAAATATCAAAATATATCCACCAAAAAAATCCTAAAAAATAGTTTTTATCTCAAAGAAAGTTTGTTATGACACGTAAATAATTATCTTCCGTAACCTCTGATCTGATACTCACTGGCAATGAGAATGAAGGCATGCTGCCGCCTTTCTTCTTTCAACCTTCTCAGCTCCTTCTCCAAGAAGTCCAGCGCAGAAGAAACTGCCCCTCCACATAATTCTTCTACCAGCGACGATATTGCTGCTTCCTATTAAATACAACATACTTAAAGTTTTGATAATGTATACGAGCCACTGAAGTTACTAGCAAAATGCGAATTTTATAAATTTACATTATAAAAATTGACAATTCAATATTTTATTTACAAAAAAAATCAAAAAAGGTTTTACATATTAGTATACTCTTACATTGCAATTTTTGTATTTTTTCTCAGAAATGAGACATTTTCCTGCGGTAAAAAGTATCCTGTATGTTGATCCGGATAACCAGCTATCATCATACCAAATTACATCAAACTCCCTCCAGTGATTTTTGTTTGATGCGGTAACAGACAGACAGACAGACAAAAAATCTAAAAACTATAGATTCGGCCTCTGTATCGATAATAATGTCTATTTCAATAAGATTTTCCAAAAAATAGTTAATGTACAGATTCGGCTTAGTTACAATTTTATTATATGTATAGATAGATGGGTATAAATAACTATCCAAATATAATATCCAAAAAATCAATTAAGAACAAGAAACACAGCATTTTATTATCACCTTCTGTTCCATTTCAGACCTGACTTCATTATAGTCTCTGGCTTTAGATTCTTCTTTAGCGATCCGAGCTCTGTCTTCTTTCTGAAGGCCGTGAGTCGTCTTCAATTCTTCTGTTAGTTCTGCTGCTCTTGTTCGACCCTCGTACATCTGGTGATGGCTCAAAGTTTATTATTTAATATTTTTGTGTCTTGTTTCTTTGTTTATTTCTTTGTTTATTAAGATTTCATGCTCGGCCCTTTTATTAATACCCATATCCCATTAATCCATACTAATATTATAAATGTGAAAGTGTGTTTGTTGTGTGTTTGTTTGTTTGTCCTTCTTTTACGTCGAAACGGAGTGACGGATTGGCGTGATTTTTGTGTGGAGATAGTTGGAGGGCTGGAGAGTGACATAGGCTACTTTTTACCGCGGCATATTATCTAATTCATAAGTATATTTTATTACTTTCATAAGCTAAAAAAACATAATTTTAATGATAAATATAAACAATGACCAAATCTCACCAAATTCTGAACGGCACGACCTTTAAAGACTTTTTGCATCATCAACGCTGACTGATGAGTGATTTCTTCATCATCAGGCACTGACTCCACCTCCGGGGTCGAGGGTCTGGGGGTCGCTTGGATGCGGCGAGGTTTGAGGACTCGGAGAGGACCAGCCGATGTTGATGCGGCTCCAAGACGAGCCTCTAGAAGAAGGAATATTTAACATTTTAAATATGATACAATTTTGCTATTTGCAAGAGGTTCTTATATTTATATATTTAAACAATAGTAATTACCTCAATAAAAAATGAAATTTCATATTCTGTATTAAATTTTCATTAATATGTTCATCTATACATATAATAAAATTGTAACGAAGCCGAATCTGTACATTAGTTATTTTTTGGAAAATCTTATTGAAATAAACATTATTATCGATATAGAGGCCGAATCTATAGTTTTTAGAATTTTTGTCTGTCTGTCTGTCTGTTACCGCATCACACAAAAATCATTGGACGGATTTTGATGAAATTTGGTATGGTGATAGCTGATTATCCGGGTCAACATATGGGATAGTTTTTACCACGGGAAAATATCTAATTTCTGAGAAAAAATACAAAAACTGCATTGTAAGAATATACTAATATGTAAAACCTAAGAATTTGGTTTTTGGTCATCTGAACGCGGGCGGAGCCGCGGGCAATGCTAGTTGATTATATAATAAAAAAAAGTGGCGTCGATATGTAACGTAAAGTCAAACCAAGGAATAACATTCAAAATCTGAAAGTTCTAATTGTCTAAACACAAAATTGAACTTACGCACACCGCATAAAGTACTTTTTTTAACGAAACAACGCGCGTTTTAATTTTGTCATACGAAAAGCAATGAAAGAGATAGAAAGAGCAAGAATGAATGAGAGAGAGATTTGAGAAAACGCAATTCAATTTCGAGTGGTGCGCTTTTTTTGAGGACACTTTTGTTACGCTGATTGTGTATCTGCAATTTTTGTATGTCAATGTAAATAATAAGTTAGACAACATTTTTGTTGTAATCTGTGGTAAATATTATAATCTTTATTTATTCCACAGATATAGTTCGTTTCAACGAATAGTACCTATGGCGTTATGTTGGCCTCCCTCTCTGTCAAAGTCTTTGGCACGAGAAGACGCTCCCGCAGATTTTGTTTATTTTCATTTGATTTTCGACTGAAATTATGCCCAAAACATTAAAAAGTGGTGAAAGAATGATGGTGTTAAAGGTGAAGAACTTTTGTGAACGTGAAAAACGTAATAATGCACCATTAATTCCTTTAAGATGTGTTCAGGCTCGTGTTGCCGCCATTACAGGTCAGTCAAATAGGGTTACCAGTAGCAGATAGAGAAATTATAATTTCCACACTTTAACCGCATTTTTTTTTAAACGGTAGTTATTTGTAAGATCTACGCAAGCATGTGTACTGCGACTATTATTGGTTTATGTATGACGTTGACAATAGATAAATAAATCAAAATATTTGTTTTAGGTGTGTCCGAAAAAACCGTGTCTAAAATCACCAAAGAAGGTGAGGTCGCTGCCAGCACGTCGACTAAGGTTTCAACACCACGCAAAAGCGGTCCCCGGCCTAAAAAAATCGAACTGGATGACTTCGAACGGTGTGCTATTAGGCATAAAATACATGAATTTTATTCCGTAAAAAAGGAATTACCTACTCTTACAAAGTTATTGCATGAAATGCGAAGCGAGATAGGTTTCAAAGGAAGTCGTACCACTTTGTGGAGAATAATGAAAGATATCGGGTTTTATTTTAAAAAATGTAGATCCAAAAGAAAAGTCCTAATGGAGAGATACGATATTGTCGCCTGGCGTTATCGATACCTGGAAGAATTACGAAATAATCGTCTCGGAAACCAGCGCCCAGTTGTATATTTGGACGAGACATATATACACGCAACATATTGCGCCGGAAAATGTTGGCAAAGCGAACAAGAAGAAGGTGTATTATCATCAGACTCTAAAGGGCCACGTTGGATTATCGTCCACGCGGGTGGTGCTATGGGTTTCATACCCAATGCTCAACTGATCTTCAGATCTCAGTCACAAGCGGCCGATTATCACGACGATATGAATAAAACGAATTTTAATAAGTGGCTTAGTGAAAAGCTTATACCAAATCTGCCTCCCCAATCAATTGTGGTGATGGATAACGCCTCCTACCACACAGTACACCTTAACAAAGCACCAACAATGTCAAGCAGAAAGGCAGAAATGCAAAATTGGATATCAAGTAATGGTCTTTCTTACTTGCCAACTATGGTAAAAGCCCAGCTATTTCAAATAATAAAAGAGCACAAACAGCCGCCCGTTTATGAAGCCGATATAATGTTGGAAGCGCATGGACATAAAGTGGTAAGGCTTCCACCTTACCACTGTGATTTAAACCCAATAGAGCTGATATGGAGTGTCGTAAAAAGACGAGTTGCTGAAAAAAACATAGGTCAAGAAGCAAATAAAATCGTCCAAATCACAGAAGAAGCCTTTGTGCAACGATCACCGAAGAAGAATGGAGAAAAGAATGTGAGCATGTGAAAAAAGTGGAAGAAAAATATTACGCCGATGGCCCAGTTATTGATAGCGAGATGGAGAGGTTCATAATTGAAGTGGGAGACGATAGCGACACTTCTGATGACGAGGATGATGAGGAAGATGAAGTTGACGACGATCTCTCGGGAATAAGTCCGTTGGATGAGCATTTTTTGATTGATCACAATTATAATAAAAAATATTAAATAATTTATGCTTTTTTTACTTTTCTGATTTTTAAAATGATAATTGAATAATTTATAATGAAACAACTTTTACTGATTTTATCGCCATAGTAAAGTAGCGGCGTAAAAGTTGTTTTATTATAATGAGTGAAATTCGCGTAAACATTAGAAAACAGAAATCGAATAATTTGTAAATATATAAGAATCTAACTAAAAAAACATACTTGAAATTACCCTTACTTTGAGGTGGGTTATTATAGATAATGTGACAGCACTGGAAAACATCGCTGCCAACATAACGCCATAGGAACTATTCGTTGAAACGAACTATAGCATTTTGACGACACGTTTGGCTCAGTGTGTAGTAACCCTACTTGCTATGCCAGCGGTTGCGGGTTCGAATCCCGCTGGGGGCATTCATTTGTGTGATGAGCACAAATGTTTGTACTCCAGTCATGGGTGTTTATATTTATAATATGTATGTATTTAAAGTTATATATGTGTAGTGTATCAACTATTTGGTATCCATAACACAAGCTTCGTAGCTTACCATGGAACTAGATGGTGCTGTGTGTTAATGTCACAACATATTATCATCTATTTCTTCACTCCTACATGTTCTTAATTATCTTTTCCTGTCATGGCGTTACGTATAAGTATTAACTGTGTTCGCAAGTTATAAAATAAATATATATATATATATACATATATATACAAAATAGTACTGGTCTGTTTTGATTTAATATCTAAAAATTACATTACTTCAACAATTTTTAATAACTAAAAAGAGACTTTAGAACCACTTTGAATAGGTCAAATTAACAAAACGATAAACATTTACAAACGGCATAGAAGAAATAACAGTGGCCAAACATTTAAAGAAACTTAATTATCTACTAGTACCTGGGCGACCGATTTTCGCTCGGAGTTTTTGGCCAAGAGTACGATTTCCTTTTTTTTTAACTAAAAACTTGAATAAATACAAAAAAAATATGTAAAACTTTGTATACGACTGGGTTTCGAACCCGGACACCTATGATAATCAACCTTGTCCGCTTGACCACAGTGCTTAAGTCCAAGCATACGAAATTAGTAATAAAACCGCATGAAAACTCGAAAACACGCGTTTTCCCAGACATAAGACTAATCTAGATCGATTTTCGCCCCCGATATATATATATATATATATATATATATATATATATATATATATATATATATATATATATATATACAAGAATTGTTCGTTTAAATATATTACATTAACTACATAGAAAAGTATAAAAAACCACATACTCTTCAAATCATTATGCAAGTTTTCCAGGAACTGCTCACTCCACTTGGTCTCTCTCTCGCAGAGCTGCGTCTTATCCCGCGGGATATGTCCTCCGGAGCAGCTCTTTTTGAGGTTTTGCCCGCATTGCTCGAGCCAAGCCGGTGGCTCTGCGAGGTGGGCGTGGTCTTCTAACACTGTACAATATTATTATGATGTAAAACGTATTTTTGAAGTTATACTTCTTTTGGCACGTTTGGAAAAAATTATGAATGTAAACTTTTTACGATGCGCGCGCACACCGACAGCCAAAAAGCGACATGATAAAGTTAGCTGCATTCCTTTTAAAAACAGAGAGTTGTGACATACGGGATGAAATCTTTAGCTATTTTTGTTCTGTTACGCCAAAGAAGTATAATTTTTTACGTTCATACATTATACACACACACGTTTTTTTACGTTTCGGTTTGGGCACGAGAAGTTTTTTTCACGTACCGAAAGGGAATGTGCGGGTCTCTCACAAGACGGAAGACGACTTGGTCAAAGTCGCTGGAGATGACTGGATGATAGAAATGGAAGATAACTGGATGGCACAAGACCAGTTGTGCCGCTTTGGGGGAGGCATCTATATCCAGTAGTGAACGTGTTTAGGCTGAGACGACGACGACGAAATAAAAGCACATATCTTTTCGAATTCTTTCTTTAATTTATTGGAAAGATTTTGACTTTATATTGAAAAGAAGTAACAACCCACCAATCAAACTGGCATCGTACACGATCTCCGCATGCCTCCTGCTGGCCTGGTAGCCGTGGCGGGCGCGCGGCGCGCGGGCGTCGGCCGCGGGGTCGCGCGCGGCGCGGGAGGCGGGCCCGCCGCCGCGCGCCGCCCGCGACGCCCGCGCGCGCTCTGCGCATGCGCCGAGAGATCGGTTCGATGATAGCTTCCGAAGCTCTGTGTACATGATTTTACTAGCTAACTAACGATCAAAAAATACAAAATACACAATCCCATGCAAAAGTTCTCTTAAAACTGTCACCGATTGTGTTTAGGTAGTTGTTCTTGTTGAAATAAATATACGACAATGTAAATTGAACCTTAAATGCAATGCTTAAAGTTGTTTTCACAATATTTTTTTTAATTAAAAGCGCGCTCAGATGTTCAAATGAGCGCACATTCGGTGAGGACATTTTTTGTCCCTGATTGTGTATCTAGTACTTGTTTGTTACTTGATGATATTGTACTTTTAATAGGTGATTTTTTTTTTAAATTGGTCCTATACTTTTTGATTTATCCATTATCCATTACAAACAAAAATATAAAAAATCATTTTTTCTCTTTCTAATACTTATTAGTCTAAACTAACTACAGACACTTAAATTTTATTTACCTATATCTATATATATAGATAAATAAAATTGAAGTGTCTGTGTGTAATGTCAAAATAACAGCTTTTTACTAAATGCATATAAAAGTACTATATGTGAAACGCGGGCTGGACTGATTTTAACGGGACTTTCACTGGCAGATAGCTGATGTTATAAGGAGTAACTTAGACTTTTGAATAATAATATGTTGGTACATTAACACACAGCACCATCTAGTTCCATGGTAAGCTACGAGGCTTGTGTTATGGATACCAGATAGTTGATACACTACACATATATGACTTTATATACATACATATTATACATATATTATAGTACACAAGAGTATATATCAACACAAATACACTGTTACTGTTGCACAACTAATGCTAATATAGCAAAAAATAATCTTCGACTTCGAAAAATTAAGATAAAAAATAAAAAAAAAGTTCTAAGATACAAGACCTCTATCCCTGGTGCGTCGGATAGTTTCTATCCTCGCTTCCATATCGCTTTTCTTATTTATCCACAGATTTGCCAATTTTGTGGTGGTGCGTGTTGTCGTCTTCTGCGTTTGTTCCGCTTGTAACTTGTGAAGGAGCGCTTGACGAATCGATTGTAGCTCGTCGATTTCCTAAGATGGAATACCAATTATTAAATTTAATTTATAAAGTATTTAAAAAAATAGATTTTCTCCTATATATTTAAATATGATGATGATGATGATGATGTTCTCCTAGCCGATTCCGGCTACGGCGGCCAATCTCATTGAGATTAGCCAACTGCGCAGGAGATATTATAGTGCACAAGTGTACGCGCAGACACAAGTGCACTCTCTTTTCCTGTCACTCTCATACTCCGGTGGGACGACACGAGACACTCGCGGTGAGAGTGTCAGCGCAGGACCGACGGCTTTACGTGCTCTCCGAGGCACGGGGGTGAAACACCGCCAACTTCCCAACTCCGGCCTGTTACTGAGACTTACTATACAGAAAGACTCGATAACTAAACTTGGCCCGACCTGGGACTCGAACCCAGGACCTCCGGGTGTGCAGCCGTACATGCTAGCCACTACACCACCGAGGCAGTTAGTTAGTTAAATATTATATCACAGACTTAGCGACTTATCCTCGTCTCCCTCGGGTTTCTCCCTAGATACGTTTTAATTTTTTTCAGCGGAACCCTAATTCTTTAAAAAAAATTAAAATAGCCTAAGTTACTCCTTATAACATCAGCTATCTACCAGTGAAAGTCCCATCAAGGTCAGTTCAGCCATTTCGGAGATTAGCCAGAACAAACAAACAGACAGACAAAAATGTTAAAAATTATGTTTTTCCTATAAGTAGGGACCGTATATAATTTCATGTCCATTTAGTAAAACGCTTCAAAGTCCAAAGAAAAAAAAATTCTTTACGCCATAGACATTTTCATGTGTATACAGAATAACCCACCAGAGTTTCGTCGCAATCGGGTAAATAGTTTAGAAACGTATATAGAACAAACATACGAACATTCATTTTTATTTATATAGAAGATAGAAGAAGAAGATATATGATAAGATAAGATTGTATATTGATGATGAAGAAAACGACCTGGAGGAACACGTAAGCTACTGTCAGGTATTTAAAAAAAGCACTCGAGCAAAACGAGCTGCTAGATATGCTGCTAGGGGACCATCCATAAATTCCGTCACACGTTAAAGGGGGGGTGAGGGGGGTCAACGAAGTGTGACATTGTGTGTCAAGGGGCAGTGGGGAGTTATAAGCTTCGTGACGTCACATGTCAAAACCTAAAGTACTAAAATACAAAACATTAGCTGTAAATGAAAAATTAAAAAAAAAAATGATCTTTCTTTATGCTTATTATATAATATTTATATTGTTTTGTTAGCGAATTCTCGCTGGGCAGCAAGCGGGTCGCCGTACCACGCTGTTGATGTTGCCGCTCACGCTGTTTTTACTCAGTTCAGTACTGGGTGTAAAGCAAAATATGTGACTTCACTCCAGGGGGGTGGGGGGGGGGGGGTGTGTGTGTGTCTGTGACCGCCTGTGACAAGGAGGGGGAGGGTTAAAAAATCATTAAAATCGTGTGATTTAATTTATATATGGCCCCTAGCTTACATATATTTGGTATTACATACCGCCTCCCTAAAAATCCAATCTTTAGTCTCTATATCTGTAATGATCTCGTCGCGCTTCTTCATCCAGTCCGGATACCGACCCTTGTCCACCAGCTCCGACCACTTGCGCGCGTGACGCATCCTCGTGGAGAAGAATGAAGAAGTTGAAGAAGAAAAGAATATAATACTTTCTTAGATTTACGCGAATAATTGACAATTTAAATAAAACTATCTTTTCGGATTTTTTCAAAAATAATAGCAAAATGAAATAAATAATATTCCATATTCAATTATAATTAAAATTATAAAAATGTTTTAAAGTTAAAAAATATTGTAAGGTAATTGGTGCAATTTTCATTTTGTTAATTGTGGGTAGGCTGTCTGTAACAACTAAACCTTCAAGACATGTAACACCTCAGTCTCTCCCGTGACCATGATTGCTGTAAAGCATTCCAAACGTCGGGAACCAAAAATCTAAATAAATTCGCGAAAAAATCCGAAAAGATAGTTTTATTTAAATAGAAAAGAATAATTTAAATACATAAACAAAAAAAAATTAAGTTTGAAAATGCATTTACGCATACTCCCTGTATACATACAGGTGGTTATATGAGACTCACCGGCAAAGCCAGCACTATTAGAGTATTAAATTTTTATAGCAATTTTTAACAGTTTTTAATTATACTTTCTTAGATTTACGCGAATATTTGGTGTGGTGTGTGATTGTCCGTCCGTCCGTCACTCAGTCTCTCCCGTGACCATAATTGCTGTAAAGCATTCGTAACATCGGGGACGAAAAGTCTAAATATATGCACGAAATGATTCGAAAAGATAGTTTTATTTATAATGATTTAGGTCTATATAGGCAGTGGATAACATTACAAGTGGTAAAATATGAGCAGTTCGGGCTTGCCATTGGGATCAGATATCAGAGACAGTGGCTTGAATATTGTGTGATTAGGAACGTCAATATTTAATTAAAAAAAAATGTTTTATTTCTTTTATCATAAAAGGGGAGAGCCCTAGGTGCCTTTTGCCCGATTTCACCAACATCCCATAAGCTACCACCTACGTATGGCAACCCTAGCTTAAAATTTCCCCTAAACTAGCCCCTATATCAAATTTCATTTTACCATCGTCGGAGCCCGTATTTCTAGTACCTATATTTAGGTGGCATTTTAATATTTAGGTGACCCCTAACTGTCGGTGATACAAAAACTGTCCCCTAACAGCCCCCTAACCATGGTTAGGGGATCATTTAAACTTAGGTGACGTTGGTGAAATCGGCCATAACTTTGCTAAAACATTGAAATTTTACAAAAACTTACGAAGTAAAATGGATTTATCGAACCGCTGAAAAACCTTTTATTTCTTACCATGACATGTTTTATCAAGTTTACAAATATTAAATTTCTCACTTATTTATAATTTCCGTAGTATGAAAGTCCGCAGGCAAATCGCCCAAACGGTATGGACATCCAGGACCTAGAAATTATTAGAAAAAAATATATTAATATTATATATATATATATATATATATATATATATATATATATATAATAAATTTCTAACTGATTCGAATCTGTACATTAAATATTTTATGGAAAATGTTATTGAAATAGTCATTATAATCGATACAGAGGCCGAGTCTATAGTTTTTAGAATTTTTGTCTGTTTATCTATCTGTGACCGCATCACGGAAAACCACTTGACAGATTTTGATAAAATTCGGTATGACGATAGCTGGTTATCCGCGTCAACATATAGGATACTTTTTACCGCGGGAAAATATCTCATCTCTGAGAAATCTATACTAAACGTTAAAACGTAAGTTGGGACGAACCAGAGCGGAGCGAGGGTGAGTCGCTAGTCTTTATATATATAAAATTCCGATGTGCATATGTTCGTAATTCTTTTCACTATATACATATAGGGTAACCTAAATCTTTCATAGATATAAAAAAAGAGATTTTGAGGTTTTTTTTAGGATTACGAATAAAATTGAAATTTTGACAGAACAACGTCCGTCGACTAGTAAATAAAAATTAAGTTAGTCAGTTAGTTCTTCATCTTAGTATTAAAATGATGGAAATACTTAAAAAAAATATAAAAAATCTGGAATATTCTTCTTGTATTTAGAATATCATATACTAAATATAAGATACTACAAAAAAAATCGATTAAATTTTAACGTAAACTCGATTTTATTATTTCCAAATTCCAATAACTACTTACTTTACTATTGAAAAATGAATATAAATAGGTAAAAAAAGTCTACTTACCCCACTCTAACTTGTCCAAATACATAACTTCTGGGGTCGTCTCACATCTCTCCGCCGGCCTTGCATCCGGCTGCCAGGGGGTCGTCTGAGCTGAAGACTCCCTGGAAAAAGAACTCAGTAGCCCAGTGGTAACGAGCTCGCTTGGGAATCCGAGTGAAGCGGATTTAAATACCCATCCCTGATATTTTTATGTGCGAATCATTTCCAACACGATTATCTTAACGGTGAAGGAAAACATCGTGAGGAAACCTGCATGTCTGAGAGAACCTAGCAAGTATTCCACATGAAACGACATATGTGAAGTCCGCCAAACCGCGACTAGCGTGGATGACTATAACCCGATCCCTCTCGTATTGAAAGGAGGCCTCCACCCCCATCACCACCATGACCAGGACCACCCCCAGCAGTGGGACGTTAAAAAAAGGCTTGAATACATACACAATACAAATATTTAATACAAGTGTTGACTCAAAGATTGATATTCGATCATAACCATAATTGAAAATTTGAAAATTTTATATCAATGATATCACTGAATACCATCAATAGCTACTAAATAAAATAAAAATGCCTTTTAATTCACTTAAATCGACTACAGAATACAATATAATTTACTCAATCAGAGTAAATTTTTTTAAGCACAACTTATATTATAATAGCTCCATGCAGTTGCTAGAAATAAGTATAGTCATTGATAGTACATATATATATATATATATATATATATATATATATATATATATATATATATATATATATATATATATATATATATATATATATGTACTAGCGACTCACCCTCGCTCCGCTCGGGTTCGTCCCTGGGGTGGGGTCTGGGAGGACCACCCTTATCCTTATCACTTAGGGGTATGAAAAATAGATAGTAGCCAATTCTCAGACCTACTGAATACGCATATAAAATTTGGTAAAAATCGGTAAAGCCGTTTCGGAGGAGTACGGTAACAAACATTGTGACATGGAAATTTTATATATATATATATATATATATATATATATATATATATATATATATAGTAATTTAAATATTAATAATTATCGAATTAGTTGTAATAAATGATAGATTATTTGTTAGTTTCATAATTTTTATTATTTTAATGATTTTTTTAATTATTTTGTTAGTCTATAGCTACTAAACAAACAGAAAAGAAAATCGTTTGACAAATGGAGGAGAAAAAGTTACTAAATTATTTTGTCTTGGCCTATTTATATATTTTTGTTTGAATCGGATAATTTACACCAGACACCGGCCCCGCCCATTGCTATTATATGCTCATTACAGATTGTCTATAGTGGATTTTAATAAAATCTTTATATATATAATTCTTCTGTGAGTGTGTATGTCACTGAACTTCTCTCAAACGACTGCACCGATTTTGATGAAATTTTTTGTGTGTGTTCAAGGGGATCTGGGAATGGTTTAGATTCACAATTTGAATAATAATTTTCATCAAAAAAATTATAAAAAAAAGTTTGAAATTTTCAAATTAAAGACGTGTAGACAGGACAACGTCTGTCGGGTCCGCTAGTAAACCTATATTTCATACCGATACACGCTCTGTGTCCCTCTGTTCCTAGGTTTCGTGGGTCCAGTGGTCATCATCGGCGTGGGCGGATGGAAATCGGGACTCGTACTTTTGATCGCCAGCAGCTTTTTTGGGCTGGAATTTAAATATTCAATGAATCCTTTATTGGTTATCCCTTGAGGGGTCAAGTTTCTCGTACATTGGTTGCACACTGAGGGTCTTGAATTCGATTCCCGATGAATTTGTTTAGTGTAGGTACTACAGTGATGTAACGTAATTACAATTTGTAAGTTTGTGAAATTCGATCGAGCTTATCTAATAATGGAACCAGGTGGAAAGTGGTAACTTATGAAAATGAAAATTTCATCAAAATCGCTCCAGCCATTTCTGAGTCCATAGGAAACGTAAAATACTCACGCTGCAGAGAACTTAAACCGGTCCTTCCCTCCCAACTCCGGAGCAGGAACGTTTTGAACAGCACGCACTTTGTTCAGGTACGCGCCGTACGAGCGGTCCACGTGCGGCGGAAGGCGACAGTTTGGATAATATACTGGTAGAAACAAACATAAAAAAATATAAAATATGAATCTGCTTTTGACCGGTTTCTTCGTTGAGTATCTATTGACAGATGAAGCTACATTGATTAAAGAGGCCCCGTGGCAATGAGGGGACTGAGGCCCCTAATAATATTTTCAAGAATTAAAAAAAAAAATTTTTTGACTGGCGAAACAGAACAAAAAAAAATGAGTTTATTAATTTCACATAAAAAAAACGAATTTAGAAATAAAAGGAGAAAATAGAAATATCTATTGTGGGGATTTTCTATTCTATTGGCTGGAGAAATTTTAAATCCAGCTCTGGATGCCTTAAATTGAACTTTAATCTGAACTTACCAACTTGCATTCTTGGAAACTGTCGCAGTTCGGAAAACATCGTTTTGTATACTGGCTGGATAACCTAAAGAGAAAATGTTATCTATACTAATATTATGAAGAGGTAAGGTTTGTGAGTTTGTGACGTTGTAGGTGGTAATCTCTGGATCTACAGAACCGATTTAGATGAAATTTGGTAAGAAGATAGTTTGAGACCTTGGAAAGGACATAGGATACTTTTTATTCCGGAAATCATCCCTTAAGGGGGTTAAAATGAGGATCAAAGTTTGTATTTTATAAGCAAACGATGGACGAACCCAAGCGAAGCAAGGGCGAGCCGCTAGTAAAAAATAAAATGGGAGTATAATATTTCATTTTACATAATATCTACAATTCTAGAAACCCCCTAAAGAAACCAATAAAAATGTAAGTTTTCTAATAGAGTGTATAATAGACAGCTCGTGCTACAAATATATCTTTCTATAACAATAAACATACTTTAATATTGAGTTTTAGCTGAATTCAAAATTAAACTTAAACTGGATAAAAAATAGTTTACCACTTGTGCAGACGCCATGGCAGCTCTGAAAGCAGTTCTGGCGTAGTCTCTTGCACCAGACACGATGAAGGCGGAATCTATTCAAAAGATTATTATATTTGGAGGGATAGTTAGTCTCTCTCTCTCTCTCTCTCATTCTATCTTTCTCTCCATTTTACACTCTCCACATTTATTTTTTCTTAATTTGTAATATTGCGTATATTATTATAAACTAGCATTGCCCGCGGCTCCGCCCGCGTTCAGATGACCAAAAGCCAAATTCTTAGATTTTACATTGCAGATTATGTATTTTTTCTCAGAAATAAGATATTTTCCCGACGTAAAAAGTATCCTATATGTTGATCCGGATAACCAGCCATCACCATACCAAATTTCATCAAAATCCCTCCAGTGGTTTTTCCGTGATGCGGCAACAGACAGACAGACAGACAAAAATTCTAAAAACTATAGATTCGGCCTCTGTATCGATAATAATGTTTATTTAAATAACATTTTCCAAAAAATATCTAATGTACAGATTCGGCTCAGTTACAATTTTATTATATGTATAAAAAAGCTTTTACTTAAATATGATTTTATATTTACCATATAAATAATCGTGGACTCGCATTTTCGAGACATTATGACGTCTTGGCGCTTCATACAACGTGTCTCCACTCATTTTAGTTAATTCTTACTTATAACAATCTAATTCAAGATCTCACTTCTTATTTATTTATATTACAACAGCGTTGCTAAGAGATTTACCTGTCATTTGAACAGTCAAAATGCAAAAGTTTTACTTATCTATACATATAATAAAATTGTAACTAAGTCGAATCTGTACATTAAATATTTTTTGGAAAATCTTATTGTAATAAACATTATTATCGATACAGAGGCCGAATCTATAGTTTTTTGATTTTTTTGTCTATCTGTCTGTCTGTTACCGCATCACAGAAAAACTACTGGAGAGATTTTGATGAAATTTGGTATGGTGATGATGGTTATCCGGGTCAACATATAGGATACTTATTACCGCGGGAAAATATCTCATTTCTGAGAAAAAATACAAAAACTGCAATGTAAGAGTATACTAATATGTAAAACCTAAGAATTTGGTTTTTGGTCATCTGAACGCGGACGGAGCCGCCAGCAATGCTAGTATTCTATATAAATAAAATAAATGTCTGATATTATTAATAATCGTCAATACTGTAATAAATTTTAAGACGCATTTTCAACAGTATTTTTTTAATTCTAAATATATTTTTTTACTATTTCTTTACTGTTTTTTGTACATCTTGAGTTTTTGTATATGAATCAAAGAAAGAAATATTTTATAAATTTTATATAAAAAAATCTATACATATATTATATATATCCATCTGTTGATATTTGAATTAATTTTTTTTGTTGTATGAAACTACTTTTTTTGATATTTTTTCGTAGTTTTAGTGCGAGCGAAGCCGCGGGTTCTGCTAGTATTAATATAAATATTATAAAGAGACAAAGTTTGTTTGTTTGTTTGAACGCGATTAATTTTTTTGTTCTTAATGAGACTCACAGACAGACAGACAGACAGATCAAATCTAATATATCTTTATATAGTATACAATGAAGCTTCCGCTGTCTGTTCGCTTATATCTTTTAAACTACTCAACAGATTTTAATGCAGTTTTCAGCAATAGATAGAGTGATTCAAGAGGAAGGTTTGTATGTATAATACATGCATATTATAGTACAGAAAAGCCGAGAAATTCAAAGATTTATATTTCATACTAACCGTTAAAACGTACCAAAAATAAAACAAAATACCACAGTGTAATATAAAACCTTTATTTGCATAATTAATTTCCATACGATGTGCTTGATTGCTTACATTAGCTTTGATACGCTTATATTATAAGAAAATGTACCAAAATGATCAACTTTTTGATTACATATTTAATCCTTAACACCTCCAGGTAAATTTCTAAGAAATCTATTGTTAACTGACACGCCTTCTTATTAATATCATATATACTTAACATTATAAATGTGAAAGTGTTCGTTTGTTTGTCCTTCTTTCACGTCGAAACGGAGTGACGGATAGGCGTGATTTTTTGTGTGGAGATAGTTGGAGGGCTGGAGAGTGACATAGGCTACTTTTTACTGCGGGATATAATATAATTCCCACGGGATAACACGTTATAATACAACCCAAAAAAATATTAAAATCAGAATTACTTGAAACTTGGTATTAATGCTCTTCAATAAAATGAAATACATACGTGTTTTAGCATTTATTTTTAGCAATTCATTTTATATAGGTGATGAGTTTGTATGAAACTACCCTTTGGGAGATTTTTTTGTAGTTTTAGCGCGAGCGAAATCGCGGGTTCTGCTAGTATTAATATAAATATTATAAACAGACAGAGTTTGTTTGTTTATTTGAACGCGCTAATCTCAGGAACTACTAATACGATTCGTAAAATTCTTTTTGCATTAGATAGCCCGTTCATTGAGGAAGGCTATAGACTATATATCATCATGCTACCACCCAAAGGAGTGGAGCAGTAATCATAAATGTCAACAAATCACAAACAAATCGGCAGACGTCCATACATTATTGTAAAACTGATATTTATAATCAAACAAATTTAACGCGGGTGAAACCGCAGGACACAGCTAGTATTAATATAAAACTCATTTCGAGAATAACTGAGCATTATATAAGGTCATTTTTAATTTACTGAAAACCTTTTAGGGATATAATATTTACATCATAACAACAACATCTGTAAGAAAAAAAAAATATTTCAAAAATTTTTATTTCAATACAAAAATAAAAATATTTTTACTGCACCTTCTAAACGGCATCTGGTCAAGTTTAAATGAGTAAGCACCACCTACTTCACCCCTACACCTCCCCCCCTCCCCCTCCACCGGACACGCGCTTTCTTTTGCTAATGCTGGACTATTACCGTTTAGAAGGTGCAATAAAAATATTTTTAATTTTTGCAAAATTTAAGAAATATTATTTTTTTTCTTACAGATATTGTTGTTATGATGTAAATAGTATATTCCCAAAAGGTTTTCAGTAAATTAAAAATGATCCTGTACAAAATTTCAGTGTATATGTTTAGTTATATTTCTCTTTAACAACGGCTTGACCAATTTTGATAGAATTTCAATTCAATTCAATTCTCTTGTAAATGTCCCAAAAAAAAAATGTTTGAGAATCCCGCTCCCCCTTAGGACCTCTAGTAAGCCGCAATGGGTTTTCAAAGTCTTCGAGTTCGTCTTATTTTAGCATCTTACACTTGAAAAGCGTTTTGGTTGTTTAACCGACTTCCAAAGAAGAAGACCGTCGTTATTTTGCTTATGTATGTATATTTTTAAATTGTAATTAATAATTTTAAGCCTTCAAAGCAGCATCCAACTCGGCCAATTGCAACGTAGCTCGCCTCAACATCTCTGCCTGTTGTGTGCTGCTCTTGTTGAGTGCGGATACACTCTGTTTGAGTGTGGTGAGACGTGTTGAGACCCTTTGTTTCTCCGCTTGGAGCAATTGATGGGCTTTTGCACCTGGAATTGTTTTAACGGTTAGTATGGAATAGATATATTATATACTATGGGTTCGTCCCTAGGTTGATACCCCATACAAACTTTCATCCCCATTTTCAACCCCTTAAGGGATGATTTCCGGGATAAGAAATATTCTATGTCCTTCCCGGGGTTTCAAACTATCGTCTTACCAAATTTCATCTAAATCGGTCGAGTAGTTTTTGAGTTTATTCTATACAAATATACAAAAACAAATCTTTTCTCTTTATAATAGTAGTGTTGATGTAGATATATACATATTACATAGGTTTGATGAGTTTTATGTGCCTTGCTTGAGAAACCCGATTAAGGGATGATTTCCGGGACAAACACTATCCCATGTCATTCCCAGTGTCTAAAACTATCTCCATACTAAATTTCAACTAAATCGGTTCAGCGAATTAAGCATGAAAAGATAACAGACAGACAGACAAAGTTACTTTCGCATTTATAATATTAGTATGGATTTGTTATTGTTATATTTAATTTACTTTTTTACTTTAATTATCTTTACTAAGTATTTAAACAAATTTTGGAAGTCGATTATAACTCTTCAATGGCTAGTTGTAATACTTTTGAGTTTAGCCTCATTTTGCTCGTGTTCCATATTATATATAACAAACAGAAAAACAAAAACAAATCTATCCCGCGGGAACCGTACATTTTTCCGGGATAAATGTGCTACTCCAGTCTATAATCTATCTCTGTGCCAAATTTCATCCAGATCCGCTCAGCTGTTCTGGCGTGATTGAGTTACAAACATCAAAAACATTCACATAATATATAATATAAAATATTAGTAAGATTCCTATATTTTAATATATATTTTTAATAAATAAATTCATTTTTCAATATTTAATATCATTACAATAAAATATAAAGATTACAAATATACGTTTACAGGTTTTTAAATGTATTTTTGATTTAAAAAAAAAATAAAAAAAAAATTAAAAATATTAAAAAAAAAATCTGTGAAGCCATTTAACAAAACGATGGAATCTTAAAGGAATAATTAAATAAAAAAAATATATATAAACTAACCCAACAGAGGTATGTAGTCACCGGCCCTCTCTGATCTGATGTCCAGTGTGAACCACTCGTTCAAGTCGTCCGAGTCTGATGATGGCAACTCCTTTAAATAAAATGTAATTTATCAATTAAAAAGGTAGACATCTTATGTAAAAGTAGTTGTAATAGATGTTTGTTTGGAAAAAAAAACAAAATATATTAAAGTTTAGTATAAAATAGACTTTATACTCGAATGTTTGTACATACATAGGTATATTAAAAAATATTTTTTTTAATGTTATACTTCTTTTGGCACAATTAACTAGTTTCACAAGTTTCGTACATAACACACGTTTTTTTATATCCATTGTTTGAGAAATGATTCCCCATAAAAACTTCCACCTCCCTCCATTTTCACCCCATTAAGGGATGATTTCCAGGATAAAAAGTATCCTATGTCCTTCCCAGAATCAAAAACTTCTTCATACCAAATTTCATCTAAACCGATTCAGCGGATTTTTAGTTATCCATTACGCACGTAGGAAGTTAGTTATACTTCTTTGGCGTAACAGAACAAAAATAGCTAAAGATTTCATTCCGTATGTCGCGACTCTGTGTTTGTAAAAAGAATTGAGCTAACTTCATCATGTCGCTTTTTGGCTGTCGCTTACGCGCCCATCGTAAAAATTTAACTCTCATAAATTTTCCAAACGTCCCAAAAGAAGTATAACTTCAAAAAAAAAATTGTATGTCTCATACACACATCATACAAACTGTCGTCTTCCGAGTGCGAGTCGACATCGCTGGGAACCTCCTCGTCCATACGCTCAGGCCTCATTATCCTCTGCTGTGACTCCTCCATGTCCGACTCGAACTCCTGGATTATAGAAATTATGATATTAGTTTAAATTCAAAATATTTTATTTAGCATTAAATTTTTTTTACTGAACGTCACGAGTCTACTGCCAGTTCGGAAAGAAGAAGCCTCAGACCTGAGAAGAACTGGCGAAAGAAACTCAGCGGGACTAATATTCACTTGTTATCTTTTTTTAAAGTAAAATTATAATTTACAATATTTCTATCAAGTTGGAGTAGCTTCGAGGAGATTATTTCATTCCCAAGGCCATTGCCATCTTCTTGTAGTAGTATATAGTATTGAATTTGTTTTACTACCGACTTCAAGAAACGTGGTACGTGTGTTTGAGGGATTTGTAAACAAAAGAAGGCAGTGGTAGTCCAGTGGTAACTCGCTCGCTCGGGCAACCGATTGAAGCGGGTTCAAATCCCGGACCTCGCATCTCTGATATTATATCATGTGCGAATCAATAAACAGCAAGCAAGTTCTCGAGAGAAATGCTCAGTCCGCCCTCACTTGACCAGCGTGGCGTGATCCCCTCGTATTGAAAGGAGGCCCACGCCCAGCAGTGGGACGTTAAAAAAGTGCTGAGTACATAGCACATACATACACACAAACAAAAATTTTCCTCCTCATATACCATGCTGAAATATTATGATAATGCCTTCACCATCCAAATACATAACACATATCCTTGTAGGAATTTTGGATGATTAAAAAAAACACTTTTCTACGAGTCCTTTCTACGAGTCATCTTCATATACAGAAATATACAGGGAAGCAGAATCCTAATACCCCTAACATCCCTTTACTTCTACAAAGCTACCCCCCCCCCCCACAAAACCCCCACCAACCTCGTCCAGATCAAACTGTTCCTCCTCCAGGAACTCCTCCTCATTAATAATCTCCTCGGGCTCAGCTCGAACCACCTTGGTTTGAATGATTGGCTTCGGCAACGGTGTTGATGTTACTGGCTTTTTGTCTGGAAAATATCATATTAAATATAAATAAATAAATATGTTGGGACATTAACACACAGCACCATCTAGTTCCATGGTAAGCTACGAGGCCTGTGTTATGGATACCAGATAGTTGATACACTACACATATATAACTTTATATACATACATATTATAAATATAAACACTCATGACTGGAGTACCAACATTCGTGCTCGTCACACAAATGAATTCCCCCAGCGGGACTCGAACCCGCGACCGATGACACAGCAAGTAGCACACGAGAGAAGCGACGGTAAGCCACTAGTATAAAATAATAATAAAAATTGTTAAATTAGCAGAATAAACATAATATTTTGCACATTTGTTTCATTTAAAAAATTACTTTATGCTGTGTGCGTAAGTTCGAATTTGTGTATATATATATGTGTTATCTATACTAAGATTATAAAGAGGAAATATTTTTTTGTTTGTTTGTTTGTACCGAAAAGGCTCCGAAACTACTGAGCCGATTTAGATGAAATTCGGTAAGACGATAGTTTGAGACCCTGGGAAGGTCATAGGATAGCTTTTATCCCGGAAATAATCCCTTAAGGGGGTGAAATGAGGATGAAAATTTGTATGAAGAAGCAATCTAGGAACAAACCCGAGCGAAGTGAGGGTGAGTCACTATTGAGATACTCTATTGTAAAACTCACCACCAGGTTTCTGAAGGCTGACAACTTTCTTGGTGATAGTCTTTAAAGCATTTATACCGGATTTCGCTGTACTCTTGGAGGCAACGTTGCTCTTCCTCGTCACACCGAACATGCGTTTCACTGTGAGACCCTCGTCCGATGACTGAAAAAAACAAATAATTTTACAAAAAAAAGGCAAACAGACTTTTGGTCGATTTCACCAACGTCACCTAAGTTTAAGGGATCCCCTAAGCATGGTTAGGGGGCTGTTAGGGGACAGCTTCTGTTTCACCGACGGTTAGGGGTCACCTAAATGTTGAAATGCCACCTAAATATAGGTACTAGAAATACGGGCTCTGACGATGGTAAAATGAAATTTAATGTAGGGGCTAGTTTAGGGGAACTTTTAAGCTATGGATCCCATATGTAGGTGGTAGCTTATGGGATGTTGGTGAAATCGGGCATTTTACCCAGACCTACCAGATCGTATAATTGGATACGAAAATTGTAAAATATAATTATTTTAAGTTGTTACTTATTTTTAATTGAATTTACTTTATTTGTCACAGAGTATTTCTCAACAGTTTTGTTAATTTCTATGATAAAATTTGATTTGGTATAATTTCAGTGACCCAGCGGTATAAAATAAGTTGGTTCTACTGGCAGCCCTGCTTATACCACCCTTAAGAATGGAATTTAATAAAAACAAAAAATATTCTAAATATTGTATATCATCAGGACTCAAAACCGGTTTACAAACCGGTTTATTTGATTATTTTCAAATAAAATATTAAATATTGAACAGGTTTTTTTGAAGTCGATCAACTTACTTAATCACTTTCCCTAAGTGAGTTTTATAGGTCTAATCTATACTAATATTATAAAGAGGTAAAGTTTGTGAATTTGTGACGTTGTAGGGGGTAATCTCTGGGATCTACTGAACCGATTTAGATTAAATTTGATAATAAGATAGTTTGAGAGCCTAGGAAGGACATAGGATACTTTTTATCCCGGAAATCATTCCTTAAGGGGGGTGAAAATGGGGATAACAGTTTGTACGGGGAATTAAGGTAGGGATGAACCCAAGCGAAGCCAGAGTGAATCGTTAGTAATATATATTTATATGTTACCGGCAATGTGCATAACATCGGCATTCTATAAAATACCTAGACAATATGTGGGTCGATAGATCGATTCGCGGGGGGCAGGGTGGACCCCGGCAGCCGTCTTTACTTTTAACACTTCCTTACGAGACGATACGAGCCGGCGCACGCGCACGTTATTAATTGTAAACGTAATAAACTGATTTGTTGGAAGAAATTTGAAGTTTTCCTTGTTGCCCAAACAATATTATACTAGCGATTCACTCTAGCTTCGTTCTTGTTATTCATTTACATACTTATTATTTATTTTATTTACTTAAATTTGCAAAGGTACCATGTAACATACATTCATACACACAAAAAGGCATAAAAATTTAAGTACCTTCTCCATTTTGAAAAAAGTATCTTCACTAACCATATCAGTATCCCTATCGCTGGTCTCCTCAGGCATCGCCTTGCTGGGATACTTTTTGAGTATCGCATTTTTTGCTACTTTTAATCTTGCTACTTTTGCACCCTGAAACAAAAAAATATGGGGTAAATAAACCAATAGAAAAATAAAATATTTATTCAGTGCTTTTAGAAAATAAAAATTAATCTGTATAATAAGTATTGTATAATAAGTATTATAAATGTGAAAGTTTGTGAGTATGTATGATTGTATGTTTGTTACTCTTTAACGCCAGAACTGCTGAACAGATTTGGATGAACTTTGGCACAGAGATAGATTATAGTCTGGAATAACACATTTTTATCCTAAAAAAATATACGGTTTCCGAGGGATAGATTTGTTTTTGTTTTATTATGTTTGTTAACATTATAAATGTGAGAGTAAAAGTCTATTGCATTTTCACAGATAACAGCGACATTACCACAGATTAAGTATAAAAAAAAATAAAAAATAAAAATACCTCAAAAATGTATTCATCATCATCGTCATCACTGGACTGTGACTCGTGTGTACGTTTCTGTTCCAATTTCTTCGCAACATCCTTCTTAGAGTTGTCGTCTCCTCCTAACATTCGCTGAAAATAAACAAAATACTATGTAACATCTATACTATACTATAATATTATATTATAATACGAAAGTGTGTGTGTGTTCGTTTGTCCTTCGTTCACGCCGAAACGGAGTAACGGATTGGCGTGATTTTTTGTGTGGAGATAGTTGGAGGGCTGGAGAGTGACATAGGCTAGTTTTTACCGCGGGAGATTATCTCATTCCCACGGGAAAGCACGATTCATCTAGTACCATCTATCATTATAGATTTTTTAAAGGCAAAATGACAATTAGTTAAGGCCCCCAAAAACTTAGCACAGGGCCCCCAAATTCAATCCCGGACAGCTGACACACGCTATTTTAGGCCCCCCAATTTCATCAATCCCGGACACCTGAAATCCCCAACTTACCAACAACTCATCCGTGTCATGTCCATCATCATCCGACTGCTTCGTGGACTCGTCTATCTCACTCTCCTCTCTTTTTGAGTCTATAACTTTCCCATCTGTCTTTCGTATTAGGAATGCGCCTAGTTCATCTGGAAGTTCGGTCTGGAAAGTTATAAGCAATGTCAAAAGTATTCGGCCTTTTTTAACGTCCCACTGCTGGGCGTGGGCCTCCCTTCAATACGAGGGGGATCAGGCCATAGTCCACCACGCTGGCCAAGTGCGGGTGGACTGAGCATGTCTTTTGAAAACTTGCTGGGTTCTCTCAGACATGCAGGTTTCCTCACGATGTTTTCCTTCACCGTAAGACAAGTGGTAATCATGTTGGAAATGATTCGCACATGATAATATCAGAGGTGCGAGACCCGGGATTTGAACCCGCTTCACTCAGTTTCCCAAGTCAATTATGCTTTGAGGAAATACTAGAATAAAAATAATAAATAAATAAATGTTATGACTAAATATAGATTTAACTTTAAATGCTGTATTAAATACCATTATAAAAAGAGTTTACAACATTATAAATAAAATATGAAGATATAATTTGGATATTTAGTTTCTTCAAAAGCAATCAAAAGAAAGATCAGAGCACACTTTGATGGCAAAGACAAATAATTATTTATGGGTTAATTTTTAAATTATACTAAGTCAAAGTTTTTAGGTTATTTTAAAGATATAACTAAAAATTAAAGATATAATTAAAAAGAAGGTAGATATACACACATACACCCGCATTTTTAAATAAGTGACATAACATGACAAAAATTTTATTGATGACACGTTTGATCAGTTTGTAGTGACCCTACTTGCTGTGCCGACGGTCGCGGATTTGAGTCCCGCTGGGGGCATTCATTAATGTGATGAGTACAAATGTTTGTACTCCATCTCTTGCTTGTTTATAATACTCTTGTTTATTTATAATATGTATATATTTGTAGTTACATATGTATAGTGTATCAACTATCTGGTATCCATAACACAAGCCTCGTAGCTTACCATGGAACTAGATGGTGCTGTGTGTTAATTTTCTAAACATATTTATTGATTATTTAAATTGCCAATACCTGATTAGTATTCTGCAAATTATCCAATGTCTCTTCAATTTTCTCTTCCGGAGCATGTTTGGGGATATCTTCATTGAGTTCGCCTTCATGAAGGCTAGGTGCGGTGTCATCATGACTAGTGCTTACATTTGAATCTGCTTTGTTTTGATCCCCCTAACAAAACACTTTATTATACACCTATTGTTTGTTTTGACTATATAGAATATAGATAGTTTTGTCAGTCTGGTGAATAATAATTTATCAGGTATACACAAGCTCTAAAGTCACATTTTTCATTATTTATTAGTAGTAACTGCCTCAGTGGATTATTGACTAGCATGCATCGCTGCAGATCTGGCTATTTTTGGTTTGATTTCCAGGTCGGGCCAAGTATTAGTTACAGGGATTTTCTAACTAAAAATTCTCAATGACCAGGCAGATCACGTTAAGCCATTCGTTTTTCAGCACAAGAATGAATGACGAAGAGAGCACATGAATAATGAACATGTTTATAGAATTATTCAGTTTTTAGACAAGACATATTGCAAAAATATGTGAATGAGTTACAAAATATTATTTTGTTATATTATATAAGTATAACAAAACTAACTTACAGCAGGGTTATAGTCGTCATCTGTGAGTATACCCTCACTGAGCCACTCTTCATGACCCTCATCCATTTCATCCTCATCTTTTTGACTTTCCTGAAGATTGAACACAATTTATTGTCAGCAAAAAATATTAATATACAGTCATTACAGACAAATTATAATAAAAAATTCTTCTTTTCTAATAAAAATCTTAATTATGAATATTAATTATTACTATTTTTAAACAATAAAATATTGTTACTCTGGGTAACAATTCAAATATTTATAGCAAAAATATTACCATACATTTGGTATATTAACGGGAATATTATAATAAACTGAATTTAAGATCTTCACCTTCTTATGAGTTTTAGGCAATGTTCTAGATTTTCCAAATATCTAATGTTGAGTCTTTAAAAAGCTTTGAGACTTTACTAATTTACGTTGATACTAAAAATAAACCAAACTATCCATGTTTTTTAATATGTTCATATTTCAAATTCAAAAATAATGACTTACATCTATTTTCGAGATTTTAGCCGCTGGTTCTTCGTAGTCTGACATTTTGCAGTTTAAATCGAATCTATGTTTACTTCAAATATTTAAAGCTCTTTCGATTTATTGATATGAATAACTGTTAATTAATTATTATTTATTTTCATAACCTATAAAATATCGGCAAATTGTTTTATTGATATATCCAATGTTGCCATTTTATGACTTGTCACTGGAGGTGATAGGGTTACCCTTATTATAAAATATTAAATAAATTAAATTACTAAAATATTTTCTTATGTACATATTTTTTAAAATGAAATATATTTACAATATATATTTTAAAAAGTTAAGTCGATACTATATCAATACAGCATTTAAATTCAGCATTTTGTTTTAAGGTGCGTTTTCATGTTTACGCCAAGACACTTGTTTCGGAATTCAAGTTAAAGCTACTTTTTATTTATTTATTATAATGCCCAAATTTACAAGATATGTATATTTTTATTAAATAATTTTTTTCATCCCACATCAGCATTCGCTAGCTTAGTTCTAAGCCAGAGTATGGTTCTTACTCGCGAACCCTGAAAAGTACCCTCACGATTTTTCGATTCTAAGAGTTCAAAGCAGTCGCAGTGATTTTTTTTTATATATTTTTGAAATAATTTGTGCTTACAAATCCGAACTAACAATAAGTGTTAACATATCCGGGCTGCTATATCCAGGCTAACATATACATGTACTAGCATTACCTGCGGCTTCGCCCGCGTATAAACTACTAAAAAAAATCTTTGACTTTATATTATAACTAATAATAATTTGATGACATGCGTCTAATTAAAACAAACCATCCAGGGACCCATTGAAATATATAAACAAATTTTCACCCAAATCGGTCCAGCCGTTTAGGGGGAGTTAGGTGACAAACACACGTACAGAAGAATTATATATATTTAAAGACAAGCAAAACCCGCGGTCTCGCTCGCGCTAAAACAACAAAAAAAAACTAAAAAGGTAGGTTCCATATAAACTTTCATCCCCTATAGATCTCCCTTATGCGGTGCCGGATTAACCACGTAGCAAGAGTAGCAATTGCTACGCGCAAAAGGGGGCCCCGCATATTTAAACCCGCTCATCTCTGCCTGAGCGTGAAACTTATTAAGACGTGGTATATTGAATTTATTTGATGTCACAAAGACGTGAAACGTCACACCTTTTCCTACTAATAGACCAATCGGAATACGCTTATTTGTAAGAGAAAAAATATATATTAAAAACCTGAAGTTTCATGATTTTAAAATGTTAGTAGGTATACAAGGAATTCAAATTCGTAAATGCCCCATATGGCCAGCTACCCCCAAGAAATGGCGGGACGTAAAGCGTTGAAAATTAGTTTTTTTTTCAATTTCCGCTTTACAGTGACGTTCTAACGAAAAATGTTTTGTACAAAAGTTGTAGGTTTTGTAGAAATCTACAACTTTTATAAATAACACTTTTTACAATAATTTCAAAGTCTTCGAGATATTTGCCAAAAACTCGGTTTTTCTTGTTTTTTTTATTTTTAATTTCTAAAATAATCTTTTGATTTCCATGAAACTATAATCTTCGAAATACATATAATAAATAAAATAAATAAATTGAAATGTTTAGCCCTTTCCGAGAAAAGTATGTTTTATGGTCTCGAGAGGCTGAAAATCACCCCCAACTTCAAGTGGGCGTTTACATTTAAAAAAAATCGTTCAATTCATTTCTATTCCCTTAGTTTCATGAGAGGAGAAAATGTCGCTTTGTGGCTGTCGGTACAGCCAGAAAGCGACATGATAAAGTTAGCTGCATTTCTTTTACAAACAGAGAGTGATCACCGCCGCCCATGGACATCTGCAACACCGCAGGGCTTGCAGATGCGTTGCCGGCCTTTAAGGAATGAATACGCTCTCTTCTTGAAGGTGGCCAGGTCGTAGCGGTTCGGAAAGACCGCCGGCGATAGCTGGTTCCACAGAGTGGTTGTGCGAGGCAGAAAATGCCTTAAAAAACGCACTGATCTGGAACGCTGGACATCGAGGTGGTGTGGATGGAATTTAATAGTTTGGCGCGATGTCCGATGATGAAATTCAGCAGCCGGGATCAGTCCTAACAATTCCTCGGAACACTCCCCGTGATAAATGCGATAGAAGATGCAGAGTGATCCAACATCTCTACGCAGAGCTAAAGGATCAAGCCGATCAAAGAGAGCTTGATCGTCGATAACTCGAGCCGCCCTACGTTGAATGCGGTCAAATGGAAGTAGCTGGTACTGGGGAGCTCCCGCCCAAAGATGAGAATGTGGGGCCGAATTCTTTATAATCTTAAATTTAAAAATATTATTGAAATTTAAATTATTAGACAACGTCGAAACAAAATTTATTGTGTGACCAAAATTAAATAGTATAAAAATGTTTTAAAAGAAAACAAAATCGAATGTGCATATTACAAGACGTGCGCAATAAACAATAGCATTCCCAAGGAGGGTTGACGTCAGGCAGGCGTGAGGCGGCCGGTCGTAAAACTTTTGCCAAATCCCTTCAGCAGTACAGAAGAAGTACCGAGCCGACCCCAAGTGATTGAGAAATGGGCAGGGAGAAGAAGAGGAAGATAGTTTAAGTTATATCAATAGGTGTCAATAAAATAAATAGACAATTTAAGCAAAATCAATCGTAATTTATTCCTTTACTTACAAAATAATATATAATACATAATTATATATTTCGAGCCACGCGACCATCATTCAGCGGCTTCACATCTAAAACCTACATTAAAACCTACCCTAAACACTGACATGACGACAAGTAAATAATTAAAAAAAAAAAGAAAAAAAAAACAACAAAAAGAAGAGCACAGACAAACAGACAAACACACTAAACTCCACAGCATATAAAAAAAATCATTTGAAACTATCAGATCTTTATGCACTTACTTTCATACATTTTATACAAACTAAATTCTAGCAACATTTGAGGCTAATTTCGATTAAAAAAAAAACAACTGATACACAGATTTTAATTTTAACTAAAATTATACGAACATACAGACTATTGTTCAATTAATACCGACAGTTTATACAAAATAATATGTACAATTTCATAAAACAAAGTGTACACCCATCGTCATGTCAGCTTTATCCTCATACATAACAATCCGCCAATTAAAGCACTTTCTTCTAAAGAGAAACATTAATAGATATTTAACATCATCTGTCCCAAATATATAAATAATAAAAAAAATAGAAAAAAAAATAAGAAAAAAAAAAACTAGCAGTCAATGTGAGTGAACCATTGTTTCATGATATGATGGTCTCACACATTGAATTTCATATTTAATTTTATTATTTTTAACCCCCGACAGCGGACGCAAAAAGAGGGGTGTTATAAGTTTGACGTCGATGTCTGTCTGTCTGTCTGTCTGTGGCATCGTACCTCTCAAACGAACGAAGCGATTTTTTCATTTGAAAGCCAGTTTCCTTGCGGTGATTCTTAGCTATGTTTAGTTAATATCATATATAAGTGACATATATAAATGACAATTAATTTGCGTGGGTTTTTTTTTAATTTTTAATTTATAATTAAAATTCAAAGTTGAATATTAAAGATAAATTAAAAAAATATTTCACTTGTTGTCATTTAGCTATAAAAAAAACAATTAAAAGAAAGTAACTTTAATGGCAACACATTGTATGTACTCGGCACAATGAGTTGAGCGAAACTGTTTCAATTTTAAACCACAGAATATATACAGTTGTTTTATTTTACACAAAAAAGGAGTCGAACCTGCGAAGCTCTTGTATTAAATTCAAATATTTCTTTAGTAACCAAAAATCCTTATAATTTTGATATTTTACAAAAAAAACCAAGAAACCATGTTTTTTTTAGAATTTATTTCAATAATCGCAACAGTTTCATCCCAACGGTAACATTGAATTTGAACAGATAATTTATAAAAGGGCGCAACCACATTCAGCATCAGCCTTAAAAGTTAAATTGGTGTTATTATTCACTTGTTAATATTATAATACATAAAAAAAAACAATCATATTTCAGAAAATATAAAAAAATATATATTCTATTTCATTTTAATTAAATTACACAATTATTTGTTTAAAAAAAATTTACAGTGTTGCCATTTATGTAACATAAAATAAACATGGTCACACCCCCATCTAGCATTACTTAAAAACGCAAATCTAACATTTATAATTCCTACATTTTTTTACACTTGATTCAGTCGAGGGAATATAATAATAATAATTTTTTTTTCATTATTTTTCGTTGTATTTGGCATATAAATTTAACAAAAACTATGCTAAGCTACCTCTACACCGTTGATTTAATACTAAATCTATACAAATAAATAAAATTCAAGTGTCCGTTTTTAATGTCAAAATAACAGCTTTTCATTGAATGCATTTGAAATTATATATGGTATTTATACAAAAATCATTTTAAAAGATTTGTGTCCGTCTGTTTGTACCGGCTAATCTCCGAAACGGCTAGACTGATTTTGACGGGACCTTCACTGGCAGATAGCTGAAGTTATAAAGAGTAACTAAGGCCACTACTAATCCATCCTTATATTATAAATGCGAAATCGTGTCTGTTTGTTTGTTTGTCTCTCTTGTATATTTAATATTGTGATCGTTTAAGGGCCGGAGTGTAAAAGCCCATTTCATTTCGATATTTAAAAGAGCAACTGTTGAGTTTGTTTGGTCTTTTCTCAGCAGAACTGCTTTCCGAGCCGGTGGTAGCTTCCTCACGGACAGACTGCACTGACGCCGTTTAAATTATATTGACGATTCAAAAGTGCTTATAATAAATCCATCTGAATAGTTTAATGTCATTTCATAACATACGATTATTATTATTTCATTGTTTTTCTATGGCTTTAAAAAAAAAATATTTTTAGAGTTCTGTGCCTCAAAAGTAAAAAGGACCCCCTATAGTATACGGCGTAACAATTTATCAAAATTGATCAAACCACATGTGGACAAGAAAGATTTGGGATACTAATTCGTAAAAACAATAATAAAAAAATGGCTCGTATTTTATAAACGGGTTCTCGAGTAGACTCTTGAGATTTTTTTTTTGTGCAGTACTTATTATCTTGAGTAAACCCACAAAGCTCCAAGTGGAGGAAATAAACACTTTCGGAAATAAAAAATATCAAAGTTATATAAATATAACCTCAATTCTGCACTATTTTATTGCTTTTGACGTAATTTTGACAGAAGTGTTGCCAGTTTAGGGAGCAATAATTATGCGTTTTGCAATTAATTTGCAAATAATAAGTTGACGCGCATTTTAATTATTTTATTATTAATTTATTAAAGAAATAAATTAGAATACTCATATATTCTGACTTTTATATTTAAGTTAATATCGTTGATTTTATATTTAGAAAACTATTTTTTTATATACATACCTACTTATCTAAGGCATCTAAAAGGCTTATTTAATATAAATAAATGATATATCATTATCACAAATATGTGACAGCAATAAAATTTGCCCTTTACATTAAGTCATTCATTTTGACAAGTTAGATAAGAAGTTTGTGATTAGAACTTAGATAATTGTCATCAGATCTAGATTAGAACAGTGACCACAACGCCATAAACTCTAAATACCAAACTAGAAAATTAGAAAAATCGAATTTCACGCAAAATCGAAGTAAACACTTAACAAAACATAACCTCAAAATGTAATTTTTAAGAATTCATTAAAAAAACCGATGCATTTCCTCCACTTTTCCTTTGCTGGCGATATCCACCCCCTCATCAAATATATAGATATATACGCACCCTTATTCTATAGTCATTCCAAAAACATATATTAAATAGATAATTTAAAAGATTATTAAAAATTAATATTTTATAGTGACAATTATATTTTTAATATGGCAATAACCCAATTGTGTAGAGACAGCACAACATAATTTAAAATTGATATACGTATTAATATATTTCGAATAATAATTTATAATTTCTCTTCACCTCGACCAAACAAATAATCAGTTCACATTATATACAACAACAATATGTGATAATACTTTTCGTTTAAACCATATATATGAAGGTTATAGGTAAAAAACAGAGAATGTCCTAACAAACGAGTAGATTATGAGGAAAAAACAATTTAAAGTTTAGAAGTTATAATATTTTTATGGAGATCAAACTTTTTACTATGTAGATTTTTGGACAATCCACCATCTATACCGGTATGTCATAGACATTCCCAGTTATTTTTGCTTTGGGCATAGATAAAATCTTATTTTTAGCAACATCCGTTGAGTATTTATAGAAACTGGTGGTTGGGAATGCGATTATCATAGACATTGATATGTAACCAGTACAAAACAATTCAATTCAATTTTCAATTCATTATTTAATGGCTTTAATGCATGTCAGTTGATCACAAATTATTTAGCCTGTGTCACGTTGAATGGAGGAGTCACGTTCGAGATTGGCCAGTGATATTTTGAATTATTCCACTGAGAGACTGAATTAACAGTATTAAATAGAAGGATTTTAACAGAACAAAAAATTGTGTCATTTCCTGTTCCTTTTCTGTATCCTTCATATATAGAAAACAAATGCATACGACATTTTTAAAGTGACGAGCTGCCAATATTTCAATTGCTAGTAATTAATAATTGGGCATTTGACATTTGGAAAAATTAAATTATGACAACACCGATCATGTGATACCATGTTAAAATATTGAAAATATACAAACTCACACATAACCTTATCAATGGTGTTGACAGATTAAAAAAAATCACCAAGAAGTGTTTAATAATAAATAAGTTAAAAAATAATAATAATAATTGAATGGAAATTAAAAAAAAAATAGTTTGAATTAGATCAAACACCCAATTCTTTTAATGATAGAACAACATACATCTAATATATACATTTATATATAAGCTGACATTTCGACAAGTGTTCGGCAGTATTACTTACTCATTAAGCCAAAAAAAAACTTAACTCTAACATGGGATATATGTCAGTCACAGATAAATATGTATAATTTCATTTATACTCTGTTTTAATACAATTAAACAAAAAATGTACAGTCACTCAATTTTTTTTTATTGTTTATGACTCTATTTCTACTCCATTTTAGTTATTATTTATTTTTTTAATGAATAACTGTATTAAAACAAGGTATATATACATCCATTGATTATCTCCATTTCCATCTCATAGGCCAAATTCACACATTTTACACCTCAGGATAAAAAAAATACTTTTTTATTTATATTTGTTTATATGATATTATTTATACATCAAGAATTAATATAGGCAGAATATAATAATGCAATAAAACTGGGCTTTATGAAGTATATTCACAGCCATATAGCAAAAATAAAATAAAAAAAATTAACATTAAAAGGAACTCTTCCAAAAAGGTGTTAAATGTATGACAGACCTCATTCAATAAATCTTATTTGGTAAGGTTCTTTCTAATTTTGTAGATTCCTTATTCATATGACTAAAATAATGAAACCCGCATTATATTGCCAGCTTAAAAAAAAATTGACACAAGTACAATCTGTGACATAAAAAAATGCTGTATGTGTTTTGATTAAGTTTTTTTTTTATTAAAAAAAAAAACCTTTTTCAACCTGTCAATATAATTTAGGCACAAACATTTTAGTCGAGTAACACTTTGTCATGTCTTCGTCTAATCTATAGTTAACCTTAGATTAAAACTAATTATAGATTATCTGTGGTGTTTCAATATCTCCATAATTAGATTAATAAGTACGTTAATTTTCATTATCAAACAAAACAACAAATTTTTCTAAGTGTATATAATTTCAAATTTCTTTTTAAATTTTTAATAAGTTTTTAAAATTTACATAATTTTTTTAAACCTCCATCAAAAGAGGTATGAATGAAGCTTCATCAGAAAAAGAGCAGGCAATGCGTAAAGAAATGTGACTTTTTTTATATTTAGAGCAAAAGTAGTCTTGACTATATAATAAATTATGTGTATTGTGTGTATGTATGTATATAATTATAATAGAAATAATTATTTCTTTAATTGCTTACTTTTATAAAAAAAAAACATATAAAATCGGTCACATTTTTTACAAACAGCCACAGCTCAAGATAATATTATAAATACATCCAATATTTAAATTTCACATAGAGACCAATAAATATTTACATTCATTTTAATCATAACGGATTACAATTAAATAGAAAAAAAAATTTCAACATTGTTCCGTTAAAGTTTCGATTACTTATCCTATAATATAAGAGGACAGCGGTCACTGGTGTATGTGAACGGCAATGATAGATTTGTTACAAAAAATAAAAACGATTATTGATCATCACAATCGTTAAACACAAAATGTTATCATAATTGTTTTAATCAAATCATCGTTACTATTAACATTCGACTCAATTCAATTCTCTTGTTAATGGCTTCAAAGCGTGCCAGTTGAGCACAGATTACTTCGCCAATGTCACATAGAATAGAGATCATTTAACTATGACAAGTGTGCGGGTGATTTTTGTCATAATGACAGTTTTGTCATTAATCTATGCATACCACATTTCAATTTGAGACTGCATTCGCTAACATCAACAAAAGACACTTCTTTTTCTATTTCTTATATTTGTTTTAGAGCAATTCATATGAAACAACTCGATTGCAATAAACTTTGACATGACACCAGAAAAGTGTGATGTGACAAAACAATTATACATTAATTCAGCCCTTTTTATCCCACTGCTGGGCACGATCCTCCGTTTGATGTCAGAAGACTCAGGCTATACCACACTGGCAACTTTCGAGAACTAGTTAGGTTCTCTCAGACGTGCAGGTTTTCTAACGATATTTTCCTACACCGTTGAACAAGTGGTAATAATGGGGAATATGATTCCGTTATCAGATACCCAGGATTCGAATCCATTTTACATTTTAACTTAAAAACTATTAAAAATGACAAATATCACCCCCACTAGTCCCAACAAAATGGGAAATCACACTCAAAAAAAACCCGTCATATACCAATCAACTAAGTTGTTAACCAATGTTCAAAAAAAGAGAACTATCATACCATGTACCGTTCATCAACACAACCTAACTTGGTCTACGGCTAACAACAGCTAACTTTTACTATCTGAATCTATTGCTTTGTTTAATAAGGCTTTATTTACTTACATTTTTACGATGAACTCTGAGATCCACTTTCACAAAAGATACAAAAAAGTACCATAAACACTTCATCCGTTATACACTTTTGTCACTACACACTGTCACTTTGTCACTTTTGATATAAGATAAGTCACTGATGACCGCGTTTTGTTTCACCGTTATTATAATAATAACGTTCAAATGCGGCGTTTAAAGGAGACCTGGAACAGATAATAAAATATTCAATCTTTCTTTGTGGACCATTATTGTAAACTAACCGCTCACCCGCGCTTCACTCAGGTTAACTTACTTAAAACTCTAGGTTGGTACTTTGTGTGTCCTAAATGTTTGCTTCCCCATACAAATTTTCATTCTCATTTTCACCCCTCTTAAGGGATGATTTCCGGGATAAAACTATCCTATATCCTTCGCAAGGTTTCAAACTATCGTCTTACCAAATTTCATCTAAATCGGTCCAGTAATTTTGGAGCCCATTCAGTACAAACATACAAACAAATCTTTTCTCTATAATATTAGTATAGATAAGAATGCGAGGCAGTGGTAGCCCGGTAGTAACGGGCTCACTTGGGAAATTCAGTCAAGCGGGTTCAAATCCCGGGTCTCGCACCTCTGATATATCCATGTTCGTGGCTAGCCTGGTGGTATTGAAAGGGAGGTCCGAGTCCAGCAGTGAAATGTTAAAAAGGGCTAAATAGAATATAACCTGGAATACAACAATCACTCAAACAAAGCTAAGTTAACGCAGTTCTCACTCGGGTAAGCTACTTTAATATGTATTTTAAATTCTAAAATCTAGTACACCTACCTAATCATAAAACGCCCTATCGTGCTCGGGCGAAGCCCTACGAGGCGGTGGGGCTGCGGGCGAAGCGCCCCCGTAGTTGAGGAAGTCCCACACTAGTATCGTATCGTCGTGGGAGGACGACACTATTTGGAACTCGTCGAACTGCAGTCTGAATACTCGACCGGTATGCTCCTGGAATTAGAAAAAAATGAAATTAAGAAATATTTCAAGACCATTGTGTTTATTAAATAAAACTATCTTTTCGGATTATTTCGCGGATTTATTTTGATTTTTTGTTAATTGTGGGTAGGCTGTCTGTAACAACTATATCTTTAAGACATGTAACACCTCAGTCTCTCCCGTGACCATGGATGCTGTAAAGCATTCGAAACGTCGGGAACCAAAAATCAAAATAAATCCGCGAAATAATCCGAAAAGATAGTTTTATTTAATAATGTCAAACATTCGCGTAAATCTAAGAAAGTATTATGTGAACCATTGTGTTTCTGGAATTTAAAAGGTTATGAGCTAAGATACATACATTCATTAAAAGGATTTTCCTTTAAAAAGGGCTGAATAACAACTGTTGACCGTCTCTCCCGTGACCGCGATCGTTGTAAAGCATTCGAAACGTCGGGAACCAAAAATTAAAATAAATTCGCGCGAAAAATCCTAATAGATAAGTTTTATTTAAAATGTCAAATGTCACATGTTTTGACGACACGTCTGGCTCAGTATGTATTGACCCTCGCTGTGCCAGCGGTCTTTGATTCGAGTCCCGCTGGGGGCATTCATTTATGTGATGAACACGAATGTTTGTACTCCAGTAATGGATATTTATATATAATAATATATATATTTAAAGTTTATATATGTGTAATGTATCAACTATCCGGTATCCATAACACAGGCCTCGTAGCTTACCATGGAACTAGATGGCGCTGTGTGTGTAATGTACCAACATATCTAGTGTACTCACAACGAGCGTGCGCAGACACAGGTCCTGGTGCGGCGTGCGCACGTCGAGCGCGGCGCGAAGGTCCCACACCTTGATCTTGCCATCGTATGCACCACTCACTATACGCTTATTGTCGAAACTGGAATATATGAAAAAAAAAATCTCATCAATACATAGTATAAAACATCTTCAACAAACAAATTCATCCCATAAGGGGGGTAAAATGGGGGATGAAAGTTCGTATGAAACCTAGGTACCTACATTTTTAGAGATTTTTTTTGTATTTTAAGCGCGAGCGAAGCCGCGGGTTCTGATAGTACATAGTATAAAACGAAAATCGCTTCCCGCTGTCCGTCTGTCCCTATGTATGCTTAGCCTTCCTCAATGAACGGGCTATCTAATGCAAAAAGAATTGTTCAAATCGGATTATTAGTTCCAGAGATTACCCCCTACAACGTCACAAACTCACAAACTTTACCTCTTTATAATATTAGTATAGATAACAACGGACACAATACAATTTGGAACCTACCTAAACTAACTTAACAACATGCGTTTCAGATTTAAAGTTTTAGAAAAAGGTTAAAGAAAGAACGAAAAGCCTTTCGGTTCCGGGATCATGAATGACCAAAACCGGTTATAAAAATTGACCGGGTTTCCGAACCCCGACCAAAGCACACCCACCGTATGCACCGCACCAGCTCCTCGTGCCCCTCCAGCACACGTATACACTGTCCGCACTCTATATCCCACAGCCGGATGGTGTTGTCCGAGGAGCCGGATACGACGAGCCGGTCCCGGTACTGCAGGCACGCGATGCCTCGCTTGTGCCCGTTCAGAGTGCGGACGAACTCGCACGACGACGTGTTCCATACCTGAAATCACACAAACACACATACACATCTTAGATAGCCTATACACAAATATTATTCACTAGCGACTTACGTTTTAACATATAGTATGATTTGATTTGGATTTGAACTCACTTCAATCTGTTTCCCAAGCGAGCGTGTTACACATGTATTATATATACATATAATAAAATTCTAAGTAACTCGAATCTGTATTATTGAATTGTAACTCTTATGAAATAGACATTATTATCGATACAGAGGCCGAATATATAGTTTTTAGAATTTTTGTCTGTCTGTCTGTTACCGCATCACAGAAAAACCACTGGAGGGATTTCGATGAAATCTGGTTAGTGATAGCTGGTTATCCGGGTCAACATATAGGATACTTTTTACCGCGGGAAAATGTTTCATTTCTGAGAAAAAAAAACAAACCAAACCAAACCAAACAAATAAGAGTATACTAATATGTAAAACCTAAGAATTTGGTTTTTGGTCATCTGAACGCTGACGGAGCCGCGTGTAATGCTAGTTATTAATATGTGCAAACTAACCACTGTTAAATATTGTAAGATTCATTCTCCATTCGATAGAAAAAATGTTAATGATTTTAAAACAATATTACACCTATTTGAGATCGAACTTTTAATCTTGATGACACGTTTGGCCGAGTTTGTAGTGACTCGATTTGTTGTGCCAGCGGTCGCGGGTTCGAGTCCCGCTGGGGGCATTCATTTGTGTGATCAGTGATGAGCACGAACGTTTGTACTCCAGTCATGGGTGTTTTTATTTATAATATGTATATATTTAAAGTTTGTTAGTTTGACTGCCTCGGTGGTGTAGTGGCTAGCATGTACGGCTGCACACCCGGAGGTCCTGGGTTCGAGTCCCGGGTCGGGCCAAGTTTAGTTATTGAGTCTTCCTGTATAGTAAGTCTCAGTAACAGCCCGGAGTTGGGAAGTTGGCGGTGCTTCACCCCCGCGCCTCGGAGAGCACGTAAAGCCGTCGGTTCTGCGCCTTAACTCTCACCGGTCGTGTCGAGTGGTCGTCCCACCGGAGTATGAGAGTGATAGGAATAGAGAGTGCACGTTGTGTCTGCGCGTACACTTGAGCACTATAATATCTCCTGCGCAGTTGGCTTATCTCATTAAGATTGGCCGCCGTGGCCGGAATCGGCTAGGAGAACATCATATTTAAAGTAATATATATGTAGTGTATCATCAATCTGGTATCCATAACACAAGCCTCGTAGCTTGACATGAAACTAGATGGTGTTGTGTTAATGTCCCAACATATTTATATTAATAATTTTTTGTTAATTTAACACAACTTTAATAACAAATTAACATATTAAGTAACGTCATCCCTATTGACATTTATTTGAACTAAAGTTTATTTGTTCGTGATGAGACCCCGTGGTACCACCAACCTTGATAGTCCGGTCTCCGCTAGCACTGACTATATACTTCTCATCAAAGTCCACCACGTTGACGGCGGCGCGATGGCCGACCAGCACTCGCCGCAGCATTATCTCCGTCGTCGACGTCATGTCCCACACGGCTATAGATCTGTCCTGTGGGAGCGAAACGACAATATATAATCTATATATATATATATATATATATATATATATATATATATATATATATATATATATATATATTAAAAAAATGATGTCCATTGTCCATATAGACTGTAAAATGGCTGGAGCGATTTTGATGAAAATTTCGGCTTATGCCGAGCGGGTGATCCTGTGAAGTTTATGTCAATATAGTGCTGTACGAGATAGAGAAAAGAGACAAAGAGAAACAGAGAAAAAGAGAGTGCTTTTTTGGCTTTATAATATTATAAAGTCAAAGTGTGTTAGAGAGAAAAAGGCAGAGTGAGAGAGAGATACCTTGCTGCACGTGACCATCATGCCGTTACAGAAGCGAAGATGCAGCACAGCCTCGCAGTGGTGTATGAGGGTGTTGAGCATGGCGCCGCTGGCCACGTCCCACACGCGCACCGTGCTGTCCGACGAGCCCGAGATGATGGCGCGCTCGTCGTACTGTAGGCACAGCACCGACCCCGTGTGACCCTGCAGCTCCTGTAATACAAAATTATTAAAAATGCCTATATTGTGTATTCACCCCTTTAACTTTACCTCTTTATAATATTAGTATAGATTTAGATATCCTTCTCGAAAGGATCTTTTACTATAAAATGTATCGTCTCTTTAGAGATCCTTCTCAGAAAGATCTGATCTTATAAACAGTGCACATGTAAGACAAGCGAGTTCTCTTTTTTTTTAGCAAAGAACCCACACTCTCCCGTACTCATGTATGATATAAAATCGTAAAGAATCTATACTAATATTATAAAGAGGAAAAGTTTGTGAGTTTGTGATGTTATAGGGGATAATCTCTGGACCTACTGAACCGTTTTAGATGAAATTTGGTAAGAAGATAGTTTTGAGATTTTGGGAAGGACGTAGGATACTTTTGATCCCGGAAATCATCCCTTAAGAGGGCGAAAATGGGGATGAAAGTTTGTGTTGGGAAGCAAGCTAGGGACGAACCCGAGCGAAGCAAGGGTGAGTCGCTAATAAGAAAATAAAGTTAGTTGTACTTATCCTTTCGATGAGAAACGTTGTTTTATAACACACAGTCCCGATAACTTAACTCATGTTTGTATTTTATGCGTTCCTAAACCATTCAAGAGAAAAAAAAGGATATATTCTATCCCGCATACGAACCTTGACACATTGTAAAGTTTTCCTATCCCATATCTTTATGGTATTATCCCTTAGGCCCGACACAATTTTGTTGTCATCATATTGTAAGCAGTAAACACCTTTTGAATTTTCCGATCGGCAGTTTATCCTCTGAAAAAAAAAAGAAAAAATATATTAACAATGCTGATAATTAATTAATGAATACTTTTTAATATAATTACGTAATGAATATTTGTTTAATATATATGACAAAATAAATAGTTTTCTAAATATTCCCAATAATTCGAACGTTTTTAGGAGAAACACATTGGAAAATTTTCCCGAAAAATTAGAAAATTTGGGAAAACAGAAAGCGTTTTCTTCTATACTATTTTTGATCTTCTTTTCTATCTGTTTTTTGAGTATTTCTTGATCTAATAAATAAAGTCAATAACTACATTTCGTCTTACTCGGGACTCGAACCCAGGACATTAATTACAATAAATAAAACACATACAGACCTGTAGATTATGCCTTCCCATACGCCAGTTATCCTCAATGGACTGAATGTCTTGTATTATTTTGGGGTACAGCTGTCGGTAGAAGGAGTGCGAGGGATGCTGACAGCCAGGCTTCGGTTTGAACAGGTATATTATCCTGGAAAATGGTGAATATTTAGTTAACATATTGTCTTATAATCATTTCTAGAGGTCTTCTATACAGATAAACAGTTGCTATTTTCCGATATTCAAATTAATTGTTTGATCATAAAATTAAAATTTGTAAATTAAAACTGTTAACATTTATCTGGTATCGACATCTATCCGCACTCTGAGTGTTAGCGTTAACACGTCACGTGACCATGTCGATGACGACTTACATGAATTTACTCCCCATACAAACAAATCTGCCTATAGAAGTTTTCACTTTAAAAAACAATTTTTTATAACATATCATCAACAAAGACCTGTAAGAAGAAGAGAATCTTGAACAGAAAAATAAAAACACAAACAACACAATATTTCTGCCACTCACCATCCCCGTCTCTCGGCGAGTCCTCGCCACAAGGAGTCGGTCCTGACCTTCCGTTCCACCAGCTTCTTCCACAGCATACCCTCGGAGATGACGCGCTGCCACTCCCGGCAGACCAGCTCTGCCGCGCAGAGGGAACTCGCGTCCAGGTAGGAGAGGATGTTCTCTGCTACGTGATCTAGACCTTTTTCTAAAGACAAAATTTGTTTGTTTTTCAATCAAATAGAACCGTTAAAATGTACAAATAAGGCTAAATTTACTTGGCAAAAATAGGGAGTTTATATGATAATAATGTATGGTGGACAAATATTGGTGCTCGTGCTAATTGGATGAAGTTTTCTAGCAAAGTTATAAATATTTATAATAGATTGAGATTCGGTGAAAACAATTAAAAAAATCGGACAAGTGCGAGTCTGACTCACACACGACCCACTACGGACTAAGACGACTTTCTACTTTAAAGATTTAGACAGACTGATGGCCGATTTCACCAACGTCACCTAAGTTTAAGGGATCCCTAAGCATGGTTAGGGGGCTGTTAGGGGACAGCTTCTGTTTCACCGACAGTTAGGGATCACCTAAATGTTAAAATGCCACCTAAATATAGGTACTAGAAATACGGGCTCTGATGATGGTAAAACGGAATTTTAATTTAGGGGCTAGTTTAGGGGAACTTTTACGCTAAGGATCCCATAAGTAGGTAGGTAGCTTATGGGATGTTGGTGAAATCGGGCATTACTCTGGTGAAGAAAAATAGGGGTTTATGTGAAAGACGCTTGTGCACTATAATATCTCCTGCAGTTGGCTAATCAGGAGTTTTCTAGTCTAGTTGGTCAGGAGGATAAATAAAGCTAATGCTCAGAAACGACGACATACTTGGTAGCATACTGATGAAGTCTCGTTGCAGCATCGGCTTGAGGTACGCGTTGATATGGCCATGTTGGTAGTGGCACATCCGCGCCAGGAGCTGTTCCACAAATTCGACCTGGAAATGTCATAATATCTAGTATTTAATACAAGAAAAATGTTTAAAAAATGTTCGCATATGTGCAATTCACACACGGTAGAAGTGAAACTTAATATTATATTATATTTGTCAGACTAAAACAACGGTTACCATTGCAACATGGCAATATATTCTATCTCACTCCCTCGCCGGCTTACTCCTATATATTTATGTGTTTGTCTCTTTTTAGTGTCGCTATTCCGTTTCATTGAGTTTCAAATCACAACGATTGTAAAGAAGTTTCACTTCAAAAATCAGAAATTAAACCTTCTTGTTCCGAACACATGAAATAAAGTTAAAGAGATGCTTTTGAGTAAATCCTTTGATCTGATGCTAGACGATATCTTCGCCAAATTTAAAATTAAAGTTTACTATTATTTATTTTAGTGAACAGATTATATATCAAAAATGATTCTAAATAAATCATATAAAACCCATCCCATTAATATGAAAATGGTGTAATAAGTAATTTTAAATGATGTTGAAGTCGGTGCATTTTTTTTTTAGTATTTTACGTCATAACATCTAATTTTCTTTTTTTCCATTTACATTTGACTAAATGCAACTAATACTTGTACTATAAGATTATATTACACATATGTATACGCTTGCCCCTAGCGGGATTCGAACCTGCTCTCTAGGACATTGTAATTCTTGAGTGCAATGATCGACGAATCTGTAAACACCGAACCATAAACGTATATTATTATACACCATAGGCAAAGCATGGTCAAGACCTCAACCTCGTGTTGTTATCGAACCCGTGACCTTCCAGCAGACTTTGGGAGTTCCGATAAGACATCACTGCAGTGACTTTACCACAACAGTTATTTTTAACTTGATACCAGATATATTTAGACATGATGACCACATTGCGGTTACTCCGTAACATAAGTCTTTTCTTTTTCAGCTGTGATGGACACGACTAAGTTGACATTAATTGATTTAAAAAAAAACGTGTGTGTGTACTGGGCGTAACAGAACAAAAATAGCCAAAGATTTCATCCCGTACGTCACAACTCTCTGTTTATAACAGGAATGATAAATTTTGAATAAAAGTAATTAAATAACGCATATTAGGCATATTACAATCGTATATTTATAGAAAATATCATTTAAGGAAAGAATATAATATTATATGTATATCGTTTGTCAGACAATAACAACGGTTACCATGGCGACAAACGTTCGCCTCGCCCGATCACACTTTTCGTAACGCTCTCGTAACGCATTCACCAGCATACTCAAGTCAAGCGTGCGTTTTACTTTAAAGAAGTTTTGAGAAGATTTACTTAGAAAAAACCACAGACGTAGTGCGCGTGCGATTCTTCCTGGTTGTCTGTATCACTAGGGGCTCACCCTCGCATCACTCAAGTTCATTCGTACGGTACGTTTTAACGACTAGTATGGAATAAACTATAATCTATATATTACATATAAATACATAGGTATAGAAAAGTAGGTAAGCACCTACTTAAAAAAAAATATCTCTCACTTGAAAAATGATAGATTCATTTTGTTATTTTGTGGGTAGGCTGTATGTAACAACTTTAAACAGCCTTTGAGACATCTTAAACCTTAGTCTCTCCCGTAACCATGATTGGTGTAAAGCATTCAAGCAAGTAGAAGCGTCGGGAACGAAAAATCAAAATAAATCCAGGAAAAAATCCGAAAAGATAGTTTTATTTAAGAAAATGATTTTTCTACATATTACCTGATCTGTTTCGTTCCATCTCGAGAACAAGTTGAGACATGTGTTCCTCTCTGCCACATACGCCGCGCCACTGGGCGCTGGCCGCACACCTGTGTCTAAAGACGTTAATGACGTCACCTGAAAAGATGAAATACTTTTGAAAAAAAATAAACTTAATATGAGTACTAAGTATATACTAAACTATAAAGTATATAATAAACTTAGTATGAGTACTAAGGAATAAATCTTTACATATAAAAAATTCTGAGTCGAATCTGTACATTAAATATTTTTTTGAAAATCTTATTGAAATAAACATTATTATCGATACAGAGGCCGAATTAATATAAATAAAAATAATCTAAAACTATAGATAGTTTTTAGAATTTTTGTCTGTCTGTCTGTCTGTGACCGCAATTGAAGGGATTTTGGTGAAATCTCAAACCTCCCTTTGATACGATACGGATCAGGCCATACTCCACAACGCTAGCCAAGTGAGGACGGACTTCACATGTCTTTCGAAAACTTGCTAGGTTCTCTCAGACATGCAGGTTTCCTCACGATGTTTTCCTTCACCGTAAGGCAAGTGGTAATCATGTTGGAAATAATTCGCACATGAGGATATCAGAGGTGCGAGACCCATATGAACCCGCTTCACTCGATTTTCCAACGGAACGCGTTACCCCCAGAGTTGGTTCCACAAATTCATATCTGCAAAGTATTCTGTTAAAGAAAAATACACTTTGCTCAAGGGCATAATTTAAAAATATCGGTTTAAGTTATTTATATGGCATGCTCAATATCGACTGTGAAATTTTTATTATTCATACATAAGTCTTGGTCCACAAAAATCAATTCACCTTTTGAGGACATAATCTTGGGAGTTATCCGTTTTTTTTTCTTATATTCTTAAATAAATATAACAGACCTTGACCTCAGTGTAAATTTATTGTTGTTATTTTTCTTATATTTGTTTATTTTGTGTTTGTTACTGTTTTTTAAGTAACAATGTTTTTTTTCTCTCTAGTAGATATTATATTATGTTATACTAGCGACTTACCCACACTTTCCTCGGGTGCATGCCTTTTTTATTTTTTTTAACGTTTTAATTTTTTTGAGTGGAACCCTTATTTTATTTTCTAAAATAAAAGTAGCATATGTCATTCCTTATAACATCAGCTATCTGCCAGTGCACGTTCCATCAATATCAGTCCAGCAATTTCAGAGATTCGTCGAAACAAACAGGCAGACAGACAAAAAATTTAAAAATCATGTTCTTCTTATAAGTACCGTTATTTCATATGCATTTAGTAAAAAGCTGTTATTTTGACATTACAAACAGACACTTCAATTATGTTATTAATAATTACTAATAATATTTATTGTATTCACCCCTTTTTATCGTCCCACTGCTGGGCACGGACCTCCCTCAGTACGAGGGGAATCAGGCCATAGTCCACCACGCTGGCCAAGTGCGGGTTGGCGGACTTCACATGTCTTTCGAAAACTTGCTAAGTTCTCTCAGACATGCAGGTTTCCTCACGATGTTTTCCTTCACCGTAAGGCAAGTGGTAATCATGTTAGAAATGATTCGCACATGAAAATATCAGAGGTGCGAGACCCGGGATTTGAACCCGCTTCACTCGGTTTCTTAAGCGAGCGCGTTACCACTGGGCTACCACTGCCTTAATATTTATTAATAATTATTATTTATCTGTATGTTTAACTTTTTATGTATTTCCTTTAATATTTCCCCTTATTACATTATAATAGTAAACTAGTGGCTCATCCTCACTTTGCTCGGGAACATCCCTAGTTGCCTATAAAATTGTAATATATACAGACAGCGCCACCTTGTGGCAAATGTTATTACTAAAAGATATCTATATGTAACTCCAGATACCAGTCTATCTATGATAAATTTCATCCAAATCTGTTCAATTACTTGCAACAAACATACACACACATATAATCCACTCTGAAAGATAGATATGTACATATATATACCTAAAAAAAATGCTATAAAACCCAAAAAGAAGTTTGTTAAAAACCTATCAGTTCCAAAGATTAGTGCTTTCGAACAAACAAACAAACAAACAAACAAACAAACAAACAAAACAATATCTTCAATATATTGAGTACAGATGATATATACATCTGAATAAAAGATATAATGATATTGAGCGATTTTCTTGTAGACATTGCTGTGGTATTTTAAATTTTCAATGTGAACTTTCAATAAATTTATACTGAGGTCAAGGTCTGTTATATTTATTTAAGAATATTATATATTCTAGGTGTATAAAAAACTAAATAAAAAAAAAAAAGAAAAACTATTTAAAAAAAAAGATATATGACAAGATGAATTTCAATAATAGTTTTATTTTTTATTTTTAGGTGTTTCCATCGAAAAGAATACGCCACTCTCATAGAAACCACAAAAATATCTAATAGTAGGGGAGCCCAAGAGGGGATTTTCTGTAGTTACTCGAGCGCGGCAGATTAACATACAAGAGGTTACCTTGCACTCTATTGAGTACTTTCACCATAATATAAGTCTTCTATATAAAGGGGCGCGTCTGGGGAAGCCGATTAAAATATTTAAAAAATGTTTTGATAAGGTAGAAATACTTGAAACCGTCAGATTAAGGTGTGGTAGGCTAGTCACATCCTGAAAAGTGTCCAATTCAATAATCTGCCGATTTGCACAAGCCTTTTTAATCTGCCAATTAATCTGCCGCGCTCGGGTAACTACAGAAAATCCCCTCTTGGGCTCCCCTACTATAATATATTTTCTACTTTTACAATACTAATTGAAAACTTTGTAAAGCATCTTTGCTCGACTCCATAGAGGTGATGCAAAAAGGCAATAATAAACAAGTGGCATTATCTATACGAATCTGTCCAATCTGTACATTAAATATTTTAGAATTTTTGTCTGTCTGTCGAGAACTCATCACGAGAAAACCACCAGACAGATTTTGATGAAATTGGGTATGATGGTAGCTGGTTATCCGGATCAACATATAGTGAACGTTATATCTATACTAAACGATATAACGTAGCTAGTGACGAATCCGAGCGGAGGTTGAGTGAGCCGCTATAAAACACATACATGTTTACAATTGAACCTATTGAGTACATCAACTTAATCTCCGAAACGGCTGAACTGATTTTGACGGGACTTTCACTGGAAGATAGCTGGTATACATAGGCTACTTTTATTTTAGAAAAAGAATTAGGGTTCCGCTCAATAAATTAAATCGTATCTCGTAACGTTTATATCATAAGGGGGTAAAATAGGGAATGAAAGTTTGTATGAAATCTACCTTTTGAGTTTTTTTGTAGTTTCAGCGCGAGCAAAGCCGCGGTTTCTGCTAGTTATACATATTATACATATTAGAAAGTGTCAATGTGACTTAGTGACAGTGGAGTATAATATTAGAGACGAGTTTAAAATAAAATTGAGTTAAGTAATTTCAGACGTTATCACTTACATACAAAACTAATGACCTTCAAACTTGTAACCTTCACTTGGCTTGGGTTCCTCCCCTTAGGGGATTATTTCTGGGATAAAAAGTATCCTATGTCCTTCCCAGGGTCTCAAACTATCTTCTTACCAAATTTCATCTAAATCAGTCCAGTAATTTTTGAGTTTATTAATAATTACAAACTTACAAAAATACAAATCTTTCCTCTTTATACTAGTAATGTACATGTAGATATATATATCTTTCGGTTATAACCGAATTAAAAACATTACTAATAAATAATAATATAAAATGTACAAATATTCAATTCAATTCTCTTGGTAATGGCTTCCGATGCACAAATTTATTAGTTTGTTTGTCCTACTTTTATTTATTTATTTATTTACTTATATGGATCTCCAACAGTATACATAATTTTTTCATTAACAATATAGCTACCTAAATCTAATTTATATTTATGTATTACTAATTATAGGAGAACACATCATTCGCAAAAAAAAAAACAGTGTTTTATAATGCCTAAATACACATAATAAACACAATAAAATGGATACAGTTACAAAAAGAAACAAAATAACAATAATTAAATTAAACTTAACAATTACATTAAGAAAATACTGTTAAACCTATAAAACTTATAAAATACACTTTTCACATTTTTTTATAAATTGTGAGAGCCCATCACAACCAATGTCCAAAGATGTCATGCGCTTTACGCAGTTGTTGTATGATCGTGTGATACGTGATAACGGAGCATTACCACCTAACTTAGTGCGACATTTATGAGTTTTAAATAATGGACATGGGTAGCGAGGTGGCCTTCTAGGAACATTAATGTTGAGCCTCTCTAACAGCTTCTCATCATCGATTTTACCATTAAAGATATTATATAGGAGCTTAAGTTCAAGAAGAGATCTACGTGTAACTAATGGCTTCATTTTGAAAAAAGTAAGTTTGTTTTCATATGATTCAGAAAGTCCTGTAGTTTTGAAACGGAATTTCAGGTGTTTAATCAATTTCTTTTGAATTCGTTCAATTCTAGTAATATAGGTTTTAGAAGTAGGAGACCAAACCTGACAACAATATTCTAATTTGCTCCTGACCATGCTGTTATATAATTGTATAATAGTTGAAGCTTTTTTGAAGTCTCTGGACTGTCTTAGAATAAAACCGAGTGATCTAAATGCGGCAGTTACTATTGAGTTTATATGTTTATCAAACCTAAGTTGACTATCGAAAATAACTCCCAAATCCCGAATCTGGTCAGAATTTTTTAATGTTGTGTTCATAATAGTATATGAACTCATAATTGGGTGCTTTTCCTTGTAAACTTAATAAAACTACATTTGTTGGGGTTGAGTGACATGCTATTCTGATTACACCATTCAACAAGTCTATCGAGATTAGCTTGAAGATCATTTATGTCCGACTTTTGCCTTATTACTTTTGCAATTTTGATGTCATCAGCAAACATATAAACGTGACAATTATTGAATACTCTTGCTATATCATTAATAAATATAATAAAAAAGAGAGGTCCCAAATTTGATCCCTGTGGTACCCCCGAAAGAGCCTGAAAGCTATCGGATTTTTCCCCATCAATTACTACTTTACATTGACGATTGTGAAGATAACTTTTACACCAAGACAATAAAGAATCAGATACTCCAAGCAAAGATAGCTTTCCTATAAGAAGCGTGTGATCAACCATGTCAAATGCTTTTGAAAAATCTGTGTAAATAGCATCCACTTGCAAATTCATATCTACTGCATTAACAAGATCAGAAACATAATTAAGTAAATTTGTATTTGTGGATCTCCTGGGCATAAATCCATGCTGATAGGATGATATATGACATTTAACATGATTAAAAATAAATGGATGTACAAGCGATTCGAAAATCTTCGACATAGTCGACAGGATCGATATAGGCCGGTAGTTACAAACCGATTCTTTATTGCCGTCTTTAAAAATGGGGACTAACCTCGCTTCCTTCCACTTATCAGGAAAGCTACCCTTAACTAGAGACGTATTAAAGATAAGGAATAATGGATATGACAGAGACTCAGCACAGCCAATCAAGAAAACCGGAGGAATATCATCAGGCCCAGCACCCTGATCTCTAACAAGTCTTTTTATTTTCGATAGGATATTACTCTGAGAAATTTGTATATGAGATATTTCAGGAAGCTTCCCATATAAGTCGGGCAAATTAACCCTAGTCACCGAAGTATTATAAACACTGGCAAAATGTGTAGCAAATAGGTTGCAAGTCTCTTTTGTATTATTCGATTTCTTTTGGCCTAAACACAATGAAGACGGATAGCCGGAAGATCCTTTACGTTTATTAGTGAGATGCGCCCAAAAGATATTTAGGATTTTTACCAATTTCAAATTCAATATTAGAAACATAAGTCTCATAACATTCCTTAGTAAATTTTTCACAGTCAGATCTAAGATATTGAAATTCAATACGGTCTAGCGGGTTTCTATACAGTTTGTATCTGCTATGATATTTTTCTTTCTGCTTAAGAAGATATATGAGATGCGAATTAAACCATACAGGATGCCTATTGCCACATTTTTTACTCAAAGGAATGTAACGTTTTATAAGATTGTATAAGATTTGGTAGAATTTATCTACCATTTCATTAACATTGTCATAGCATAGGAGCTCTCTGTCCCATGATATCTTATCTAAAGCTTGAGTGATTTGTTTATAGTCACCCTTAAAGAAATTTAGTTTATGGGATAATGTTCTCTGTTTATTGCGGCTAGCTGTAACTGCTATGGAAATCTCCAATGGAGGATGATGAGAATCTATACTACGTATTGGATTGGGGCAATGATTGATTTTTATTATTTCCGAATTACACAAGACCAAGTCTAAAATTTTGTTATTACTATTTAAAACATAATTGAATTGCTTTAAGTCATTCAATTCCAAAAAATCTAAAATAAGGTTGTGAACGTTATTGTTATTATTTAGAGCCGGTAAGAGAGATGTTCCCGTGCTATGAGCTTGCCAGGTTACATTAGAGATATTAAAGTCACCAGCTATCAATGTGTACTCTGAGGGATGTTCGTCTATAATTCTATTAGCATTATCAATAAAAGCTTTTAGTGTAATTTGGTTAAGGGGAGGCGGTAGATATACAGTAGAAACTTTAAGAAATTCACAATGCTTACCCATTGTTATTTTAACTTTTATCCAAAGATCTTCACATTCACTATTATCACTAGATATTTTAAAAGAATTAAATTTATTTGCAACGGCAATGAGAACACCTCCTCCAAGTCTATTATTTATTCTATCTCTTCTATACACAACGTATCGGTTATCAAAAATTTCAGAATCATATATTGTATTATTCAGCCATGTTTCAGTAAATATTATAATATCAAAATTATTACTTTGAATGTTTAATGACACATCTTTAATATTAGTTCGTAGTCCTCTGACATTTTGATAATAACAGGATATACTATCGAATGTTATTTAAATAATACCATCACATATACATGTATTTATTTAGCCTAATTTAGTTATTTACAAATTTTATAGTAGACTGTTAAGAGACTCAACATTCTTAATATATTTATACTCAGCTAATTCGTGTTTGCGCACATATACACGTCCCGCTTTAATCCACACAAATTTGTAGCCTTTCTTATTTTTACACAATGATGATGTTCTCCTGACCGATTTCGGCCACGGCGGCCAATCTCATTGAGACTAGCCAACTGCGCAGGAGATATTATAGTGCACAAGTGTACGCGCAGACACAACGTGCACTCTCTATTCCTGTCACCCTCATACTCCGGTGGGACGACCACTCGACACGACCAGTAAGAGTTAAGGCGCAGGACAACAGTGAGTGAGTTTTATTTCATTACAGTTACTGTATGTGGGCTTTCAGAATACTTAAAAAACTGACAAGTGAAATTTTTAGAGTTAGGAACATAGCATATTGAGCAAATATTAATCATGGAACCAAATAAGCAATTTATAAAGAAGATTGTCTGTACTATCCAAACTAATATTACAAATGTGAGGATTGATGTATGGATGTTTGTTACTCAATTACGCCAAAACGGCTGAACTAATCTGGTTGAAATTTGGCACAGAGATAGATTATAGTCTGGAATAATACATACATTACTTTTTCAAGGAAAAATGTAAGGTTCCTGTGGGATAGATTTGTTTTTGTTATTCACAAGGGATAAACCCAAAGCGAAGTAAGTGTATAAACATTAAACAACATAAAAGCTTATAATATAGCCTCTTGCCGACTTATTAGTAAATGAATGTCTCTTAAATCATCATTTTTACCACTTCCTTACAGATTTGAAGATAATTATGAATGAAAACTTTTTTATATAATGTAAAGAACAATCCACTAAAGAAGATTCATGGGGAAGTACAATTATTGTTAAAAAATGATATTGATTTTTCATAAAGACGAAAGAATTACCATACCAAAAATATATCTATACTAATATTATAAAGAGGTAAAGTTTGTGAGTTTGTGATGTTGTAGGGGGTAATCTGTAGATCTACTAAGCCAATTTAGATGATATTTGGTAAGAAGATAGTTTGAGACACTGGGAAGGACATAGGATACTTTTTATCCCGGAAATCACCCCTTAAGGGGGTGACAATGGGGATGAAAGTTGTATTGCAAAGCAAGGGTGAGTCACTAGTTTATTATAAGCCAAATGAAAACACATAAATAATACTAAGTAAATAGTCAGAACAGTCACATCTTATTTTATCTCAGCAAATAATGTGAATATTAAAGATACTAGCAGTACCCTCATTAAATCTACAAAAAAAACTCTGGCTTTTGACATTTATGATTACTGCTCCGCTCCCTTGGGTAGTAGCATGATGGTATATAGCCTATAGCCCTCAATAAACAGGCTATCTAATGCAAAAAGAACTTTTTAAATCATATCAGCACATTCAAACACACAAACAAACTCTGCCGCTTTATAATATTAGTATAGATTTGTAACAACATAATGACTAGCATTTTTCTTAATAAAACGAAACACTCAATGAATAGTACAACTTTTTTTATATACAGAATGTAACAAAAACCTATAATATTATACAATTTTATGAGTACAAATGCTAAATAAGCTGATTCACTGTTTAATTACAGGAAAATAAAAATTAAAGTAAGTATAATGTGCATTAATAAATAAACGAAAAAAGTAGGCCATATGTTGAAGAATTGTAGTTTATGTAAAGTATTATGTATGTTCTTCTTGCATAAAATTAGTGATATGGAAATTGTTGTTATGTCACAAATAAGCATTGCTTTAGATTTTTGTTCAATTGTGAAATTTATAAGTGGAACATATTATTTACAGTTAATAATACAGTTACTGTATCGAGATTATACATCAATCGTGAGTAAATTGACATAATAACTGGTTTGCAATGTTTTTTAAAAAGCATAGAAAGAAGAAATTGTTGTTTTTTGTAAGGTTTCCATGGTGAAATATACCAAGTGTTTAGATCGCTTATCATGTAAATGGAAATAAAAACCTAGTCTGTAAATGAATTGGCAACAAAGGTTGTTGTTTTAAATTAGGTAGCAGTGTCAATTTAATTAAAAAGTAACAATTGGGATAAAAAAATACATTACAACCACTGCATTGCAGAAGCCGATTGTTTTATCGAGGTGTTCTCTAAATGAAAGCCAAATATTATAGTAATTTATGGAAATATAACATAAAAAAAAGGTAATTTCTCAAAGTCCAATGAAGCTGAAACATGAAATCTATCAAATTATCAAAAGCAATAGCTCTAGAGGCAAAGATGGCGGAATAGACTGGCATGACAATACATTGGCCTACTTCCTAGTTTCAAATATTACCTTAGGTGTCGTCGAGTCTTCTATCATCCAATCGGTTTCCATTTTTGTAATTTCACTAAGCACATTAATACGCGTCCACACAAAACGCCGCAACAAACTAAATCACAATAAAATATTCATCGTTCTCATGACGTCAAGTTACTATTTTCTTTTGATTTGAAAGGGTTATGATATTATTATTGGCACTGGATACGTGTCCTTCGGCTCCTTCTAAACAGATACTCGTAAATGAATATTGTTGTAAATTCTTGTAATTTATTGGATATTTCTTTAATTATTGTGAAGTGTATTCAGTAATTTAATTAGGAAATATATATTTTTTAAAATAAAACCTATTTGAATTTATGATATTGGTGACTGTTACAATAGTTACACTCAGTAGAATGATAGTGAATACGTGCGATTTTTTTTTATACAATAGCTAACATCGTTATATAATTGTATAAAAAATATCCAGCTCCAAAAAATTAAAATACATTTTTTTTTGTTTTTTAAATATCACGCCGATACGGATACTTTAAGCGACCGCCATTTCGCGCGCTCGGCGTGACGTCACAGTATTATATACACAGAAATGACGACTCAATTTGCAGCGACAAAATCGCTAATCGCTCTGTTCTGATATACTCTGACGTCATATTCGGTCTGACCAATGCTCTACGTTTCAACTACTTTGAATTTCCCACTTCTATTTGCATTTTTGAATAATGATTATTTTCTTAATCAAAAAGAAATTTCAATAAAAAATATTAGTATAGACCTAATTGAAAAGCAATGAAGATTATAAAAAAATAATATTTCACCTTTATTTAAATAACACGCATATTCTCCATGTACCAAAAGACTAGCGTTGGTTGCATATCCATATCCATACTTACTAATATAAATGTAAAATACTATATAAATGTGAAAGAGTGTTTGTTTATTTGTCCATCTTTTCCATCGAAATAGAGTGATGGATTGGCGTGATTATGTGGAGATGGTTGCTGGGCTGGACTCTGGAGTGACATAAGCAGCTTTTCACCGCGGGAGATTATCTCATCCCCACGGAAAAACTACGTTATAATACAACTCACTACAGGTCATCATATCTATGTATGCGTATAATATATACTTTATCTATTCCATACTACGCGTTAAGTGTACCTAAGGATGAACTCAAGCGAAAGGAAGGTGAGTCACTAGTAATATTATAATTACAAATGGCACCAAGGAACGCGAATATTTGATACTTTATATAAAACCGCAAAATAATCCGCAAAATAATCTTTTCAGATTATTTTGCGGATTTATTTAGATTTTTATTCCCGACGTTTCGAATTCTAGTCTCTCCCATGACCATGATTGCTGTAAAGCATGCGAAACGTTGGGAACCAAAAATTAAAATAAATCCGCAGAATAATCCGAAAAGATAGTTTTATTTACTCTAATTCACTAATGTAAAATAATACATAATAAATAGTGTAATGGCTACAGTGGTGCTTTGAAGTCATTAACAAGAAAATTGAATTATACAACCGTTACGACGACTGCTTATGGGACTTGACAACTGCTGAGCCAAAGGTAACAGTTTCTGTAACTAATTCAGTCATTCGTCACTCAAGATAATATCATAACAGAGCTTGAACGCTTTGGAAAAGCTTCATTTTTTGAAAAATAATTTGACCAGAGAATCAACAGCTTAAATATAACTAAGAAATAAGTGGTTGAAGTCAACGCGTTCTGCACTGAGCTGTACCATATGTAAAACTGTAAACCTTTTTTTCCAGATTATGAAAATCTAGGCTAGAAACTAATTTACGTGGCAATAATATAAATATATAGTCTGGTATGATTTTATGGCATTTCTACCGATTATCCGAACGAGGTGGTACGGATTTGAGTTTTCCGACTCGAGGTTTGTAAACGTCATTTTGAAGTTGACATTGCTGTCTTTCAAAAACTATAAAAAAACTCTTCGGAATGCGTAAACTTCTTGAATTTTTAACGTAATAAATCTTATTAATAAAATAAAATCAGTGAGTAAAATGTGTAAATGTTATGAATATTGCATTGACATATAAACATGTGAAGATAATTTTGTTCTTTAGTGAAAATGATATGTTTAACTTCCTGTCGTGAGATCAGCAAATTAAAAATTGAAGTGTTTGTGTATTATATTTGTAAACGTTCGTAGGTGGGTTTGTTGTTATAATTTACATATTTTACGTAACATTAAATACTTATATAAGTCTTTCTTGAAATGGTTGTTATTGCTTTGAGAGTACATTCCTTTCTACTAATTCAGGCATCTAGTGGAATTATAAAAAAGTGTACAAATTCTATCTTAAGTATATGTAATATTTACAATGTCAACATATAACTTGTTTTAGTTCATTGAATTTTTAGAATTTGTTGGATTATATTGTTCTTAATACTTTTTAACCTTTAAACAAAGTAACATGTTGCTTAAAAGTGATGTGAGTTAAGCGATAATTATTACTTACAAGTTACAAAATGGTATGACTTTTGTAGTTTACTGTCTATGAAATTATTTACTAATATTAGGAAATGTTACAAGTTTTGATTATAGATTAGTATTTTAAAAATCTCTATGGTCAAAGAGTGCAATAAATAAATGTTATGCATCATTTAAAAGATTAATTAACTTTGATTTCTATGAATTTTATCAGTTCTACAATTATTTTCATTTTAGGTATTAGAAACAACTCACTTTAAGCATTAAAAATAAAGTTATATTATTGCAGTAAAATTTCCAACTATGGAGAACAGACATGCACCCCCTGGAGTTAACTCTCGCTCAGAAACTGTGGCACAATCAGCTGCTGATCTAGAGGTTTGTTGTTTATATTTAGTATATAAAATTATATATTCCGACCAAGCCACTTGATCTGAATGACAAAAATCTTTACAGTAAGAATTTTATATTCATCACCTAAAATGGTGGGGAAAAGAGGACTTTACGCAGGTAAAATAAACTCATCTAAGCTTATATTAAAAAGAAATAACAAAGAAAAATACTTGATCCCTTGAATATCTATACATATAATAAAATTCTAAGCTGAATCTATACATTAAATATTTTTTAGAAAACCTTATTGAAATAGACATTATTATCGATACAGAGGCTGAATCTATAATTTTTAGAATTTTTGTCTGTCTGTTACCGCATCATGGAAAAACCACTGGAGGGATTTTGATGAAATTTAGTATGGTGATAGCTGGTTATCCAGGTGATGTGGACAAAGGTGGGTTGTATATTGTGATATAATTTGTTTTGTTTTAATTTACATGAAAATCTTATTTACCATGTAGTTCAAATTAATTAGTGTTAACGAATCAGTCAAGATAACTTTATAAATAGTGATAGTGGTAGCCCAATGGTAATGCGATCACTTGGAACACTGACTGAAGCAGGTTCAAGTCCCGGGTCTTCCACCTCTGGTATTTTCATTTGCGAACCATTTCCAACATGATTACCATTTTTCTTATGGTGAAACCTGCATGTCTGAGACATGTGAAGACCACCAACCCGCACATGTCTTGCAGGCCATAAGCCTAATCCTCTCGTATGGACCTGTGCCCAGCAGTGGGTCCTTAAAAAGGGCTAAATACGACTTTTTAAATATAGATAATACTTACAGATGTTATATTGTAGGTACTAAAAGAGATAGAACATATCTATTTCTCCCCTCCCTCCGAGTTTGATGCAGCTAGATATGTTTTGGAACATGCACCGTCTCCACCAGACTGTGAGGCTATTGAGCGCATGTTTAGTAAATTGAAAAGACAACAACAGGTAATATTTTGAGAATTTCTCATTTAATACAAGATATTCAATTTTCAGTTAAGCAGTTTGATTTGATTGGTATTGTATTTTTTCTTAGTGATCACAGGTTCGATTCCTGCTAGATGAATACAAACAAAGGACTGGACATATATAGGTGTATGCTAAAAACTGGCCTCTTTTTCATAATTATGTGCTACTTTTAACTTTTATATAATATAAACTTTGCCATCTTTATTCAAGAAATATATTTTTTTAGGTTGTATCAGGCAAAGCTCTACATTTAATCTCCCAACAACGCGATAATTGTGATCGGGAATTCGCTGAAATACAAACTATTCGCGCACAACTCTCAGAAACTTTGGATACTTGTAAAAAAGCGAGGGAACGTTTAAAAACTGCGTCCAATCATCTCACTATATCCACTATTGTCATACTGGCTAACGTTAGAAAGAGACAGATAATAAAATCAGTGTTGAAGTCACTGCAATTATTGCAGAATTTGCGAAGTGTAGAAAAGGATGTTGGGGATTTGTTGGCTAAAAAGGAATATTTTGAAGCGATCGAACTTATTTTGAAGAGTAAAAAAGCTGCGGCTGCTCATAAAGAGTTTACATGTATAGCTGATCTTTCCACTAGATTGCAGGATACTCTGGATATGACTGAAGAGAAACTAGATTCGGTTTTAGCGAAAATCTGCTACAATTTTGATGAAGATACGTTTAGGAAGCTAAAAAAAGCGTATACTCTTTTGGGTAAAACTCAAGCGGCTATGGAACAGTTACACATGCACTACTCGTCAGCAGTGAATGAATCTGCTTTAGAAGCGGTCAAACCGTATCTAAATGATGTTTCGATTGAGATGAAGTTTCAAGAGATGTGTCAGTCTGTTCCGACAACAAAAGCGCCAGATTGTTTGCTTAATCTGTGCGAAAATTTATTTTTGGTCATGCGAAGTTACTATTTATTGGTAAATTGGCACATGAAGAATGAAGAAGCTGTACCTAATTCTAGCAACGTTTTCGATATCGAAAAGAATGTCAGTCGAGAATATATCAAGCAAAAATTAAAGGCGGGGTTAATAAGAATATGGCACGATGTCTTAGCGAAAGTGTCGACGTTTCTAAAAAGGTCCGGATTAGAAGAGTTTCCCTTCGAAAAGTTCATTCAAATGTTGGGAATTTTGAGGAAATTGACGCAAGTGGCTGAAATATTTTGCGGGGATAAATCAGATTTTCTTCAAGACTTTATCAAGACTCAGAGCGTGTCGTATATAAAAAACTATCATAGAGGCAGAATGGAAGAGTTAAAATTGTTTCTAGAGAACGAGGGATGGGAACAGTGTCCGGTTAAATCGACATTTAACGTTCTAAATCTGCAAGAATTTAGGCAGTTCAAAAAATATTTGAATCCGTCTAAAAATGATGTTGCGAAAACGCAATCTGATACGACATCGTCAGTTCCATCTCTAGACGACAGTGTGTACATATCTAAATATTTCACCCAAAAAACATCACGTACACCCTTCGAGATATTTAGAAATGAAAACGTGACTAACGACGATATTTTTGGCATAGAGCACGAATCGGATGCGAGTGACGAATCAGACGACGAACCAGACGAATTAAGACAAGATTTCGTCGAAGATACAGACGGACACGACTATTCTACGACCAATGACGTTCCAACGAGTCCCTCTAAAATTAAAGAGAGTGTGATCGTAACTAACACGACGTTATCCGTTCTAAGAAATTGCGGGCAATACCTTCAAATTAGCAGATATTTGCCCCAAATATCTTTAGAAGTCATTCTCTTAATGAATCAACTGTTCGACTACTATTTTTACGCGGTCCATTTATTTTTCACGTCAGACTTAGACGTTGCTTCGTCAACTTTATACAGTCCAAAGTTAAATTTAGTCCTCAAAAGAGTATCTAACAGCCTAAATTCTGAAGAAAACGCGAGTTACGAGTATCCGAATGTTCCGAATCATTTGGATATGAACACTGAAGTGAATTTACATGGTTTGAGTGAGAGAATTGTTGGTGTTGAGAGTGTCATCTTCTTAGCGAAGCAGTTTGAACTCCTCCATCCATATTTAGAATCTATAGTGACTACTCAACAGCGAATAATTTTGGACCATTTCAAAGATAATACGTTAGCAACCGTATCAGATTTGAGAATGCCAGTTTACATGTGCTCAGCATCCAAGGCTGTAGATGCTAGATCTTCCCTCATAGCAATGTCTCAGGTTCGATGGGACGTTAAAAACGTTGCAGTGGATCACAGTCCTTACGTAGACATGATAGTCCGAAAGATCCAAGTTTTTGCCCTTCGCTTAGAGAACATATCTTCAAGAGTTACATTAAATTTAGAAGTGATCAATTCAATTTGGGCGATGGTCTCCAAATTTGTGGTCCATTTGCTAGTCGAGGGCTTCTCCAATGCGACGAAATGCACAAACGGTGGTAGGGGGCTAATGCAGTTAGATTATAGGCAGTTATTTATCAAACTGGAAAAGATTTCTGGCTTAAAACCAGTTCCGTTTCAAGAATACGTGGATAGATATGTCAAAGCGTACTATTTGCCCAGAAACGAATTAGAAACTTTTGTCAAAGAAAGAGTTGAGTATTCTAACAAACATCTCTTAGCGTTAGTATCTTGTGCCTGCGAAAACAAAAAGGATAGGCAAGCGTTGAGTGCTATTATCGAGGGCAGAGAAGCTTCTAGCTAGAATTTGCTTTTATCCTCCTATAAACGGATAATAGCTATCCTAATGGGATAACTAATTCGGATGCTAATCTTGAGATTTTGGATTTTGATCCTAGGTCAATCCTGGTGCAAAATTTTAAGCTTAGGTCCAAATCAAAATTAATCTGATAGTAAAATGTACTTAAAACCACGAATTATGTATAAGTTTAATAGTGCAATTTTATTTTTAATTGGCTACGCTTAGATTAATTATACATTTTTTTAATTATAATTTTAGAATTGTAGTGATTATGGTAACGTTTCTTGCTTCTTTTTTTCTTACTTTTCTAAAAAAAAAACACATATATTCCCTATTGTATATATTGAGTTTTTATATATTAATACAAAAGACGGTAAAATTAGTCGTTTCTTGTAATTGAACCGCCGCCATTTTTGTTTTTCAACCGACTTTAAAAAGGAGGAGGTTCTCAATTCGACTGTATTTTTTTATGTTTGTTACCTCAGAACTCCGTCATTTATTAACCGATTTGGACAATTTTTGTGTTGTTTGAAAGTGTATACTTCCAGATTGGTCTCATTTAAATTAAAAAAAAACCCTAATTGTGGAAAAATAGCTAATGATGAATTTAACCTACTTCTAATTGTCATATTGACTTGAAACTTTGCAAGTGTTTCTATTTCCGTTGATAGTACAGTGGTTCAGTATTGTTGACCTGATCTGATGGCAAGGCCAGAAGGTGGATAGGTGGAACTCTTCAACTGCTAATAGTAGATACTTTGAGTTTGGGCTTATTTTGTTTGATTTGACAAGCCTAACACGTTAGAATTCTTACTTTGCTACTACTGTCTACACTAAAAAGGGAAAAATAAAAACTTTTTAACAAAAAAATAAAAACCGACTTCAAACAAAAGCACTAAAAGTAAAAAATAACTGATTGGTAGTTTTCATTTACTATACATACCTAATCAAATATTTTCGACATCGGTGCCAGCCCATACAAAGCAAAGCACACCGACTTCGAAAATATTTGATTAGGTATGTATAGTAAATGAAAACTACCAATCAGTTATTTTTTACTTTTAGTGTTTTTGTTAGAAGTCGGTTTTTATTTTTTTGTTAAAAAGTTTTTATTTCAAAACTTGCAGCACACAATGAAATTGATAGAGGACATTTAATCAAAAAATAACTTTATTATGGTGCCCTAAAGTGTAGTTATACCAATATATTTCCATAGAAAAATATTCGAACCCTTTTCATTCGATAAAATCTATAAATTTATTAATTATTTTAGATTATATTAGAAAGATACGTACAAACTGCTTAGTAAAATTCATATATATTAAATATTTATGTAGGTGACTTTCAAGTCGTTGAAATAACCAGTGTTGCCAGGTGTTTCATTTCGCTATTGTATTAAAAAAATATTTATGATTTATTATATAATCTGTAGCTTTTTAAAACAAACTAAAAAAATTGAGTATGAAACAAAATGAGGTTAGTTATTTTTATTTTAACTCTTAAGTCCCTTTTAAATTAATGTTATGTTCCTATATTTATTATTATATTGTGATAATGAATTAGTTAAATCTTCACAAAATATATCTCAAATAATGAATTCTCAAAAACTTTATTTTATATTACAATGAAAACCAATAAAATCCAAGGAATAACAGAAATATTTTTATACTAGCAACTTACCTCCGCTTCGCTCGGGTGCGTCTAAGGGTACGTAATTTTTTTTGAGCGGAACCCTAATTTTTTTTTCTAAACTCAAAGTAGCTTACCAGATAGTTACTCCGTATAATATCAGCTATCTGCCAGTAAAAGTCCCGTCAAAATTGCTCCAGCCGCTCCAGTTTATTCGGAACAAACGGACAGACAAAAATTTTAAAAATTGTGTTTTTCTTATATGTACCATAATATATAATTTCATATGAATTTAGTAAAAAGCTGCTATCTTGATATTACAAACAGACACTTTCATTTTATTTATCTGTATAGATTTACTAACCTAAATTATTATGTACTAATTATTTTATTGTCTGTCGGTACTTTGATACCGACTACACTTTACAAAAAAAAATATTCATTACGTTCTTTAAAAAAATCTAGCCATATTCAATAATGACTAGAAAAAGCTTTTATAAAATTAAACAGTGTTAACCTAATATTTAAATAATAACATGACGTGAAAAATAAGCTTAATAGTATGGGAGCCCAAGAGGGGATTTTGACATTTACTCAAGCGCGGTAGATTAACATAAGGGAGGAAACCTTGCACTCTGTTGAGTACCTCCACTATAATATAAGCCCTATATATAAGGCCGCGCGTCTAGGGCAGCCGATCGAAATATTTAAAAAATATTTTCATAAGGTAAAGAAATACTTGACACCGTCAGATTAAGGTATAGTGTGCTAATTACATGCTGAAAAGTGTGCAATTCAATAATCTATCGATTTCCACAAGCTGAAGAAACAAAAATCGTTCATTTGGCTGACCCCATCGATCAAAAAAGTATTAGATACACAATCAGCGACAAAAAGGCCTCACCGAATGAGCGCTTTTTTTTTGTGAAAACAACTTTAAGCATTGCATTTAAGGTTCAATTTACATTGTTGTATATTTATTTCAACTAGAACAATACCTAAACACAATCGGTGACAGTTTTAAGAGAACTTTTGTATGGGATTGTGTATCTAGTACTGTTTTGATCGATGGCTGCCCTAGACTCATATGGAGGTACTCGATAAAGTGCAAGGTATCGCCCCTTTCGTTATACTATAATATTTATAACAAAATAATTCTTGCTATTGATATAGTTAATTTTGCTGCCAGAGTGAGACAACACGATACTAGAGAGAGAGAGACAAATTGTTTGATAAATAATTGTATGTATGATAGTGTGTGAATTACACAAAAACTATGATTTTTTTAATGTACAGGGACACAAATCATGCAATCTCAAATGTAAAGACATTAGGTTTAAGTAATATTTTATTTAAAAAAAACTTATTTATGTATAAATAAATAAATATTATGTACATTTGTTTTATTATTTCATGCATTTTCTTACAATATTTACATATAAGTTATATGGCTAATATAAATATGGCTTAACTGCCTCGGTGATGTAGTGGCTAGCATGTACGGCTGCATACTCGGAGGTCCTGGGTTCGAGTCCCGGGTCGGGCCAAGTTTAGTTATTGAGTCTTTCTATATATTTAGCCTCAGTAATAGCCTGGAGTTGGGAAGTTGGCGGTGTTTCACCCCCGTGCCTCGGAGAGCACGTAAAGCCGTCGGTCCTGCGCCGACACTCTCACCGCGAGTGTCTCGTGTCGTCCCACCGGAGTATGAGAGTGACAGGAATAGAGAGTGCACGTTGTGTCTGCGCGTACACTTGTGCACTATAATATCTCCTGCGCAGTTGGCTAGTCTCAATGAGATTGGCCGCTGTGGCCGGAATCGGTCAGGAGGTCCAGTGGTTCTCTCATGATGCGTTCCCAAAGAGACAGACAAAAACTCTAAAAACTATAGGTTCGGCCTCTGTATCGATAACAATGTCTATTTCCATAAGATTTTCCAAAAAATATTTAATGTACAGATTAGTTAGAACATGCTTAGTTACAATTTTATTATATGTATAGATAAGGAGTCCTAAAAAAACAGTCCTTTAACTTTTAATTCGGGCAACATATTAATTTTCTTCACAAAATCCTCGTAAGTGCAACAAAAGCTGTGGGTTCCGTCGTTAGATCTCCATCTTAACCAGGAATATTTGGGGTTCGATTCGCAAATGTCCTCACAAAATGACAGTTTAGTTAGCATCGTTGTGTTGTAATATGAAGAGTTGATTGATATGAAAGTAGCTGATGTGTTCTTTATAGGATCGTAAACTACCTGCAAATATAATAATAGTAATAATTTTAAAAAATATATAAAAATAAAAAAAGCAAGTCATGATTACTGCCGACAGAAATGAAAACTTATAATTAAAACAAGCTGTTGTTATTTTTGGATACTCAAATTAATTGTTTGATCTAAAAATTAAAATTTGTAAATTATTAAAAAAAATAAACACCGACTTTCAGGCACTAAAATGTAAGAAATACCTAAACGGGGGTTTTCATTTAGAATAGATACCTAATCAGATATTTTCGAAGTCGGTGTCAGCCGATGCAAAGGAAATCTAATATATTTCGATACGTAAAATATATATATACCCATTAGATATTCATATCTTAAAATATTGTCGGCTGGCACCGACTTTGAATATATCTGATTAGGTATCTATTCTAAATGAAAACCTCCGTTTAAGTAGTTATTTTTTACATTTTACTGCCTGGAAGTCGGTTTTTTTTAAGTTTTTATTTTTCCATTTTTAGTGTACCTAGACGTAATATACAAGTAATTTGTGAGAAGAAAGTTTTTTAATAACATATTCGATTAAACAATTTATTTAAAAACCGCTTGACTGATTTCGATAAAATTTATATGGGACCACCTGGGGAGTATAACCCTTTGAAACAAAAAAAAAATTCCAAATCGGTTTAAGCGTCTTCGAGTAATCGGTGAACATACATAAAAAAAAGATTCCGACGAATTGAGAACTTCCTCCTTTTTGGAAGCCGATTAAAAACTGTTCACGGTTTCGACATCTATCGGCACTCTGAGTGTTAGCGTTAACACGTCACGTGACCATGTCGATGACGAATTACATGAATTTACTGCCCATACAAACAAACCTGCCTATACAAGTTTTCACTTTAAAAAACCTGACAGCGTAAAAAGCGAGCTAAAAAGATGCGAAGACGAGCGAAAAAACAATTACGAGAGATCAGAGAACATATAGTATTATGCAGTGGTAGCCCTTGGGACACCGAGTGAAGCGGGTTCGAATCCCGGGTCTCGCACCTCTGATATTTTCATGTGCGAATCATTTCCAACATGATCACCACTTGTCTTACGGTGAAGGAAAATATCGTGAGTAAACCTATATGTCTAAGAGAACCTAGCAAGTTCTCTCAGACATGCTCAGTCCGCCCGCACTTGGCCAGCGTGGTGGACTATGGCCTGATTCCCCTCGTATTGAAGGGAGGCCCGAGCCCAGCAGTGGGAGGTTAAAAAAGGCTTAATGAATGAATGAAAATGTCAAACTAGTGCTAGACAGTCTAGAATTTTATTTAACAATATCTTATCATAAATTACTTTTAAATATAAAAGTGTTAAGTGTTAATTTTATGATCGCGTCTTCAAAATCTTTATTTTGATACATACCTTACTCAATAGGTTTGGAAGAAAAAAAATTAAAGACAAATTGGTTTGCTTGTTTGTTTGTTCGTTCGTTCGTTCATTTGTTTGTATGTTTAGAGGTCCACCATTTTGATTTTTAATTAGTATAACACTCACGTTACCTATCAAGACAAATCTAACGACATATGAATCATCAAAATCGGTTAAGCCGTTTAGTAATTACGAGGGAACAGAGAGGAAGAATGGAATATATTTTTTTTAAAGTAATCCACTTTAAAACACTTACCTTGTAAAAATATAAAGGAACAGGTACGATATCATTATTATTCGCATCAACTTCCAAGAAAAAGTCCTTTGGAATGGAGTTTTTGTCCACTAAAGTGGTAACCCCGTAGGTACCGGTGTATACAGTGAGGGGGTTGCCATACGCATTGACACGACGTCGTAGGGCCTGAAAATATAATTTTAATATAATCTATACAGATAAATAAAATTTAAGTGTCTGTTTGTAATGTCAAAATAACAGCTTTTTATTAAATGCCATATGAAAGTATACACGGTACATATAGCAAAATAACATTTTTTACAATTTTTGTTTGTTTGTCTGTCTGTTTGTTCCGACTATTCTCTGAAATGGATGGACCGATTATGACGGGACTTTCACTGGCAGATAGCTGGTGTCATAAGGAGTAACAGCTTAGGCTACTTTTATTTTAGAAAAAAAAATAGGGTCCCACGATTTTTTTTTAAAACCAATGAAAAATTTAATAATATCCGATTCAAATAGGGATGTTGTATACATACCCTAGGGTGTAGATGGTAGGTTGTTATTTCTTTCTTTTACGAATTTATTCTCCAAAAATTCAACCAATAAATCAATGAAAGAATCCGAAAAGATACTTTCATTTCGTCATCGTCGTTTTTTCTTTTTTGATCGATGTACTCACGTCCTCCAAGGCCGCCCAGTCGCCGGCGTTGCCCCGCCGCCACTGCGGCGCGGTGTTGACGTAGTGGAAGCTGGCCCTCTGCTCGGCGTGCAGCGGGAAGTCCGCGCGCGGCGCGAGGTGGCCACGGTTCAGGAACTGCGGGGAGATAAGCTTATCACGAGATTTGTAAATGTATAAAAAAAGTGTGTGTGTGTGTGTGTGTACAATTCACATATGGTAGAAGTATGTCACACAATAACAACGGTTACCATGGCAACATGGCTATGTATTCTATCTCCTTCTCTCGCCGGCTTAATCATATATGTTTATGTGGAACATACTGGAAAGTTACACTATAGACTAGGCATTAGTTGAAACCTGTGTTGCAGTCAATAACACCCTCCTTCAAGTTTATAATATGATATTAATCCAAGCATTAGTCTAACAAAGCACTCTACGATTTAGACAGAATAATCGTGCTGATGAAGAAAATTATCGTGAGGAAACCCAGCGCTGGATTTACACTAGGGTCTAGTGTCCAGGGCGGCAAATTTTTAGGGGCGGCAAAACCCGGAAAGTGGAACAAAAAATTTCTTGGCATTATCAAAAATACATTTTTTTTATACAAAAAAAATTATAATTAAAAAAATTTAAACTTTCAACATTTTATTCAAAATTTCTATAATTGGGCGGCATTTTTTATTGCCCAGGGGCGGCTCTAAGATTAAATCTGGCACTGAAGAAACCTACATGTCTAAGAAAACTTAGCAAGTTTTTTTTTTTTATTACACTATATGATATACTTTTAATTTTGCAATGGACCCACAAAACTGCACAGTATGTCTGTGGGATCAGAGTCTCGCAGTTATTAATCTTACATTATAATATTTAAGGATATTTATATATATTTTACATTTATATATATTACATTATGATATTTTGAGTAGGTATGTTAAATTAAGTTAAGCTGTCCATATAATATTTTTTTAACAATTTGGCGAATTTACTTTTAATTGGTTCAAGTCTAATATCAGCGGGCAAACTATTCATGAGATATGGTAGACGTTTATCCAGCGTTCGATCGCCATAATAATTATGTACCCTTGGAACAATATATTTTCCCGCTGATACTGACCTGGTACCTTGCGCATGTGTCACCAACAAAGAGCGCTCCAGACTGCCATGGTTGTTTACTAGAAGTAAATATTTATGTTTAAGTTTTCGAGAAACATGCTCAGTCCCAGCACTTGGCCAACGTGGTGGGCTATGGCCTGATGCTCGTATTGAAGGAAGACTCGTGCCCAGCAGTGGGATATTAGAAAAGGCTTAATTAAAATAGACAGCTGATGAGTTTTTCTACAAAATAAAATCTCCCTCAAAAGAACTGCTTGTAACCTGATGTTAGATTTAACACCAGAAGTGTGCCCGATTAAATGATAATTTTCCTTCGAGGTGACTTTTTTTAGTAAATTAATCTTTAAATAAAGTAATTTTTAACCCCCGACACAAAAACAGAGGTGTTATAAGTTTGACGTCGATGTCTGTCTGTGGCATCGTAGCTCTCAAACGGATGGACCGATTTCGATGCGGTTTTTTTCATTTGAAAGCCAGTTTCCTCGCGGTGGTTCTTATCTATGTTTGGTTAATATCGATCCAGCAGTGTAAGAGTATCAGCTCTTTTCCAAAACGATGCTTCACTTGTGCCAGTGTAATCATTAAATGACAATTAATTTGCGTAGAGGTTTTTTTTTAATTTTTAATTATATATCTAAGTATCAAAAATAACATGTTATCAGTGATCAAATTTAACTGTTAATCTTTACTAATAACTATTTGCCCTAAATACTAACCATTTGGTTATCGTTTTACGCAATAAAACCATTTGCCTTCGTTTTATTTCGATAAACTTTTTACAGTGCCCTTGGAAAATCCATACTAATATTATAAATATGAAAGTGTGTTGTTTGTTTGTTTGTTTGTTTATCTGTCCTTTTTTCACGTCGTAATGCTCTTAAATAAAATTAAATAAATACGTGTTTTAGTGTTTTTCAAAATTCATCCTATAAGGGGGTAAAATATGGGATGAAAGTTTGTATGAAACTACCTTTTTAGATATCTTTTTGTAGTTTTAGCGCGAGCGAAGCCGCGGGTGTTGCTAGTAATTAATAAATAATACAATTATTAGCACACACATTACTCAAAAAACAAAGGAAAGTCAAATATGAATAATTTAATTACAATCTTTATTAATATGGCAATGATTCTGTAAGAAATATGAATAAATGTTGCCATTTTAGTTTGTTTGTTTGAACGCGCTAATCTCAGGAACTACTAATTCGATTTAAAAATTATTCTTGTATAAGTTAGCCCGTTTATTGAGGAAGGCTACACGCTATATATCATACTAGTATTGCCCGCGGCTCCGCCCACGTTCAGATGACCAAAAATCAAATTCTTAGGTTTTACATATTAGTATACTCTTACAACGCAGTTTTTGTATTTTTTCTCAGAAATGAGGTATTTTCCCGCGGTAAAAAGTATCCTATATGTTGACCCTTATATTCAGCTATCATCATACAAAATTTCATCAAAATCTGTCTAGTGGTTTCTCGTGATGCGGTACAGACAGACAGACAAAAATTCTAAAAACTATAGATTCCGACTCTGTATCGATAATAATGTCTATTTCAATAAGATTTTCCAAAAAATATTTAATGTACAGATTCGGCTTAGTTACAATTTTATTATATGTATAGATAATATGCAGTCTATCTATTCCATACTGACCGTTAAAACGTACCTAGAAACGAACCCGGACGAAGCGAGTTTGAGTCGCTAGTAAATGTACAAACTGACAATTCAAAAGGCCTTGTAAAGGTTTATTTCATAAAATAAATCCGTCCAGCCGGTACAACGTGAAGGAGGAACAATATAACAAACATACACACACAAACAAACTTTCTGAAGTATAATTGTAGTCCGATATACAGATAGCGTCAAGTTGTTGAAAATTTTGGTACTAACAGTAAGCTTATGTGCTATAAATAAATAAATATGTCGGTAAATAAACACAGCACCATCTAGTTCCATGGTAAGCTACGAGGTTTGTGTTATAGATACCAGATAGTTGATACACTACACATATATAACTTTAAATACATACATATTATAAATATAAACACCCATGACTGGAGTACAAACGCTCATCACACAAATGAATACCCCCAACGGGACTCGAACCCGCGACTGCTTGCACAGCAAGTAAGGTAACTACAAACTGAGCCAAACATATCGTCAAACACGTTACACGCTATACCAAGGAACTAAATCTCATCCAAATCAATCCAGCCGTTTGAACGTTGAGCAGTAACAAACATACAAACTGTCGCATATATATATATAAAAATATTAGCACGATTTCATTATGTGATTTGCCCTCGTATAAAATACTTACTTGATTCTTAGTTATATACTGAGTCTCGGTCCCATCGCCGAGGATCTTACCCAAGCGTTGTAACTGATATTTCATAGCATACAGCTGCGACATTCTCACTTTACCAAACACATCTCCTTCTGCAAACGAAATACATACATTTATTAGTAACTTATCTATTCTATACTTATTTAAAGCACTTTAGTCGTACAGTGACTAGGTCCTGAGTTCGAGTCCCGAGTCGGGCCGAGTTCAGTTATTGAATATTTCTGCCAAGAAGTTCTCAGTAACAGTCGGCAATTGACATATTTTTTATGGTATTCAGTGACAAACGAGCAGACAGCCAATCTGATGGAAAGTGGTACCTGTCGCCCATAACACCTACGGTTCATGCACTTAGGTTTGATGTTACAAAAATGCAGAACCGCAGGTGCATTGTCACTGTGAGGACTAAGATGATATGCCTCTTGCCTGTAAATGCGCTGGCCACCTTATCCTTCAAAACGGAACACAACAATGCAATCATTGTAGCTTGGCGGGAGAAATAGATAAGGGGGTGGTACCCATCCAGTCGGACTCCTCAGACTTGACAGAGTCCTACCATCAGCTTGGACAGAGCATATACACAGATCTACATAGACAGCCATAATCATACTAAATTTCATCAAAATCCCTCCAGTGGTTTTCCGTGACAACACAACGGTCACAAACAGACAGATAAAAATTCTAAAAACTATAGATTCGGCCTCTGTATTGATAATAATGACTATTTCAATAAGATTTTCCAAAAAATATTTAATGACTTCGATTTGACTCAACAAATTATATGTATAGATTAATTTCATTCTTTACCAATAAATTGTGGTCTTCTGCCCCCAGCTTGTATGTGAAGACTGTTCGGCTTCAACGTATGCTTTACATAGAGTGTATGGATCAAGTATTTGTCAAAACAGGCTTCGTATAGTGAGTGGAAAACATCCGCTATCTTATAGCCTACTCTGTGGATGAAATTAATACACTCCATACATTGAAAATTAAAATAAACCCTACGCAAATTAATTGTCATTTAGCGATTACACTGGCACGCGTGAAGCACTTAATCGAGTAATCATACGCCAAAATGCCTTACATCATTTTGGTAAAGAGCTGATACTCTTACACTGCTGGACCGATATTAACCAAACATAGCTAACAACCACCGCAAGGAAACTGGCTTTCAAATGAAAAACTCGAAACGCATCGAAATCGGTCCATCTTTTCGAGAGCTACGATGCCACACACACACAGACAGACATCGACGTCAAACTTATAACACCCCTCTTTTTGTGTCGGGGGTTAAAAAATACTAATAAAATAGTATTCATATCAAGCTAAAAATAAGCTAATACCTATCTATTAGGTCTGGCTACTCTGATATTTTCATGTGCGAATCATTTCCAACATGATTACCATTTGCCTTACGGTGAAGGAAAACATCGTGAGGAAACCTGCATGTCTGAGAGAACCTAGCAAGTTTTCAAAAGATATGCTCAGTCCGCCCGCACTTGGCCAGCGTGGTGGACTATGGCCTGATCCTTCTTATATCACCGTGCCTCGGAGAGAATGTAAAAACGTCACATTTAAACTAAGATCATGAATTAAAAAGGTCCTTTTAGTTACTTTTTTAATAACGTCATCAGCTCTCTGCAGTAGTTCTCCATATAAACTTTAACTATGCCAAAGCCTCCTCCGTAGATAGAATGTGAAATATGCTCAAAAATAAGTACAAAGTTTTCTCTTCATGTATTATATATATAGAACTAGCATTGCCCGCGGCTCCGCCCGCGTTCAGATGAACAAAAACCAATTAATAGGTTTTACATCTTACATTGCAGTTTTTGTATTTTTTCTCAGAAATGAGATGTTTTCTAGCGGTAAAAAGTATCCTATATGTTGACCCGGATAACCAGCTATCATCATACCAAATTTCATCAAAATCTGTTCAGTCGTTTTCTCGTGATGCGGTAACAGACAGACAGAAAGACATACAGACAGACGAAAATTCTAAAAACTATAAATTGGGCCTCTGTTCGATAATAATGTTTATTTCAATAAGATTATCCAAAAAATATTTAATGTACAGATTTGACTCAGTTAGAATTTTATGTATAGATTACCTGTATAACACGTGTCCTCCTGTACATCTACCAACTTCCTCAGCAGAGAACCAAGGCGGACCACTACATTTGATTTCCTTGAGATTCCCCACCCACGAGCCTTTGGACGCTCGAAATACAGAGTCCTTCACACATTTTACATCCTGGAAGAAAATGCTTAGAATTTAAACAAATTCTTACTAATCTCATAAAGATAGGTGTTTTATTTTATTACTTCTCTCTTTAATCAATAGGGAATATACCGTTCTCCTGACCGTTTTCTACCACGGCGGCCAATCTCACTGAGACTAGCCAGAAGCGCGGGACATTCCTAATATAGTACACAAGTGCATGCACAGACACAAGTACACTTTCTTATATACTTCGTCTCTAGGTTGATTCCCCATACAAACTTTCATCTCCATTTTCACCCCCTTAACAGATGATTTCCGGGATAAAAAGTATCCTTTGTCCTTCCCAAGGTCTCAAACTATCTTCTTACTAAATTTCATCTAAATCGGTTCAGTAGATCCAGAGGTTACCCCCTACAACCGGACAATCTCACAAACTTTACCTCTTTATAATATTAGTATAGATTAAATATACTATAATTTTATTATATGTTACATATTCCTTCAACCCACCCTCACATGGACGGCAACTCGACATATGTGGTGAAGTATATTAGTAATTTTCTTTATTGTAAACTAAAGGCACCGGTGATACATAAAACATTTTACAATAATGTTGCTTTAGACCTTGATTATTTCTTTTTATTTAAATACTTACAAAAATATCAGAAGCAGTAGTTTTATTTCCCAAAACAACAACTCTTTTGGTTCCCGGACAAGCTATCTGCAGAGTTTCCGAACGCCGCAACAAGATGGCGCCCGTCGAATTTGGCGCCAAAAAGTCGCCATTTTTTAAATATACAGGCGAAGGATTTCCAAAATCATCTTTTAGAGATAAATTGCAACCTGAAACACGTTTGATTATAAATAAATAAATAAAATAATTTATTAAATAAAATACTTTATTATATTTATAATAGATAAGTTTTAATGAAATCTATACAGACAAAAAAATTTGAAGTGACTGTTTGTGATGTAAAATATTAAATAAAAGCTTTTTATTATATGTATATGAAATTATATACGGTACTTATAAGATAAACTCAATTTTTAACATTTTTGTCTGTCTCTGTTCCGGCCACAGATCATAATATAATACTATACTAGGTACCGGCTAATCTCCAAAACGGCTGAGCTGATTTTGACGGGACTTTCACTAGGAGTTAGCGGATATTATAAGGAATAACTTAGGCTACTTTTATTTTAGATAAAGAATTAAAGTTTCGCTTGATAAAATAAATGGTGGACGCACCTGAGCGAAGCGAGAATAAGTCGCTTGTTACAAATATAAGTTTACTAGCAGAACCCACGGCTTCGCTCGCGCTAAAACTACTAAAAAAACTCTAAAAAGGAAGGTTTCATACAAACTTTCATCCCATATTTAACCCCCTTACGGGATGAATTTGGGAAAAGGCTAAAAAACGTATTTATTTAATTGTTGTATTGAAGAGCATTAATATCAAGTTTCAAATAATTCTCATCATAAATATTTGTTTGGATTGCATTATACCGTGTTTTCCCGTAGAAATTAAATAACCTCCCGCGGTAAAAAGTAGCCTATGTCACTCTCCAGCCCTCCAACTATCTTCACATAAAATATCATGCCAATCCGTCACTCCGTTTCGATGTGAAAGAAAGACAAACAAACACACTTTCACATTTATAATATTAAGTTGTTATTTATAATATTTGTGGTTTAGTTGTAATAATGGCGACGGATGTTAGACTAAAGATAAAGAGTGATAGCCTCAAGAAATTTACCATTCTAGATAGTGAGGAAATCGTCCACTAAACAAAAAAAAATCGGTTGACAAACAAAGGAAAAATAATAGATTTTAATTATTAACAAAAAAAGGGTCTGGCGGCCGCTCGTTCGTTTTGTTTCACTTGCGCGTTTCCGCCATTATTTGACGTCTCGCAAACGTGACGTCTATATCTTAAAACTACGTGATTTTTTGCATAGATATAGGTATACGCTAGCATTGCCCGCGGCTCCGCCCACGTTCAGATGACCAAAAACCAAATTCTTAGGTTTTACATATTAGTATACTCTTACATTGCAGTTTTTGTATTTTTCCCCAGAAATGCGACATTTTCTCGTGGGTAAAAGTATCCTATATGTTGACCCGGATAACCAGCTATCATCATACTAAATTCATCAAAATCCCTCCAGTGGTTTTTCTGTGATGTGGTAACAGACAGACAGACAGACAGACAGACAGAAAAATATTCTAAAAACTTTAGATTCGGTCTCTGTATTCGAGAATAATGTCTATTTCAATAAGATTTTCCAAAAAATATCTAATGTATTGCCAAAGTTTGTTTGTGTGTATGTTTGTTACTATTTTACGCTGAAAAAGCTAGGACCTTTTGGATATTCAGTACACAAATATACTACGGCCTAGAAATAACATATAGCCTTCAAACTCTGGTGTAAAGCCGCGGGTACACGCTTGTAGATAGTAAAATTAGAACGCGTCCAAGTACACTAAGGTTTTTTTTTATATCTTAATCCCTCAACGACCGCGAGCACATCGGCGTTACAATTAACAATTAATTTCTTAGAAATTTACCTGGAGGTGTTAAAGATACTAGGAATGCACTGGCAAGAAATCTGCAGCTTTAACTACTAAAAGAATTGCCAAAAAAGAAACTGTTATTATATGATTCTGAGCATTAGTCCCCAGACTTATCGTCTAGTAATTTATACGTTCATTTTAAATATGTATTACGAGTCTATCTCAGAAGTAGGCCAAGTAAAATTCAGTGTAACAGCACACAGGTTTTATTATTTTATACAGAGTCATGAAACAAAATACAACGCTACTCCCGCTCTTTTTTCACTCAAGATGACAACGTCAGAAAAAAAAACCCAAATAAGTATTTTATAGACAGACGTTGTCCTGTCTACACGTCTTTAATTTGAAAATTTCAAACTTTTTTTTATAATTTTTTTGATGAAAATTATTATTCAAATTGTGAATCTAAACCATTCCCAGATCCCCTTGAACACACACAAAAAATTTCATCAAAATCGGTCCAGTCGTTTGAGAGAAGTTCAGTAACATACACACTCACAGAAGAATTATATATATAAAGATGACAACATAAAGAATAAAATAATGTACATACTAAATACAATAAATCCTATTTTATATAATTTATAATTTATATTATTTTTAGTATAACATATGAAAATTATATATTTTTATATAGATACATGTATAGGTGTGATTACGTAAATTGATGTAATGATACATAATCAGTAAATCTATTACCCATAATAAGTACATATATGTATATAATATATATGTATGTATATAATAATACTACGTGTCTGTTATATTACAAAAAAAAATAATAAGTATAAAATATATTATGAAGTCAAAAAGACACGAATGTAGTCCGACAGATGCATTTAAAACTTCCATATACATAATTATGTACATCTATACATATAATAAAATTCTGAGTCGAATCTGTAAATTAAATATTTTTTGGAAAATCTTATTGAAATAGTCATTATTATTGTTTATTGATACAGAAGCCGAATCTATAGTTTTTAGAATTTTTGTCTGTCTGTTTGTCTGTGATCGCATCCCGAGAAAACCACTGAACAGATTTTGATGAAATTTGGTATGATAATAGCGGGTTATCCGGGTCAATATATAGGATACTTTTTACCGGAAAATATCTTATTTCTGAGAAATCTTTAAAACACAAGTAGGGACAAACCCGAGCGGAGCGAGGGTGAGTCGCTAGTATTACATATTATATGAGTGAGTTATTCTTTAAGGAAATTCGAAGTAAAATTTTAATAACGAACTAATTATAATACCTGAATAAAAAAATATGATAATATATGAATAATAAATAAAATTTTTAATTATTGTTGATTGAATTTCATTTAACATGTCTATTATTAGGTTGAAAACTTAAAAAGTATATACTAAATATTTTCTTACCGCCAGTAACTTCGTCACATATTTCTAAAACAAATAGCACAAAATATAACAGCTCTCGCCGTGTCATTGTGAATGCAGACTGACTCAGTAAATACTAAATACATATAAGACGTGTATTGTAACGGTATTACCCGTACCATGGGTTTCTTTCGAGTTTGAATTTAATATAATATTTTAAATATTTTATTAGTATAATATTTTGTTTTTGGTTTTTTTGCGAATTTATTTTGAATTTTGGTTCCCGACATCATCATGGTCACGGGAAAGTCTCCAGAAAAGACAGTTTTTATTTAAAACTAGCATTGCCCGCGGCTCCGCTCGCGTTCATATGGCCAAAAACCAAATACTTACGTTTTACATATTAGTATACTCTTACGTTGCAGTTTTTGTATTTTTTCTCAGAAATTATATATTTTCCCGCGGTAAAAAGTATCCTATATGTTGACCCGGATAACCAGCTATCACTATACCAAATTTCATCAAAATCCCACCAGTGGTTTTTCTGTGATGCGGTAACATCTGTACATATGTATAAAAAAGATAACTGATCGATGTCTGTACATGAAAGATATTTGAGAAATACTATTATTGGGGGTATTTATTAACGCAATACAACCCAAAACAATGATTTTTAGAATTTTTGTCTGTTTGTCTGTTGTTCTGTTTGTCTGTGCGTTTGTGCGCGCTAATCTCAGAAACGGCTTAACCGATTTGGGTGCGGTTTTCACCAATATATCATGGTAAGTTTCACTTAATTTTTAGTATTTGTTTTACTTCAATTGGTTTATAAATAAAAAAGTTATGTCAATTGAAATAGACGAACCTGAGCGAAACGAGGTTGAGTCGCTAGTTGTCTTAATATGTATATAAATTATTATATACAATACTTTCTAAATAATCCTCCTTTGTATTGGTGAAAAACGTATGAAATTTTGTACAGTACTTCCTGAGGTTAGCTCGAACAAACAGAAAGTCAACGCGACGGGGGAATCCCATTTGTAATATGTAATGACAATAGATGGGCATAACATTTGTTTAGATTAATATGAATATTTGGTAGTTTGAATAATACTAATTTTTCGAGATTTTATTAACATTATGTGTATCAAAAAAATCTAAATAAAACCGCATAAAAAACTGGTAGGCCTAATCTTTTCAGTACCTTTCTCTCCTCTCTCCTCATGTTTGTCAACCGATTTTGTTTTTTTTTAGTGTTATCAATAAAAATAATTTTAAACATTTAATTATTTATATATATATATAGGTAAATTTTATTTATATATGTTATCCTAAAATTTTCAATAATATTAATGCTCGAATTTCGACCTCTGGGGCACTTGTTTCATTTAAAATTAAAGCATTCATGGAACACTTGTTAAGTAAATCACAAATATTTACCAGCATTCACATATCGAACTCCTAACACAAACAGAACACCGCACAATTTTATATACATATTTAATAAATAAAATCGCGTGTTGATTATTCGATCGTTACCTTAAAACTAACATCAATCAGCGATAATAGACTCGTAGCTGAGTAAGTACAATCGAGTCCAACTACATTTTTGTTTTATTACGAATATATTATTCATGCAGATTATAATTAATTATATACTAGCAGAACCCGCGGCTTCGCTCGCGCTAAAACTACAAAAAAAAACTCTAAAATCAGTAGTATTAGGCAATATAGCCTTATACCAGTGAGCAGGGTGTGAAGCTAAGAGGCTTACTTGGGATACATGAGGTGTCCATCGCGCTGGTATTGCTGTGAAAGCAGCTATCCATTCTAACTGTTAAAACATATAGGGACGAACCTGAGTGAAGCCAGGGTGAATCGCTAGTTATAAATACAGAAAACACCCAAGCAAAACAAAGTAGGGATCCACGACCGCGAACTGATGCACTCGCTAGTTCATTTGTTAATGATATTATGAAATAAGTAATTACATATTTAGTTTACTGGCTTAAAATTATTTTAAGTCAATATCGTCCAGTGACGGGTAAATATTGTTAAATCCCATATGAGTCAAGCATGTGTTGAATTAAATTAAGTTTTAAAGGACAAAATATTGTAGACTAGTGAAGTCAGTGTGTAGTGCCACTTACTGTGCGAACGGTCGCGGGTTCGAGTCCCGTTGAGGGAATTTATTTGTGTGATGAGCACGAATGTTTGTGTTCCAGTCATAGGTGCTTATATTTATAATATATCTATACTAATATTATAAAGAGGTAAAGTTTGTGATCTTGTGAGTTTGTGAGTTTGTGGGTTTGTGAGTTTGTGAGTTTGTGACGTTGTAGGGGGTAATCTCTGGATCTACTGAACCGATTTTCAAAATTCTTTTACTAATAGAAAGCCACGTTCTTTCTGAGTGTCATAGGCTATATATTAACCCGAAAAATGAAAAGACTTTTTCATGGTAGTCCGATTTGCAAAGTAAGTCGGAGAAAAAACGGTCGAACGAAAACGTTTCTTACGAACGCTGCCTTAACGATGAGAGATATATGATTATGTTCTAGAGAAAACTTGTAGAGCTTAATAATGCCTACAAAAAAGTCAGCGACAGCATATGTCTAACTTTTATATTTAAGTCACAAAAAGTAGTTTTTTATATTAAAAAAACAATTTAAATCGGTAGGTCATGTTTATTGGTCATATTATCAACACTTATGAATTCTTATCAAAATAAGCAAATTAATCGTCTAAAATATTTGAAACAAAAGACTTTTCCCTTTTACTGCATATAATTTGGACAAATGGTTAAAGAGATAATACAACATATTCGTAGGTATGGACGAACCCGAGCGAGCTGTTTGTCTGTTTTTCTTTTTGTATGGGCTAATCTCCGGATCTATTGGACATATTTGAATAAAATTTTGCATGGTGGTACCTTATATCCTCGGGCAACATATTAGATACTTTTCATCCCGGAAAATTAGGGAGTTCCCGTGGGATAGTTAAAAAACTATAAGAACTTATACAGCTTAGTACACAAAAACTACTGATTGGATTTTAATGAAACTTTACAATAATATAGTTCATACATGACAAAAACAAATCAGCTACTTTTCATCCCGGAAAATTAAAGAGTTTCCGTGGGATCGTCAAAAAACTATAGTAACTTATACAGCTCAGTACACAACAACTTATGCACCTAATTGAGTAATATAGGCATGCTGATACCTTATATTGCCGGTCGAACAACAGGTTACTTATTTTTATCCCGGAAAAATGAACGGTTCCCGTGGGATAGATCTGTTTGTACTTTTCTAGAGGTGAACCCGAGCGAAGCGAGGGTGAGCCGCTAGTATGTATATAAAGTTATATATGTGTAGTCAACTATCTGGTATCCATAACACAAGCTTCGCAGCATACCATGGAACTAGATGGTATGTATTCAGCCCTTTTTATCGTCACACTGCTGGGCACGGGCCTCCCTTCAGTACGAGGGGAATCAGGCCATAGTCCACCACGCTGGCCAAGTGCGGGTTGGCGGACTTCACGTGTCTTTCGAAAACTTGCTAGGTTCTCTCAGACGTGCAGGTTTCCTCACCATGTTTCCTTCACCGTAAAGCAAGTGGTAATCATATTAGAAAGGATTCACAGATGAAAATATCAGACGTGCGAGACCCGGGATTTGAACTCGTTTCACTCGGTTTCCCAAGCGAGCGCGTTACCACTGGGCTACCACTGTGTGTGCTGTGTGTTAATGTACCGACACATTTATTTATTTAATATTTTTTTAATAACCACATTGTTTCAGGTCAATGGCCTCATAGTTATAGATAACTAGGGAATTACCCTCCCTACGCTCCGGTCCCTAGGGATGGATGATTTAGAAATGCGAAGAAGACCTATATACCTTTACATGACCCAAAACAAACCTTTTTTTTGGGGTCAGAAACCATATTCGAAGTTCGCTGAACTCACCAAAGTTTTATCACAATCGGATGAATGGTTTACATTTGTAAAAGCCAAACATACATAGAATCATTCGTTTTTATATAAATAGGCAAAGACAAAACTGTCCAGTACCTTTTTCTCCTCTGTTTGTCAAACGATTTTCATTTTTTTTTTATAATATTATATTACATACTAGCGACTCAACCTCGCTTTGCTCGGGTTCGTCCCTAGCTTGATTCGCCATACAAACTTTCATCCCTATCCTCGATATCGATAAAAAGTATCCTATGTCCTTCCCAGAGTCTCAAAATATCTTCTTACCAAATTTCATTCAAATCAGTTCAGTAGATCCAGAGATTACCCCCTACAACGTCACAAACTCACAATCTCACAAACTTTACCTCTTTATAATATTAGTATTAGTATAGATTTAAATTGGTATCATAGTAGGGGACTTCATTTATCAATTACAAAGGATTTGCATATCACAGAGAATACTTTTTATTCGCATTAATTAGGTGTAACCCAATGTGAGCTATAGTTAGTTTGTTTGTTTGTTTATTAATGCACTCTAATCGTTGGAACTATCAGTCAAATTAGATTATTTTTAAATTGTATAGTTTACTAGCAGTAAGCAGCACTTCACAGGATCACCCGCTGTGCTAATCCGAAGATTGCCTGAAAATTATATATCCATAAGAAATCTATATATTTCTTTTGGATTTCTTATGGAAGGCTACAAGCCAGGGTCGAAGAGAGTTTAGGTAAACTACGCAAGCGGAGGTGCGAGACGAAATTAGTATCACAGTTCGGCTGAGGACTGCAGTTCAAATATTCTACCTATCGATCCTTTCCTATTGTGATTGTTATTTCGGGCAGGTATGTATATACAAAAAATTTAAGGGTCTTATGCCCGATTTCACCAACGTCTCCTAAGTTTAAGGGATCCCCTAAGCATGGTTAGGGGGCTGTTAGGGGACAGTTTCTACTTCACCGACAGTTAGGGGTCATCTAAATGTTAATATGTCACCTAAATATAGGTACATACTAGAAATACGGGCTCTGACGATGGTAAAACGAAATTTAATTTAGGGGTTAGTTTAGGGGAATTTTAAGCTAGGTAGGGATCCCATACGTAGGTGGTAGCTTATGGGTTGTTGGTGAAATCGGGCATTAGACGCAAGACCGACACGACACGCGCCATCTAAGACATGGTAAAATACCAAAAATGTTATTGAAAATTTCATAACAACAATAACTACATTTGGAAAGATCTGCGGCTTGAACCCAAGACCTCCGGATCCGCAGTCGTACATGATAGCACTAGACCAACGAAATAGTTGACTAATTACTAACAAGCAAAATCACAAATTTGAACTAGTTTATAATAGTTTTTATTCTGACTGTACATGAATTAGGCTCGAACCCAGAACCTTCCGATTTGCCGTAAGTACATGCTAGTCACTAAACCACCAAGGAAACTATACGAGTATAATAATTACAAATAGAAATATTTTTGCAAATTACACATAGATCAATTGTGGCTTAAATAATTAATATATTATGATTTTTTCTTTATGGTTATAAATATAATAATGGCAACACTAAAAATGTAGATTAATAATTAATATTTTTAAAATTGTAATAATTATAATAATAACAGCTCAAATTAAATAAATAATATTCTATATTCAATTATAAAGCTAATTAAAATTATATAAAAATGTTTAAAGTTAAAAGTTAAAATATTGTAAGGTACTTTAGTGCCATTTTTCAATTTTTTGAATTTATTTTGTTAATTGTGGGTAGGCTGTCTGTAACAACTATATAATACCTTAGAGACATCTAACACCTCAGTCTCTCCCGTGACCGTGGATGCTGTAAAGCATTCGAAACGTCGGGAAACAAAAATGCAAATAAATCCGCGACAAAATCCGAAAAGATAGTTTTATCTAAAATGTCAAATATTCGCGTAAATCTAAGAAAGTATGTAAGAAAGTATTAAATAGAAATATCTTAATATATAAGGAATTTAAAGAACTAGTTTATAATAGTGATTTTGACTGTACATTATATCATGCAATGTACAAAAATCAATCAATGTCAATCATTTTACTTCACTTTCTTTATCAAGTCATGAGATATGGAAAACTTATGGGGCACAAATTCAGAATTGGGGACTTGGCCCCTAGCGGAGTGGGTGGTATTTCTGGATAAGGGACGTGATAGGGAGTCGAAATGTTAAATAAAAATTGTCCGCGAACGTATGAGTAAAAAGTTATTGAGACTTAAAGTTACAACATTTCCATACATTTTCATATATTTCTTTACCACCATTCGGAGTGGGTGGTATTTTTAGATAGGGGAGGTGACAGAGAGTCAAAATATATTAAAAATATTTGGAGGAAACGTACGAGTAAAAAGTTATTGAGACTTAAAGTTATAACATATCTAACACATTTCCATACATTTCTTTACCTAAATAAGTGATTACAACAGATAAACATACCTTTAACGAATAGTACGCATCCTTTTTTATGTACATTACACATTTTCACAACAATTAATGCTTTATTGTATTTAATATTTTAATAATTTCACAACACAAACAAAATGATCTTACATTTTGACAAAAGCAAAACTGACACTTTGTTTTATATTACCGCTTAAATGACAACAGATTATATTTGATTATTTTTGCTTTTTCTGTGGTAAAATATTAATATTAATAAATAAATAAATAAAAAGAAAAATATTATTTTCATTTCATAATTACATTTATGATTTTTTATCTGATTTATGTAAAATATATTGTTTTACAATTGTACATTTAGTAAAAAAAAAACATTTTTTTATCTGTGAATATTTTTCAGTATTATTGGCGGGTGTTCTTAAAATACCGCGAAGTTTCATAATTTGTGACTCTGTACTCTGTGTATTTTCCATTAGTTAGTTTTTGTTAATTTTTATATACTTTCGTTTCTTGTTTTTGTTTTAATATTATTTTTATAGTTTTAAGTGTTCATAGTGTTAGTGTAAACAATTTATAAACGTGAGTAGACTATTTTTAAAATCTAAATGTATTATTTACTTTTGGTTTTTATTTTGCGACATCGTGGTTAGTTTAAGACATAGGTTATTTATTTATTATTCGTCAGGCTGCAGTTTAGAATATGGGACATTACCCCTGGCGGAGTGGGTGGTATTTCTGGATAGGGGACGTGATAGGGCGTCGAAAAGTTAAATAAAAAATTTTCCGAAAACGTACGAGTAAAAAGTTATTGAGACTTAAAGTTACAACATCTCCATACATTATTTTGACATTACTACCATTTAGACACTTGGAGTCAAAACGTCACTTTCAATTGTCAAAATGATCTCCAGATGATTGTCTTTATTTGTACTTGCGTGAAATTCGAATTTTCTAGTTTTCTAGTCATTTATGGTGGCAACTGTTCTAACCTAACCTAACCCAGATATGAGGAATAATAAATAAATAATCTTAAATGTTCTAACCTAACCCAGATATGAGGAATAATAAATAAATAATCTTAAATGTTCTAACCTAACCTAACCCAGATATGACGAATAATAAATAAATAATTAAAAATATTCACAGATAAAAAATGATTTTTTTTACTAAATGTACAATTGTAAAACAATATATTTTACATAAATCAGATAAAAAATCATAAATGTATTTATGAAACGAAAATAATATTTTTCTTTTTATTTATTTATTTATTAATATTACCAACAGAAAAAGCAAAAATAATCAAATATAATCTGTTGTCATTTAAGCGGTAATATAAAACAAAGTGTCAGTTTTGCTTTTGTCAAAATGTAAGATCATTTTGTTTGTGTTGTGAAATTATTAAAATATTAAATACAATAAAGCATTAATTGTTGTGAAAATATGTCTTGTACATAAAAAAGGATGCGTACTATTCGTTAAAGGTATGTTTATCTGTTGTAATCACTTATTTAGGTAAAGAAATGTATGGAAATGTGTTAGATATGTTATAACTTTAAGTCTCAATAACTTTTTACTCGTACGTTTCCTCCAAATATTTTTAATATATTTTGACTCTCTGTCACCTCCCCTATCTAAAAATACCACCCACTCCGAATGGTGGAAAAGAAATATATGAAAATGTATGGAAATGTTGTAACTTTAAGTCTCAATAACTTTTTACTCGTACGTTTTCGGAAAAAATTTTATTTAACTTTTCGACGCCCTATCACGTCCCCTATCCAGAAATACCACCCACTCCGCCAGGGGTAATGTCCCATATTCTAAACTTGTGCCATTCGTCATATCTTGGTTAGGTTAGGTTAGAACATTTAAGATTATTTATTTATTATTAATTATTCGTCATATCTTGGTTAGGTTAGGTTAGAACAGTTGCCGCCATAAATGACTAGAAAACTAGAAAATTCGAATTTCACGCAAAGTACAAATAAAGACAATCATCTGGAGATCATTTTGACAATTGAAAGTGACGTTTTGACTCCAAGTGTCTAAATGGTAGTAATGTCAAAATAATGTATGGAAATGTTGTAACTTTAAGTCTCAATAACTTTTTACTCATACGTTCGCGGACAATTTTTATTTAACATTTCGACTCCCTATCACGTCCCTTATCCAGAAATACCACCCACTCCGCTAGGGGCCAAGTCCCCAATTCTAAACGGCCGCCACTTATGGTGTTAATTAAAATTTTTAGAATCTGTGTCAAGACCGTTTTCTTAAGATTGCGTGAAGATCAAGTTCAAAATATCAAACGCTTTGATGATACGACGACACGTTTGACTCAGTTTGTCCCTGTGTTGACCCTACTTGCTGTGCCAGCGGTCGCGGGTTCGAGTCCCGCTGGGGGCATTCATTTGTGTGATGAGCACGAATGTTTGTACTCCAGTCATGGGTGTTTATATTTATAATATGTACTTATTTAAAGTTACGTATGTGTAGTGTATCAACTATCTGGTACCCGTAACACAAGCCTCGTAGCTTACCATAGAACTAGATGGAGCTGTGTGTTAATGTCCCAACATATTAATGTATTATTTATTTACATAGATCTAAAGACACTTACGAGTTAAAAAATCGAGCTTTACAGTCAATTCCAAAAAATAAGCCCATTTTTGCTATAAATGTATTTACCACTCGCAAGTGAAAACCTTCGCAATTTTAATTTTGCGATGAGAGGAAGTGAAGTGGCATTCAAATAGCAGTCTGCCGGTCGCAGAAAAGACCTAGTCGACCAATTATAACCTGAAGAGGTCCATAAAGGCGGAGCTTAGAAGGGTGGAAATCTAATGAAACCGTGTTCAACCATGTCTAAGTAGTAGCTCTAGGTCATAGGTGAACCTAGAAGGGAATAGAAATCTATGCTGCAGCCCTAAATTCCACGAAATCAAAACCTATATGATATTTCTAGAATGGATACTTGACCTAGAATCTTGAAATTTGACTAAAATAGATAACAAAAAGAAAAAATTTAGTCAAAATCAGTCTCATGATAGAAATAACATTATATACTTTATTTATGCCATCAACAAAGTGCATATTATAGATTTATTATTAACATATTAACATATAAATAAAAAATAATATTTTCTTTATAATACTTTATTTAATTGGCAACACATCACCCCAATTACTTGATCTTGCACATCTGTATGTATTAACATCATGCTTTCCTTTCGAGAATATAATTTCTTTTAACTCTCCTTGTGCCGTGCATAATCTACAAATTGTATGACCGGACCTTACTATTGGAGGTCTGACTATTCTCGGCCACTGCGGATCATCTGAGGGTCTAACACCTTTTCTTAAAATAACATATGAGTATAAATCTGCTGCAACGTCAGACTTTAGTGGAAATGGTAATGTTTCATATTTCATTAAGAAATTACATGGTGTTTTCTGTTCTAAGTATCTCGGACAAACGTTGTCATTCGGACATGGTGCAAATGCATAACCCTTATCTTTTTGTGATGAATTTAAAACATATTCTCGAGCTTCATTGACAACTTGGAATCCTGCATTAGATCCATGTTCCACTATTATTAAAAAATCTTCTGTTTTATTCCATAATTTTTGTATTGTTTCTAATCTACTCTTAATGCTAGGCATTTCAAATAATGAAAATGCTGATAACACTACATTGTACTTTAGATCTGCTGATGCTGGAAGGAACTGCCTTTGGAAGTATGCTTTAAATGGCATCTCCACATTATCTCGACCTTGACATAATATAAGGCGAGCTAAATCGTTCATTTGTGCTGATGTATCTACTGTGAAATATTCAAATATATCTCGCTGCCAAAATGTATTTACTGCCCAAGTACCAGTTCCTACACCTGAACCAAAGTCAAAGAAGCTTCTAGGCTTATAATTAGGCAGTCTTCGTTTTATTTCATCAAGTATTCGTACTAAAATAGCGTATTCGGGGGCAGCACGAGACATTAAATACTGCAGACATGTTGGTTTATCATAAGATATATTACCCCATCTATAGACATTTTTCTTTAACACATTAAAAACTGTAGTTTGTATTTTTTGTTCCATTGTTTTTTCTTCTTCATGAGATAATTCTTTTTTAACATTTGAATAAAACTTTTTTGACACGCTTTCATGTATTTTAGCTGCTTTAGCTCGAATATCATCGTCTTCCGGTGGCAAATGTCGTGAATGTAAATAATTATTTAACTTTATACTGTCTTGATGATATGATTTCGCGTTAGAATCTTGTAATATGACTTTTATAGCCTTCTGAATATCAGGCGGTATTGGCACCATTTTAAATTGTGATCTGCCAGGATGATTTCTTGGTTTGTACTCCTTTGCTTCGAAATTCTCTTTCAAACTAGGATCAATTTCAACTCTTGTAGAATAATGTAAGAACGTTGTAGAGAAATATGGAATTCTAATTTTTCGATACATTTTGTTTATTTATAACTTATAACCTAAAAATCGTTAGTACTTACAATGTGACTTTGACAATAAACATTTGATTTTGACATAATTGACAATTACGCTTTTTTAAAAGATTTAGATTTAGAAACTGGTCTATACAGCCTAAAATATTTAAAATATATTATTAAGTCTTCAATAATCGATTTATTCACTGATTAAAAAGGTAATGCTTAAATAATAGCTTTAAAAGCATATAATATGCAAAATATTCAACTTGGCAACAAAAGCACTAACGATCACCTTCCTGTCAGATTCCCAAATTACTTGGGGCTCCCTAGAGTAAAAATGTTCCTTCATCCTTGACTTGGGGTCGGCGCAGTACGTACGAGTACATACTGCTTATTGGTTTTGCCCAAAGTAATTATTGATTTTTAATAAAACTCACTGTTCACGAGTCTTCAAAGACAATACTAAGCGGCACCAAAATAATTAATTTGAATGTCTTACATAAGTTTAACAAATATCAAACATTAAGATGTTTGCTTTTAAATAAATGATTTGATGCAAATGACCTTTAAAAGAATTATATAAAACTATCATTTGTTTTATATGTAATATGTACATATAAAATACTTAAACAATATGTAAATAACCAAGAGACTGAAGAAAAATTAAGCTAGATCTTAGGTTATTAATAAAAGAACAAATACTTTTTATGTACATATATATTTCAAAGTATTTTTGTACACTACTTCAAATAAAATCATAATTTAACATGACTTTTATAAATTAAAACTAAAAATGTTATTTACATGGTACTAATCTTTATTGTACACAAAACTTATCTATTTGAACTGGACGTTTCTTCTTGTTTATGCTTCGTGATGCATATCCTAAAATCATTCACTTCGGTCTGGCATTTCCTCCAGTCTTTTGTAGTGTTTATACATTCCTAGAAATAATAAAGGAATGTTAAAATTTTCTACATAAACACACTTTTTTATAGTTATAACTATATTAATTTTTTCTCATGCTCAAGTTTTTCTGGTAAAGATCATGTCAAAGAGATAATTCTCTCATTGTACAAAAGGTCTGTTCCCTATTTTTATATGTACATTTAGTCTTTGTAATAATAATGGTATTATAAATGAAAGAGCTTATATGTGAGGCTATACTTCATGCATGTAATCCTTCACGTTAAAGGGGTTGAACTGTCTGAACATATTTGGATGAAATTCTGTACACAGGTTGACTGGAGTAAAAAACAGTGTACTACTAAACACGTAGCACCCTATCAAAACGAGGGCGAGTCGCTAGTGAGATAAAAATCTCATATTTTACAGAAATTTATGTTGTTATTGAATTTTAAAGATCTCTTTGAGTAATTGACACGACCTGAACTTTGTAATGTAAATCAAGGCAACCGGCCTTCTTCAACATCGACTCCACGGGATCATCATCGCCGTCAGCCACTTTCTCTCTTGGTTTTATAGTCATTATAATTTAATTTTTAGCAGCCAAAATAAGTAAACATAATATAAGTCACAAAATGAAATATTTTTTGACAGCAATGTGTGTCATGCGATCTGTCAATGTCAACTAATCCTGTTTTTTTAAAAAACCAACTAGGCAAAGGTGCCATGTATAATGACTAATGTCCCCTTGACTATTCACGTAATTCTCAATCTCAAGTGGATTGACAGTTCAAGACAATCTGTGAGACATCAGGCACAGGATCGACGGCTTTACATGCTCTCCAAGGCACATGGATGTACAACAGTACCAAAATCCTAATACCAAGCTGTTACTTAGAATTTCTTGACAGAAAACTTCAATAACTAAACATCCTCAGACTCAGGACTCAAACCCAGGACCTCTGGATCTGCATTTGTACATGCTAGCCCCTAGATCAACGACCTCGAGCGAGCTATTAGTCCAACGAGTCGTTAATACTATAGAAATATTGACGGACAACATAATAAATTAATATAAATCATAAATCGCAGAGATGCAACATTTTTATTATTTATGAATTAATATAATATTATTAACACAAAAGTTATTATATCTTCCTCTAATTTCTAAAATAATAAAAAATGACAAAGTACTAATTTAGCAACTTTTTCATTTAAAATTGGTTAAGATATAAGCTAACCAATACTTCATTCATTTTACTAAATATTTGTCTATAAGTTATAAATCTGGATGGAAAAAAAAGGTTGTGCATTTTACATCCTACTAAAATTATAAACACTTAAAGTTTGTGAGGATGGATGGATGTTACTTTTATGTAAAAACTACTGAACAGATTTCGATGCAACTTTACAATAATATAGTTTATACATCGGGTGAATATAGGTTTTTTTATCTTTATTTTAGAGGGCTTTGGTATATAATTTATAAGGATATAGTAATAAGTGATAGATAATAGAACTAACGAGTGGCGCCGCGGGAAAATAGTAGTCATATATCAAACAATTAAATTCATTAGAAAAAAAATCGAATTGCAAAATGCATAAAATAAAACTGCATGTAATTTTAATTTAAAAATCTTTTAATTTAAATATATTAAAAACAACTAGACTATTCACTAAGCTAAGATTTTGCTCTTGTTCCTGAGGGCAGTGTAGGCAACGACAATTGATAAAACTGTTGCGAGGACTTCCGAGTTGACCCAGGGTCCGGAGTAGCCTAAAAATGAGAATTTATTATGTATTATAGTACTACACATTTATTCAAAACTAGCGACTAACCCTTGTTTTGCTCGGGTTCATCCCTAGGTACGTTTTATCAGTTACAATGAAACAGATAGGCTATATAATATTATAGTTTTTTTTTTCCAACTTAAACTTGACACATTGATGTAGATAATTGGTCCACTCCTAACGCCATCTATAGAAAGTAATCCGAAGTAGTGATTCCCGTACAAAATAAAAATTTAATTCATAATAACAAAAACAGTTCTGAACTTTTCGGTTTTCCAGCAGTTCTAATGGATATTTGCTATTTTTTTATACTTAAACCACCCCTGACATTCCCCCAACTAAATAAAAATGAATTATTCAAATCGGTCCAGCTGTTTTTGAGTTTTAGAGAGACTAATGAATAACAATTGATTTTTATATACATATATATAGCTGAGACTACATAGTACTTACTTTAGGTTATATTTATAAAATTTAGAAATACTTGTTTATTACATCCAAGAAATAAAACGAAATAAAATTTAAAATCTAAAAATATTATCGTTTTTGCCTTTTAATAGTTTTTTTCTTGAAGATATCTCTCCTATAATAGTAATTTTGTTTTTTGTATTGTGTACATACAAAATACATAATCTATTCATTTAGCTTTCCACAACACACACATACTGTAAATATATAAATTTGTATTACATTTATTGTAATACAAATTTATTGTAATTTAAACATATTTAGCTTTCTAAAATGTTACTAATACTTACTTCCAGGGTGCTGTAATTGAATAGCTAATAAAGGAGCAACAGTTACAGATGGGTCGCTACGACGAGCCCTACGTAAGGAAGCCCAGCCTTCTTCATCAAAGATGTGAATTTCATGAACTCCAGCACGTGCCTTGGAAGGCTCTTCAGTCCAGGACACCTAAAAATAGAATAAAGAAATTTATTGCAAATCATTAACTTTTTGAATCAACATTTAAAAATACAATAAATTATTCTATGTTATTGCATGCATTTTATATATTCCTTGAGTTCCTGGCTACATTTGGTAATCTATAGAGATCTGTGAGCCTAATCTAATAAGAATATTCTATTAATAACACACATCCACTGTTGAATATAGGCCTTCCAAAGCTCACTGTGCAACATTCTAATAGTGTATATTTCAATAATTTTATACTTTTAGGAAATATTGCTGTCATTTTACAGTAGTAACAATAAAAACGTTTAATTACTTCAATAATTTGATTATTTACAAAAATAAATAAAGTATGTATTACCTGGTATCTGTTGTCAGCAATGCGAGCTGCAATCATAGGTTTCCCTTCAACCTCAGCATATAGCGCGTAGTTCTCAGCTAAGGGATTATCACATTTCAATGTAAATTCGGTAATATAAGCTATTTGTGTGACGACGGTGGCATCTAAACTCGTGAAAGATGCGGCTTCAACTTGAGGATTTTGGCAACTCTGCGCGAAGGAGCCGCCAATCGCAAGCGCAAAAATTGCTAAAATATATTTTGTGACCATTTTGCAGTCTTATGGGTGAGATTTCACTTATTACTATGAGTTTAGAATGTAATTTTTTCACTGCCCGCCGTCCACGTATCGTTTCGTATGCAAGATTAAAAAGTGAAGGGTGCGTTCGAAATGTTTATATAGAGTGAAAGTAAGCCTTATTATTAAATCTATTACTGTACCTAATAGTAATCTTATGATATAAATACTTGAATAATAATAAAATATTCTTTAATGTATAAATTTATGATACTGTATATATTTTTTTATGGATTTCAAAAATAATAACAATTATGATTAGTTATATATTATACTTGAACTGTACATTCGGAACGTATCCTATAAAACATCACCGGTGACGTGTGGCCAAAGTGCCAGAGTTAAAATGCGTTCAAAAACGTTAATCTGAACATTAATTATGATTATATATATATATATATATATTATAATTTATAAAAAGTAAAACAATTTATTTTAACTTCAATTATATTAGTAAATTTGTTTTGTATTCATACGTAGTAGTTTCAAGGTTTTCGCACAATATAAGATAAAGGAAAAGAAAAATTTTCAATCCTTCGTTTAAATTTTTAACAGTATTTTTAAAATGCAACATAAACACAAATCATTAAATAATGAACATCGTAATACATTTCAATTCAACAATTTTTATTAGCATTAAATTATTACAATTTTTTACTACAAGTCTAACACCAATTTGGAAAGAATATTCTGAAGTGAAGGCAATGGTAGCCCAGTGGTAACGCGCTCGCTTGGGAAACCGAGTGAAGCGGGTTCAAATCTCGGTTCTCTCACCTCTGCTATTTTCATGTGCGAATCGTTTCTAACATAATTACCACTTGTCTTACGGTGAAGGAAAACATCGTGAGGAAACCTGCATGTCTGAGAAAACCTAGCAATTTTTCGAAAGACGTGAAGTCCACCAACCCGCACTTGGCCAGCTTGGTGGACTATGGCCTGATCCCCCTCGTATTGAAGGGAGGCCCACGCCCAGCTGTGGGACGTTAAAAAGGGCTGAATACAATTCTGAAGTGAGTAGTGTGGGTACCTTTTATATCGTATAAATATATCGATATTTTTGATATATCGTAAGTCGTAAGTTATTTGTTAGAGTAGGAGAATAGTTTTCGATTTTCGTGTCTTTGCGTTCCGTTATTGCGAAGGCTAGTTTTTCAATAATTCGGGGTTTTACGTTTTATTCTTACTCAAGTTGCCATCCATAAATAAAAGAATCAATATAAAAAAAATAATGTGCTTTTCATTTCTCATGATATTTGACATATCGAATGAAATATATCGATATATAATATCGATACTAGATGATTCGATAATATGGGGTTGAAGCGATATATCGCGTGCATACATCGATATTTTATGAAATATCGATATATATCGTGCACTCCTACTTTGAAGCCATTAACAAGACTTTTTTTAATCTTAAATGTTATAGCGTATTTACATTTTATGAGTTATTAACCAAAGTCGTTAAATACTGGTTTTTATGTTTGTTTAAGTTACTAAAATTTGCTGCATAAAATGCAAATAATTACTTAATTTGACTGCCACATAAATCATCTATTCAAGCAAACGAAAAAGTTCTCATTAGCACTGCACTTTGTTTATATGGAATGGAGAAGATAGTACAGTGATGTGTCATCTACGATATAAGTAATCTAAATTTATTTATTACTAGCAGAACCCGCGGCTTCGCTCGCGCTAAAACTACAAAAAAAAACTCTAAAATGGTAGGTTTCATACAAACTTTCATCCGCTATTTTACCCCTATAGAGGATGACTTTCAGAAAATGCAAAAACACGTATTTAATTAATTGTATTGAAAAGCATTTATACCAAGTTTCAAGTAATTTTGATCATAAATATTTTTTGGATTTTATTATAACGTGTTTTCCCGTGGGAAAGAGATAATTTCCCGCGATAAATAGTAGCCTATGTCACTCTCCAGCCCTCCAACTGTCTCTACACAAAAAATCACGCCAATCCGCCTAGCCGTTTCGACGTGAAAGAAAAACAAACAAACCACCCTTTCACATTTATAATATTAGTATGGATGATCGTAATCGCTTGATGTCCCAAGTTGGTGAATTTTAATGAAATGAGCTATTGACATGGTCCATGGAACATATGATAGTGCGAAAGTATGGGCAAATGCACTCACAAAACCCTTACATAAATAGATGGAGATCGTCTATATCTATACTTATATTATAAAGAGGAAAGATTTTTTTATTTGCTTGTTTGTTTGTACCGAATAAGCTCCGAAACTACTGAACCGATTTAGATGAAATTTAGTACAAAGATAGTTTGAGGCACTGGGAAGTACATAGATTGGTTTTTATCCAGGAAATCATCCGCAAAGGGGGTGAAAATAGGGATGAAAGATTGTATGGAGAAGCTACCTAGGGACAAACCCGAGCGAAGCTAGACCGAGTCGTAGTAATGAACTGATAAGGATGACTCCAAGACAACGGAGAAATACGTGGCGCAGAATATTTTTGAAGATAACACAGTGTGATGATAAAATATTTTACATTTAGCCGTTTCTCTAATTAAAATTTTAGTTTAATGAAACTAAATTAAGGATGTTATGAAATTTGCGATTTATTTCCACGTTTTTCGTTTTGAATGTCCTTCTAAAAAAAAAACAACAACTAACAAGAAATCTCAACAATGAGTGATTGTTTATAAATCGTGTATTGTGAACCTTTATGCCCAAGAATACACAAACAAAAGCAAAGGAATTTTTAACTGCCAAACCCCACAAAAATGAGTAAGTACTTAATAAAAAAAAGTGGACCTGCAAGAGTGAGTACACTATAAAAAAAAGGGACCTTAAGCTGTCAAAACTCACAAAAGCGATAACTTCGAACAAAAAAAAGCACAGTTGCGAGTACTTTTATAAATAAATACTTTGGTACATTAACACACAGCGCCATCTAGTTCCATGGTAAGCTACGAGGCTTGTGTTATGGATACCAGATAGTTGATACACCACACATATATAACTTTAAATACATACATATTATAAATATAAACACCCATGACTAGAGTACAAACATACGTCATCACACAAATGAATGCCCCCAGCGGGACTCGAACCCGCGACCGCTGGCACAGAAAGTAGGGTCACTACAACTGAGCCAAGCGTGTCGTCAAGTACTTGATACAAAAAAAGGGGGCTCATAAATAAAAACCCACAAAAGCGAATATTTCGAACAACAAAAACCTAGTCGCGAGTACTTGATACAAAAAAACTTTTAAACAAAAAAATAAAAACCGACTTCAAACAAAAGCACTAAAAAGTAAAAAATAACCGATTGGTAGTTTTCATTTACTATACATACCTAATCAAATATTTTCGAAGTCGGTGTGCTTTGAAACGACACAAAAATTGTCCAAATCGGTTAATAAATGACGGAGTTCCGAGGTAACAAACATAAAAAAAAATACAGTCGAATTGAGAACCTCCTCCTTTTGAAGTCGGTTGAAAATGGGGTTTTATGATAAATAAAAATCCACGTGTACGGTAAAGGCCTATATTTATAATGAATAGGTGCACGGCGTCAGTGCGTGCCGGGCGGCGTCTTGGCGGGCGAGGCGGGCGGCGGCGCGCTCCACTCCACGCCGTCGCCCTCGTACTGCGTGTTCTCCAGCCGCGTGATGAGCCGCTCGTCCTCGTCGCCGAACTCGCCGCCCATCAGCGACGGCTCGCCCACCACCATCACGTCCTGGCGAATAAAAAAAAAACCATTCAATATATGTATAATTTTTGCTCAACACATCGGGAACCAAAAATAAAAATAAATCCGCGAAACAATCCGAAAAGATAGTTTTATTTAAAATGTCAAATATTCGCGTAAATCTAAGAAAGTATTAATTTTTGCTCGCTTCAGTACAAACTTTCATCCCCATTTTCATCCCCTTAATGGAAGATGTTACGGATAAAAAGTAGCCTATGTCCTTCCCCGGGGTCTCAAACTATCTTCTTACCAAATTTCATCTAAATCCGTTCAGTAGATCCAGAGATTACCCCCTCCAACTCACAAACTTTACCTCTTCATAATATTAGTATAGATTTTTATTTGTAAGCTGTAACATTATGAATCTATAATATTCTAAATGTTGTTTTGCTTTCACATATACTATTTTGTACTCGTTATCACCTATAATTAAGGTACTATTCTATATGTTCTGTTTTCTGTGTATGTTATAATTGTGTTTAGTTTGTACATTATTGGTGGTCTAATATATAAATATGAGACGGCGTATTGACATTTTTGAGAGTGACGTTTCGACACTCTGACACAACCCCGGGCGCTAGTGAGCATTAGCGTGTGAGTCGAGACGGACATTACTTTTGTCATTCGATTCGCATCGCATCGTTACATTACGTGTTCGTTCGGTGGAGTGTCTGTGTTTGAATTTTTAATTGAAATTAAGAACTGTTAAGAATTGTGAAGTGTTAATGGACAATTGTAAAAGGCATTATAATTAGTGATTATATTGTGTATGATTTGTGAAGCGTCGTTTTATTCTCTTCGTCCGTCAACTCACGTCTACCAACATTATAGTAATAATTATTGAATATGGAAACGATTAATAATGATGATAGAGGCCAAGTGCCTTTAAATAAATTAAAAAAAAATATTTTTTCGAAATTTAATGACCTGGCTTAGTATTTTTTTTTTATAGTTAGCATCTTAATGCCACACAGAAAATAATAAATAAAATAAATAAATATGTTGGAACGTTAACACACAGCGCCATCTAGTTCCATGGTAAGCTACGCGGCTTGTGTTATGGATACCAGATAGTTGATACACTACACATATAGAATTTTTAAATACATACATATTATAAATATAAACACCCATGACTGGGGTACAAACATTCGTGCTCATCACACAAATGAATGCGCCCAGCGGGACTCGAACCCGCGACCGCTGGCACTGCAAGTAGGGTCACTACAAACTGAGCCATATTTTAATTATTATTTTAAATAAGTACATATTTTTTTTCGTTATATTTCTTACTGATTCAACTACAACTAAAACGTCCTCAACTACTTTTATACTTCAAAAATGTACTTAAATAAATCACAATATTTATTTTAAATCAATACCAATAGTGTAGATGAAGACTTGAAGGTGTCTATTGCAGGACTCGGAACCCGTACAATTTTTAAACGGGTTTTGGTCATTGACCCCAAACCGAAAGGTTTTCGGTTTAAGGTTTCGGTTATGCTCTTTGACTGGTTAAATCCCGGAAAACAGTTATTGACGAATTTAGGTTCTATGATCAAAATTAACCGCTTAAAATATGTTTCTGTGCCTTTATATACGGCGAATCTTTGTTAATGGCGATTTTCTTAGTAGAATGATAGATATGTACAAGTGCGTTCTTACGTTTATGAATGAATTAATCGGTTTATTTACCGGTATCATAACAGAAATCCGACCATTCTCTTAGAATATCCGCTAACTATTATTACTTCGATTTATTAAGCCATTCGTATTCATTAACCGGTTAAATAACGAGCGATGAATTTAACCATTACGTTACCGAAAGAAACCGGTGTTTTTAAACCGGTTCCAAGCCCTGGTGTATCGGTATAGAGCAAAAGGGTGTAGGGTATAGGGTGAATGGTGTTGGATGTGGAGCATATGTCGTGTGAAGCTCGAAAATGTAGAGTATAGGGTGGAGACTATAGGGTGTGTAGTATAGGGTATAGGATGTAGGGTGTAGGGTATAGGTGTGTAGGGTGCGCACCTGCGAGGCGAGGCTGAAGTTGGGTCCGGGCGAGCGCTTCTTGGCGGGCGCGGGCGGCGCGGCGTTGGCGCCGGCGCTGCCCTTGCGCTTGCGCCGCTTGCTCGCCGGCCGCTGCGACTCTGCGGCGGACGGACGGACGACATTAGCGAACAATATTACATTTACATATACAAAATAAATATAAAAAAAACTATTTTATTTTACATTTAAGTACCAAAATAAAATAAATATTAATAAAAAAACCTTTTATTTACACATTTCTTGTATTAATTTAATCGAGGTCAATAAGTTGATTTTATATTCAATGCCGTAATAAATTATAAAAAAAAAAACTACTACTTTTCTAATCTACACAAGTAAAATATCAAATATCATTTTTGTAAAGCTGTTAAAGTTTCATCAAAATCGTTTTATTAATAGAGTCTATATGTAATCTTATAAAGTTGGGGGAGTTCGGGGAGTAAACAACACATCTAGTGTTCTTTACTGTAGATTTAATACTGCTTTAATGGCACTATTGCATACACATAAGCATACACTACAACCTTGTTATGTTTAAATAAACACATAAATAAATATGTCGGTCGGTACATTAACACACAGCGACATCTAGTTCCATGGTAAGCTACGAGGCTTGTGTTATGGATACCAGGTAGTTGATACACTACACATATATAACTTTAAATACATACATGTTATAAATATAAACACCATGACTGGAGTATAAAGAAATATTCGTATTTATCACACAAATGAATGCCTCCAGCGGGATTTGAACCCGCGACCGCTGGCACAGCAAGTAGGTTATTTATTATATTACACACTACAAACTGAGCCAAACAAGTCGTCAAACATATTTACTTAAACTTAAAAAAAACAATTAAATTAAAATAAATGTTATTAAATAAACAAATGTTATATGTTTTGTAAATGAAACAAAAATCAAAATAAATCCAAGAAAAAAAATCCAATTTAATTTCATAACTACAATTTTAAACTATTTTTTGTTTCATTATAAAATATCAAATTTTTTCGTTTGAGTAAATCTAAGAAAGCATTCAAGCATAGATATAGCGTGAGCTCACCAGGTGGCGCCACCATCCTCTGCCACTTCTGGAACAGCGTGGTCTTGAGGCAGTCCCGCGGCGAGAGCGCGTACGCCTTGTGCCGGGACATCAGCTCCTGCATCGGCTCCAGGATCACGCATAGCTGAAACACGGGATATCCTTAGTTAGTAAGTTTAAAATTCAGTATAGATTTCTCAGAGTTAATATATTTTCCCGCAGTAAAAAATATCCTATATGTTGACCCGGATAGCCAGCTATCACCATACCAAATTTCATCTAAAACTGTGCAGTAGTTTTCTCATGATGCGTTCCCAGACAGAGACAAAAAATGTCAAAACTACATATTCGGCCTCTGTATCGATAATAATGACTATTTCAATAAGATTTTCCAAAAAATATTTAATTTACAGGTTCAACTCAGTTACAATTTATATATATATATATATATATATATATATATATATATATATATATATATATATAGTTATGTATTGTAATACTTGTGGTGGCATGTAGGCAATTTATCACAAAGCACGAAATGAAATGACGTATATATTATTTTTCATTCGTCGAAATTAAAAGTCATTGCCTGTGAAATCTCACTGTGAAAAATATACGTAATTTCATCATATGAAAATGAATTAAGAGTAGCAATCATTTCCATATCCAGTGGCATGTTATGTACGGCTCGGAAACCAGTTCAATTTTTAAATCGGTTTTGATCATTGACCCGAAACCAGAAGGCTATGTTCTTTAACCGGTTAAAACCCGGAACACGGTTTTTTAACTAATTTAAGTTCCATAATCGAAATTTAAATGCTTGAAAGATTAACTTTTGTGCGTTTACATTTGGCGAATCTTTACTAATGGTTAATTACTTTATAGTAATTATACTTGTAAAAAGAGGCCATCTAGCAATACGAAGCACCAAGGCCATCTATACACAGTCCCAACTACCAACCACTCTGCTGACTAGTCGACTATTATCTGGCAGCCGTGCTGGTGGGTGGCGGGTACTCACCCTCAAATAATTAAGCGTGGAGTTGGTGATGCCCTGGCGGGTGATGTTCTTGGCGAGCTGGTCGAGCGCGGCGTGGTCGGGCGGGTGCACCGCCTGGCGCGGGATGAGCTCGCGGTGCGCGCGCACCGCCAGGTGCCACGACTTGATCCGCATCAGGTCGTCGAACGTGAACTCCAGGATCAGGCGGCCCTCTGTGCACACCTGGCCGATGCGGGGGGATATTCATAAGAAAATATATATAAAAGAGTGCGTGTATAAATGTGTACACGCGCAAGACGTAAAACTTCTGTAGGTTATCGGTACTCTTTGTGAAATTCAATTTATGTTTTAAATAATTTGGATGCGGTGAGATACTAAAACATAACGCATATTAGACATATTACAATCATATATTAATAGAATATCATTTTAGGAAAGAATATAATATTTTAAATAATTTGTCAGACAATAGCAGCGGTTACCATGGCAACAAACAGTTATCAGCTAACTTCATCATGTTGCTTTATGGCTGTCAGTGTGCGCGAGCATGATAAAAATTTCACTCTCATAATTTTATCCAAACGTCCCGAAAGAAGTATAACTTAAAAAAACATGTGTGTGCAATTCACACACGGTACAAGCAATAACAGATTTAGGGTTATCTATCGGCATATATATATATATATATATAATTTATATATATATATATATTATAATAATAAATTTACACGGCTTACTCGAGCGAAGCGATATATAATCACTAGTAATGGATAATAAAATACAATTAATTATAAGAATCCCACATCCCGCTAATTTCTGTGAATATAATCTTTATATTTTAATAAACCTAGTCAAAAATAACCACTACCATTACATACTTTTGACCATTTCCCATCAACTAACACTCGCTCACTTTAGTTAACACAGATATAAGACTAATCTAGATCGATTTATCGCCCCCGAAACTCCCTGTTTGCTAAATTACATGAAAATCGTTGGAGCCGTTCGAGATTCAGATTATATATTGATATATATATATATACAAGAATAGCTCGTTTAAATATATAAGATAGATTTGCCAACCATATTTTATTAATCGCAGTCCAGCGTGACCATATTAACGTTACATACTTCTGACCATATTACATTAATCACCCACTTCAGTAAACATACATTTAACATAGTATATGATTATGTATAGTAGAAAACAATTGTATTAATTCCACTCATTTTTATGAACTAATATTTTAATCATAATCGAACATGACCACTACCATTACATAATTCTGACCATTTTACATTAATCACTCACTTTAGTAAAGATATATTTATTATTTAGTATATGATCATGAATATAATAGGGAATATGCGTGATATTTTTTATTTTTTTTACAAGAGTTAAAGTCGTTATATATAATTGTAAAAAAATATCTACCTCCAAACAACTAAAATGTAGTATAAAAAAACGGATACTTTAAACGCTCGGCGTGACGTCACTGTATGATATACACAGAAATGACGACTTAATTTGTAGCGACAAAATCGTTATATCCATAATATAAATATACTCTGACGTCACATTCGGCCTGGCCAATGGCGTTGCGTTTCAACTACTTTGAATTTCCCATCTATATTTGCACTTTTTAATAATTATTTTCTTAATTAAAAAAGGTATTACTATTAATACATTAAAAGTATTGACATAGGCTTAATTCAGAAGCAATAAATATTATAAAAAAATATTTCACCTTTATTTAAATTACACACATATTTCCTATTATATGAAACCCAAATCCCACTACTTTTAGTAAGCACAACACATGAGCATGTCTTACTAATCGCAGTAGATACCATAATACGTCTAATCCAATAATTACGTGAGCTAATATTTCAATTTAGACTAACCCCCCTCCCCTCCCGCCTCTCTCCTCTTTTCGTGAGATTAAGTGAGATTTGGTGGGGCTCCCCTTCTCCCCACGTGAGATTTATGCTACGGTTGTTAAAGGACTACATTTATTTTCATAAAGTATAAAAATAATACAACGTTCAGGTATTTTTTCAGCGTGCGATATTATAATATATATTTTTTTTATTATCTGTATAATATATATTTTCTTTTAAAATTGACGTGAGATTTTCAATAAGATATTCATGATTTAAAACTCACATAATTAATGGGTGCCCCCCCTAAGCAAGCATGACCACTACCAACACATACATCTGGCCATTTCCCATCAACTCACTTTAGTGAACATAGGTTTTCCATGGTGCGTGACCATGGTGCAGTGGTCGCAGTCGAGGGTGATGCTAGTGTTGTGAAAGGACTCCTTCGGCTGGCGCATGGTGTAGTACAGCTCCGAGACGCCACCTTCGTATATGCTTCGGAAGTAACGCGGTATAAGCGTCCTTCCTATTGCTGGAATTGTACATAAAAATTGTATTTAATTAAAATTTTAGGTGCTGTCTGTAACAACTATATAATGACCGTTTGAGACGTCTAAAACCTTAGTCTCTCCCGTGACCATGTGCGCTGTAGAGCATGCGAAACGTCGGGAACTAAAAATCTAAATAAATCCGAGAACAATCCGAAAAGATAGTTTAGTTTAATGGTTAGTATAGATTTCTCAGAAATGAGTTATCTCCAGTACAAAGTATCTTATATGTGGACCCGGATAACTAGCTATCATGATACCAAATATCATCAAAATCTACCTAGTGGTATTCTCGTGATGCATTCCCCGACAGACAGACAGACAGACAGACAAAAATTCCAAAAACTATAGATTCGGCCTCTGTATCTATCGATAATAATAATGACTATTTCAACAATCTTGTTGAAAACCCCAAAAAAAATAATAATTGATGTACAGATTCGACTCAGTTAGAATTTTATTTTATATCTACATTCATAAATTAAACCCTATTACCTTCCTAGATATATCCTTTTTCTTTTGGCGAAAACCGTATCAAAACCCGTACATCCGTTTCTGAGATTTATCCTAACATCAACTAGCGAATCATCCTAGCTTCGCCCGGTTTCGTGTCCCTAGATGATTCTTAAGATTGGCACAACTTTTTTGTATATGAACAGATTGAAATAAAACAAACGCTAAATGTTTAGTGAAGCTTACCACAATACATTAGTGAAAACCGCACCCAAATCGGCTAAGCCGTTTCTGATATTAGCGCGCACAAACGCACAGACAACAGGTAAAAAATCTAAAAATCATTGCTTTGGGTTCTACTTTGCATTATATAGACCCAGGCAATAATAGTTTTTCTCAAATATCATCCATATACAGACAGCGATCAGTTACAATTTTATTATATGTATAGATGTTGGAATGTAAGCAACAAATTATATACTAACTGTATCTTTTAGGTCCATCTTCTAAACAAAATGTGAGTGTGAGCGTCGCATCGTCCTCGAAGAACTCTGTCGCGAACGCGTCCCACCAGAGGTTGTCAGATTCCTGGAAAATATCACAGCAAATACGTTAAAATCTAGTCACAAATTTATAATATGTAATGCCTACGTAGCCTATGTAATACTCCAGGTCATAGCCTATCTGTGTACTAAATTACATCCATATCGGTCCAGCCGTTTGAGCGTGAACTTTTACAAACTTTCGCACGCAATTATAAAGTCCCAATGTACGCCGACTTCGAATTAAAATAATTATCTACAGTTTGGGAAAGAGAAAAAAATATATCGTGTAACGTTTAAAGCAAAAAAAATTGGTCAAGTGCGAGTCGGAGTTGCATATAAAGGGTCTCATGCCATAATCGATTTTTTTAATTTGCATTACAGCCATTTTGAAATTCGCCATCTTGCGTTTTTATTATATATAGAAAAACACACTGAAAATTTCAATTCTCTACATTTCATGAGATACAGCCCTCAGACAGACGGACGGACGGGCAGCGGAGGTATAGTAATAGGGTTCCGTTGGCACCCTTCAGGTACGACACCCTTAAAAGCATATCTCGTTTTTGAAATCGGTAAAAAATTGAATTAAAAGTGTATCATATGATAGTACCAAAAACTAACCACAGATGGCGTTAGTTATCGTAGACATTATTTTACAAACATGTTATCATTTCCACAGATTTACTTCGAAAAATCCATAATAATATTATAAATGTGAAAGTGTGTTTGTTTGTTTGTATGTCCTTCTTTCAAGTCAAAACGGAGTGACCGATTGGCGTGATTTTTGGTGTGAAGATAGTTGGAGAGCTGGAGAGTGACATAGGCTACTTTTTACCACGGGAAATTATTTAATTCCCACGGGAAAACACATTATAATACAATTCAAAAAATAATTATGATCAGAATTGACTTGAAACTTGGTATTAATGCTCTTCAATAAAATTAAATAAGTATGTGTTTTAGCATTTTTCGAAATTCATCCTATAAGGGCGTAAAATAGGGGATGAAAGTTTGTATGAAACTATCTTTTTAGAGATTGTTTGTAGTTTTAGCGCGAGCGAAGCCGCTGAGTTCTGCTAGTATAATAATAAAATTGAATCGTAAATTCGTACAATTGAATCGTAATGTGTGATTTTAATTTTATTTCTTATTATTTTTACCTATTGGCTATTTATAACGTATCTGCGTCCCGTACCCGAGTGAAGCAAGGGTGAGTCGTTAGTATAATACTATACATACATACACACAATACAAAAGCTAGTAAACTCCTATAGTATATTTAATCATCTCAAGGCTACATCGTATTATAGGGATCGCGTCTGTACGTTGTGATGACGCCATTGTGACGTCACAGATGAACAAAGTGTAAGTAATGTGTTCGAGGCGTGAAACTGTTAGAGGGGTTTGTCATGGAAAAACTTAGCCTTTAAAAAATTTTCCCGACATTTTCCTATTTTAATATGCTTTAATTAATACTTTCTTAAATTTACGCGAATATTCGACATCTATGTTAATACTAGCATTGCCCGCGGCTCCGCCCGCGTTCAGATGACTAAAAACTAAACCACGTGCGCTGCAAAGCATTCGAAACGTCGCGCGCTTCCGTAACAAAAAATCAAAACAGATCCGCGAAAAAATCCGAAAATATAGTTTTATTCAATATGCTTCAATTAACTTCATTTGTAACAATTCAACTCAATGTACAATCAAGTCTTGGAAGAAGATTATATATCCAACTTATAAGCATCCTATCAAAATAATCTATACATATAATAAAATTGTAACTAAGTCGAATCTGTACATTAAATATTTTTTTGAAAAATCTTATTGAAATAGACATTATTATCGATACAGAGTCCGAATCAATAGTTTTTAGAATTTTTGCCTGTCTGTCTGTCTGTCTGTCTGTTACCGCATCACGAGAAAACCACTGGATAGATTTTTAATGAAACTTGGTATGATGGTAGCTGGTTATCCGGGTCAACATATAGGATACTTTTTACCGAGGGAAAATATCTCATTTCTGAGAGAAAATACCAAAACTACATTGTAAGAGTATACTAATATGTAAAACCTAAGAATTTGATTTTTGGTCATTTGAACGCGTGCGGAGCCGCGGGCAATGCTAGTTTAATATAAATCAAGTAATTTATGACGCCACTCATGGCCAGCGTGGTGAACTATGGCCTGATCCCCCTCGTACTGAAGGGAGGCCCACGCCCAGCAGTGGGACGTTAAAAAGGGCTGAATACAATCTATGATGGAGGCTGGAGGAGGATGATCTGCTGATGCAACCAGAAGATGGAACTCTTCAACGGCATTTGGGTTCTTTCAATTCGTTTTGACGAGTCTCGGTAATGGCTAAGCAGTAGCTATATATATATATATATATATATATATATATATATATATATATATATATATATATATATATCTTAGCAATGTTTACTATTCCGACGAGGCAATTTCAAATTAAAGATCAGCCGTCCTCGAGTGGAACGCGTACAAAACAAACAAACATTCTTCAATATGTTGTTTTGGCCTCGAAAAATTTAGTAGAAAAATCAAAATTCATAACAATATTATGGATAATCTAACAAAATCTAATATATAAAAATCTCGTGTCAAGGTGTTTGTGGTCGCATTCCTCCGAAACGGCTCGATCGACTTTAATGATTTTTTTTTGTATATTTGGTAGGTATGAGAATAGGTCGTAAAGTATTGTTCACCCTCCTACCCCCACCCCCAATTTTTTTAACGCGATTTTAGTATTTTTGTATGAAAAATATCCAAAGAATTTAATATTATAAAAATACATAGATCGGGACGAACCAGAACTTCGCGAGTGTGAGTCACTATATAACAAAGCAGTTTTTTTTGTATATTGAACGCGGGCGAAGCCGCGATTTCTGCTAGTATTAACACATAAAACTACTTCTCATAGACTATCTGAGTGCTAAATTTCATCTAAATCAGTCCAGCCGTTACAGCGTGAAATAATAACAAAGATACACACAGACATACAAGCTTTCCAATTGTTAATAGTGGCATATAATCACCTCTGTCCTCTGTTGTAATCGTTTATTGAGTTCATATACTCTGTAGTCTGGCTGCCCGAAGTAGGGTGCGTGCCTTCTGGAAAAAGGATAAAAAAAATATTAAAAATATATATTTAAAAAAAAATTTTTATCGATGCATTCAGAGATGCTGGCCAAATGTTTATTGTTGAGTATTTTGTATTACTACCATGGCAATGGCAAAAAAAAACCTAGTTAAATATTGATATATTTTATTGTGCCTACTAGCGACTCACCCTAGCTTCGCTCGGGTGCGCCCCAGGGTACGTTTTTTTTGCGGAACCCTAATTTTGGTTCTAAAATTAAAGTAACCTAAGTTACTCCTTATAACATCAGCTATCTGCTAGTGAAAGTCCCGTCAAAATCAGATCAGCCGTTTCGGAGATTAGCCGGAACAAACTGACAGACAGACAAAAATGTTAATATGCGAAGGAAACGCAACGCCGGGTCAACCAACATATAGGATACTTTTTACCACGGGAAAATATCTCAAAAAAATACAAAAACTGCAATATAAGAGTACATATATACTAATATGTAAAACCTAAGAATTTGATTTTTGGTCATCTGAACGCGGGCGGTTTTACTCGTAAATAAAACTATCTTTTCGGATTATATCGCGGATTTATTTTGTGTTTTTGGTTCCCGACCTTCCGAAAGTTTTTCAGCAATCATGGTCACATTTAAGATAACGTTATAATCTAAAGAAAGTATCGAATTCGCATTTCTTTTGATCTGCGGAAACCTGATAATAATAAAATTAATACAATCATTTTTATAATAGGTGTAATTATAGTGTAATGATTACACTAGCAAATATTGTAGATACTTATCGAGTGACCTCGTGGTCGTCACTCGTCAATGCCGCTGGTTCCGCAATTTTTCCAACACGATACAAGTACACTTGGGGCACTCGGGGCTAATGCCCAGGGCGGGGAATTTTTAGGGGCGGCAAAATTCGTAGATTAATTTTTCGAAAAATTGATATCATATTTTATAAATTACTAGCACTGCCCGCGGCTCCGCCCGCGTTCAGATGATCAAAAACCATATTCTTAGCTTTTACATGTTAGTATACTCTTACATTGCAGTTTTTGTATTTTTTTTCTCAGATATGCAATATTTTCCCGCGGTAAAAAGTATCCTATATGTTGACCCGGATAACCAGCTATCACCATACCAAGTTTCATCAAAATCCTTCTTGTGGTTTTCCTGTGATGCGGTAACAGACAGACAGACAGGCAATAATTCTAAAAACTATAGATTCGGCCTCTGTATCGATAATAATGTTTACTTCAATAAGATTTTCCAAAAAATATTCAATGTACAGATTCGGCTTAGTTAGAATTTTATTATATGTATAGATATTTTTTTTTAATTAATTTGAAATGAAAATTTTTTAAACTTTCAACATTTTGTTTAAATTTTCGATGATAGGGCGGCATTTTTTATAGTGCCCAGAGGCGGCGCTAAGGTTAAATCCGGCACTGCGCACATGCATGGTTTCCTCGGGGTTTGGACAAGATGACATTCTCCAACCATATATTAAGACTAATTTTTTAACATTATTTAAATTAATTATAATATGTATTTTACTTAAATTTCGAAAACGGTCCAACGATTTTCATACAGCATAGAATGGGTTTCGGGGTCGATAAATCGATCTTGATTAGTCTTATGTTTAGGAAAACGCGTGTTTTTTAATTTTCATGCCGTTTTCTTTCGCATTATACCACGCAAACTATGGTCCATAATTTCGCACGCTCGGGTGTATCATCATCATGGCTCTACAGTCCAGGGTGAGCTTTGGTCTTGTTAAGTATATTTCTCCAACTCCTGATACCAATTGAAAACGCTAGTGTATTCAGTCCCACTGCTGGGCGTGGGCCTCCCTTCAATACGAGGGGGATCAGGCCATAGTCCACCACGCTGGCCAAGTGCGGGTTGGCGGACTACACACGTAGGAATGTTAGTGTTATTAATATATTCCTCTTATAAAAAAAACAGCCAGGAGAAACTCACCAAAAGATAGTTAAAATTATATTAAAACACACAGTTAAAGAACCAACCGTAAAACATAGAGAAATAGCGACATTTAACATAAAAAAAATGTAAACGCCACGGATTGCTTACATTATAATACCACAAGGTAGAATGTACGTAGAATAGGTGAATCATCAAAACTTTTTAACGTCTCCTTACATCATACTTTCTTAGATTTACGCGAATATTTGACATATATACTAATATTATAAATGTGAAAATGTGTTTGTGTGTTTATTTGTTTGTTTGTTTGTCCTTCTTTCACGTCGAAACGGATTGGCGTGATTTTTTGTGTGGAGATAGTTGGAGGGCTGGAGAGTGACATAGGCTACTTTTTACAGCGGGATATTATCTCATTTCCACGGGAAAATACGTTACAATACAACCCAAAAAAATATTTATGATCAGAATTACTTGAAACTGCTTTTCAATGAAATTAAATAAATACGTGTATTAGCATTTTTCAAAATTTATCTTATATAAGTGAGTAAAATAGTTGAAGAAAGTTTGTATGAAACTACTTTTTTATAGATTTTTCTGTAATTTTAGCGCGAGCGAAGCCGCGGGTTCTGCTAGTAAAGTTTTATATGTGTAGTATATCAACTATCTGGTATCCATAACACAGACCTCACAGCTTACCATGGAAGTAGATGGTGCTGTGTGTTAATGTACTAACTCGTAACATATTTATACATATTAAATCGAAATATCTCTTATCAATTTACTAACAAAACCTACGAGCCTTATTTCCAAATTAAATCAATTTAAAAATTTACGTCTTACGCGAAAATTGTTTTGATTTTGTAAGAAACAAATATGCACAACGAATTCAACAGTTGTTGAATGACTCTCTTCGGCACTGCGACACTAGTTATAGACACATGGGTTTGTTTACCTAAAGTAGGGGTCCGGCATGGGGTGGTATATCGGCGGAGGGTACTCATGGTACTGTATCTGGTGGTGGTGCGGCGAGAGGTGGTGGTACTCGCGGTACTCGCCCTCACCGCCGAGCGAGCCCAGCGCCACCGGCATGTAGGCCACCTTGTCACCGCGCCATCTCGTTTCAAACTGAGCTCCGTACGCTTTTGATTGACGGCTGTTGTTTATTTTTTTTTTATTTTTTGGTATCAAGGAACTATACGATAATTTTATTTGGTGTAAATATTTATAAACTTTTTTTATTTTAATAAATACTTTTTGGACACTTTGGTATCACTTTTATATTGCACTTAGGTACATCACATACACTTTTGCACACTAATAAATGTTCTTATATAAACAAACTGTTTTGTATATAAATGGCGTCGATTACTGCGTCGAATGAGAAATTAACAGGCGGACACAAAACTTAAAAGAGGTTAAACTGCAATAATAATAGAAAAAAAAACCACTAAAAAACCGTGTAAACAGTGTACAAAGTCGTAACCGGCTAAATCTACAAACCGAACGCGACTGATAAAAACCTATTCGAATTTTTCGCGCGGGAAGTGTCTTGATATTATTTTGAAACGTCCTAACAGCCTTATGTATAACGTTTGCCACAGAATTACCGACTCTATCTGATCGCAATAGGGGCGATAAGGCACGGCCGAGTGTTCTCAGAGGAAGAGCGACAACGCCGCGTCAGCTGGCCGCGCTAGTAAGCTTCGAAAGGTCAACTTCGGTTACTATTTTTTATTACACCGGCAATATTCGTTTGTTCAGCATTTTATTTAGTCTTGATGCTTAAAAAATTAGCACGTACGACATTAATAACGATTAAATTAAAAAAAAATGCAACTTCGAAAAAATCAATTAAACTACCAAACATGCGTTACAAATATACTAAAATAATTAAAAAAAAACACACCAAAACATAATAGAGAATATGGCAATAATAATCAAAAATTTTTTTTTTAGGAAAATGTGAAGTAATAAAAGGCATTGTTTTCACCGCGGCCCCGCGACGTTGCCGCGCCGTGCGCTCGCGCCATACTTTTTACTGTTTCTTAGCACATAACGTTTACACACACACACAGAAGCACGCCCGCAGTGTACACACAGATCGGCACATAAAGTACATTCCGCTACGAAACGTAGGTATATGAGCTACGGCGAATGAAATACTATAAATAAATGAGTGTCCGTGAAAATTTTCACGTGTTAACCACATAGGTTGGAGCCGACATTAATTTATTGTATAAACTATCTTTTAAAATAATAAGAAAAAAAATCTTATTAGACTTAAAAACTTTGCGAGCAACAGTTGGTAGCATGCATTATTATTATTTTTTTGAACAATACCGAGTGAAAGGGGACATTGTTTCAGCCAACGTCATTAGTGACGTCCGTGACACGCAAAAATAAATCGATACACCGAATCGTCACTAAACGTTGCAATGGAATTTTTGGCGCGCGCGAAAAAATGTCCATTGAATGATGCGAAATGTTATTTGTCATTATTGATAATGATAGATTATAATATTTACCGGTTTTATTATATATTCCATGTAACAAATCACACTGAAATTTCATTATTAAAATTTAATCTGGACTCATGAACCACCGTTTTTATGTCGCGAAATATCTAATCACGCTACACCGCACCGGTGTCACAACACACATATAAAAACTTGTTGCTGACGAGAAAATAATATACAATACACTATTAACTGGCGGAAATCAACGCGAGATCCAAGGAGAGTCGCTTATCAAAAAGATAATCTGATAATAAACAATAGCACAGACAAAAAATAAACGTTTGATAAGGCCGTGTAACTTGTTAGAGTTAGGCACTCGCGAAAAAACGGGTGTGTTGGCGTGCCGTCACTCTCCGAATGTATGTCATGCCGAGTGTCATTGACTCTAGCTATGGCACGTAAACAGTGAAGCACACGTGCGGGAAAACTCGGATACACCGCGGAAAGCGATCTGAAACTACGCGAAAACGTTAATACACAATGTAAATCTTAAGTACATTGCAAATGAGACGATAGTCGTTTGCGAACGCGTCCGCAGCGCGACGCAGCCGCGACGACAGTGCAACGGGTGTGCGTAGATAACATGAATCGATATATCGAAATATTTGCAGCAAACTAACTGTAAATGAATCGATTATTCCGAAATTTGAGTGCAGTGGAGAGCTAGCGGCCACGTACACTGCACCTATGTAATCGAGTACATAGAAGAAGTGTGCCGCGTTGACGGACGAGTGACGAGCTGTCAGCCGCTCGGGCACGCTCGGCCGGCGTCGGGTTAGTCTCGCGCCACACTCGCAGGGTACGTGACCGACATTCTCACATTAGAAACAAATAGATCGATAGCATACTATTCATTATAATTAATATTTTCATTCAGAACTACAGACGCGGTTATTCAACTTAAATATAAAACAATTAATTAGATTACGTCTTATTTAATTTTAATCATTGATCAAATATGTAAATACATATGCAAAACTGTTGATAAGTGACAACACTAGAAAGCTGTATAATGATGGTCATAATCATAGGCAACATTTATAAAAAATAAATTTGACATAAACAATTATTTAATTACAAATCCTCAACATCAATACCAATCAATAGTAGCACCCAATTCATTGAAAATGACATATCAACAGAAAAACAGAAAAAAAACTACATAATCACGCACTTAGGCGACGTGAAACACGCCGAATGCGCTGCATTCCTAACACCGCGTCGGGCATCGTCGTGCGACTCCGTCTGTAGTTGTAATGGCGGCAACTTTAACACGATTAGATTATGTCACATTGATTAATAGCGAGAACCGGCCGCGGTCAATCGCATTCGCCATTTGTAACCAAAAACCGGATCTTACAGGTGATTTTTTTTTTTGTTTTCGTACACGTGAAACCAATAAATATGTGCAAGACATCCGCGCCATCGCGGTGCCCCATTTAGACTATAAGAATCACTATCTCACTCACTATCTTACCTGTAAAATGCAAATATATACTAGAAATGTATTGCTTATGAATTATGTTTTTATTTACTTTCTTGTTATTTATTATGGGTATGATAACAAATTAAAAAACAAAACAATATAACAGATAAATTAACTATAATGATAAAATCTAAAAAGTTTCTTGTAGGTATATGACTAACGAATTATAAAAAAAAAGTATAAAATTACAAACAAACATTTTAAAAAATAAGTACTCTGTGATTTTAGAAAGTTAGTGAAAGCGGCTATCGTCTGGACATCCAGCGAACGAACCACTGAAACTTTTTACATCATAATAGAACAAAAAACAAGCAATATTCATACAATTACACTCCATATTACTATTTAAAATACGGCTTTTGTGTCTTTTTACGTCGTACCGTTAGGTACGTTACTGTTAAGTAACAAATCGACTTGACCTTTTTAACAGACTACCACCGGAAATAATAAATACTTTCAAATTTTTTTTAATTATTCTACGAATTTTAGCAGCAGATTAAAAAATGGACAAATCAACATAATATTACAGCGAAGTCGCGAGTATAGTTAGTTATAGTTTAAAGAATAGCTTGCAATTAATTGAAGCCTGAAACCCAACAGTGCGACATCCGCAAGGTCGCTGTTCACAACGCGATGTCAGGTACAGTTTACCCTTGGACTAATTTACTCCTAATTTACGTGTGTAGCTGCGCATTATTTTTACTTAAAACAAAGTTTTACAACATTTTTGCCTTATCTGACGTCCTTCATTCAATACCTTCTAGGAAACAGGTATATAATATATATTTATGTTATTTATATTATCTGTAACTATATTACGTTTGTTGGTTCGTGACACTGACTTTAGGAGATTAAGCGTATGAAGATATTAATTAGCTTTCACTTACGCATATTTAAGATTTGCTTTAATTTTTTAAACGTTCTCACTATAGTTTAATATTAAAATCGAATTAAAACGAATAAATTATATAAAAAAAATCGATATTAGATAGTGTGCATCTTGAAAAAAAATCGAATTCCAAATTCGAAATAAATTCAAATAGGGAACGCTGATCATCGAGAGGGAGCGAGCGAGAGGTTGTTGATTTAATTCATTAGAGCGAGCGAGACAATACGACCGGCGTTAGAAAGGGACAGCGCTATATAATGTAACTTGTGCGTGAGAGGGACAAATGTAGTCTGTTGACGTAGTAGATGAGATAAGGGGCTATCAGCAGTTCTCAGTGCGTTCACACGCGGTCGAGTGCTTGAAAGTATTGTACGGCTTCACTATTTTTATACGTACGCTACTACATTCCACATATCCATTATATTATTATTAAAGTTTATTATTAAAATATAATTTATTATTATTTCTAATATATGTTTGGCTGTAGTAAAAAAATGACGTTTGAATGTCTATTTATAGGTTTGAAGGAAAGCCAATCTCTCATGGCGTATTCAACATCTATATATTGATATTATTCTCGATAATAAAAAATTAAGTAAGTACGTCATTTTTCGGTAAAATTTTATAATAATTTATAAATTAAATAATTTACAAATCAAAGTATCAATCCTACGCTTTATTATAATTTGACATGGCACAAGTTTATTTATTTGTTTTAGAAATTTTATTGGCATTTAAACCTAAATATTTACATAATATTTACATATAACATCATAAAAAATAATTTAAATAATATAAACATTCATTATACACAAATGATATATTCATTTTCCTCGAATGCATATTTTGAATTTTCATGACATCATTTAATGTCTTAATATTAATCGAAATCGCGTAAAGGTGTATCAGAATATCAGCTTATTAATTGTTTTACATACTAGCTGCGTTAAATAAAATTTTCATTTGCAATGAAAAAATGTAGTTTCTAATTTAATAATAACTTATTATAAATGCTTTAGAAAAATAAAAATGTTTAAAGTAAATAATTAATTAAAAATATTTATGACATCAATTAAAAAAATAATTAATTAATATATCAAAATATAATAACAGAGAAAAAAAAACAAATAAAACCTAACACTCGCCTACTCCACGCGATGCAAACGAGGCATCATCCACGCACACATAGAGAAGACGCAGCACACAGCCACAAATTATTATTATTAGTACACGCTCGGGATACATTGAGATGGCGACAAGTAAAAATTTGTTTTAGACACAAACTTACACTCAACTTGACATTCGTTATAATGTAAATTTAAAATTATTTATTCATATTTTATATGAACGATAATATTTTTAAAATTAATTTATTTGTTTGTATTCAAAGAGTAATCTCTGGAACTACGTACTATGTAGTATATTTACATTTTGTAAAATAAGGTTCTTACATGGGAGAGAGATCCCGAGATCATGATTGCTGTAAAGCATTCGAAACGTCGTGAATTTAAAAAATAAAAAAAAAACCGCGAAAAAAACCGAAAAGATGGTTTTATTTAAAATGTCAAATGATCGCGCTGTTCTAAGAAAGTATTAGCACGGTAATGTTATATGTAACATTACCGTGGTATTAGGTTTATTACTCATTTGTAACTCTGAAGTCACAAATAATAAAAAACAAATAAAACAGAGTTTATATCAACTATTTATAATAATTTTCTGTTAATGAAAGTGTTTAGAGGAGAATCGTAGTGAAGAGCAGTTGTATATAACGCTATATACTAATATGCATTACATTTAATTCCGGCTTAAAAATAACTTAAAAATTGACTATATTTTAAGAAAATAATTAAATTACATACATTTTAGTCAAATTTAATAAATTATAGTGTGATAAAAAAATATAAGAATAATTTAAAATTTACATCAAATTTTAATAAAAATGGAGTTTGCAAATAAACCTACAGATAAGTTATCATTTGAATGAATATTCATAACATAAAAATAAAGAAGGAATAAACAATAAATAATACTATCAATACTTTACTTCAAAAACAAAACGTAACATGGTATACAAAGAAATATTAAGTTTTTTTTTAAATATATATGTACTTTACTTCAAAAACAAAACGTAACATGGTATACAAAGAAATATTAAGTTTTTTTTTAAATATATATGTACTTTACTTCAAAAACAAAACGTAACATGGTACACAAAGAAATATTAAGTTTTTTTTTAATATATTTTTATACGTTTGGCTCAGTTTGTAGTGACCTCACTTGCTGTGCCTGTGGTCGCGGGTTCGTTCCCGCTGGGCGTATTCAATTGTGTGATGAGCACGAATGTTTGTACTACAGTCATGGGTGTTTTATATTTATAATATGTATGTATTTAAAGTTATATAAGTGCAGTGTATCAACTATCTGGTATCCATAACACAAGCCTCGTAGCTTACCATGGAACAAGATGGCGCTGTGTGTTAATGTCCCAACATATTTACTAATATTGACTAAATTTCCAAAAATTCTTCGAAGTCCTCTCAGACCTAGCTATACACCCACAACATTACACTATTAAAAGTGTACGCAGAGGTCGAATTCCAAGCATATTTTAAAAAGTCAACAAAACTTAAGATATATATTATAAAGAGGTACAGTTTTTCAGTTTGTGACGTTTTAGGGGGTAATCTCTGGATCTACTGAACCGAGTTAGATGACATTTGGTAAAAAGATAGTTTGAGTCCCTGGGAAGGACATAGTATAATTTTTATCCCAGAAATCATCCCTTAAAGGGATGAAAATGGGGATGAAAATTTGTATTGGGAAGCAATCTAGTTTCAAATATTTTTAAGTAGGTACATATATAGAATACTATTGAAGTGAGATAGCAATATATTCCGTCTTTATTTTTCTCAAGAGAAAAATACTGTACAACTAACTAATCATTTCACAGTGGTAAAACGATGCAAAAAATAATTACAATAAATGATATATTAACAAAATTACTGAAGGAATATCCATTTAATAGTCACCAATAATGAACAACTCAAACAGAAGTAAACTACTCTAAATATAAATCATTCATACGAAAACAAGGAAAATTTCATAATATGTATACGTAATATAAATATTAACGGTTAATCACAAATAATGCTTTGAGTAAATTAAAACGTATCTACTGCGTCACACATAGCTCTCTTTCCTAAAAATAAAACTAACAGACTGATTTTAAATGCATCAATCTCATATTATGTTGAAATTAAAAAGGATTTCTTAAACAGTCAAATAAGTTACTAACAAGGAACATATCTACTTTTCTATATAAATAGGCAAAGCCATAGCAGTTCAGAGCCTTTTTCTCCTCGGTTTGTCAAGCGATATTCTTTTTTTTTTTGCTTAATAGGCTATTGACGAGCTTTAGTTTTTATCATTAAAAAAAATGATTATGATCGAATTTCGACCACTGAGCGAACACTAATATAAATTAAACTACAAAGAAAGTAAAGAAGGGTCGGAAAGTGCATTGTATTTAAAAAATTATAAATTAACAGTTATCGTCTAATTTCAATAGAGTTGATCAGAAGTAGTAATATTAAAAAATTTGACCGGCTAAGTTTATCCTGTTTTGCAGAAAAAAGCTTACGAGAAACGGTTAAAAAACGCGATTTTTTAAAACCTTAAACTAACAATCAGTCTGTCTGACTGTCAACTAATAAGCCGTAGTCTAAGTACCATACTTTCATATTTTTAACATCACAAATTACAAATATTCATAAATTAAAAAAAAATCATCTCTATTATACCCCGTTTAGAAAAAACCATACTTCTAATAATCATACAAAACTCCACGCTTCTAGACCTGGTGATTAAATCTGTGTATCGTCTGTTAACAAAATAATAAAATAATTTAAGAGTTCTAAGTAAAGAGGTATAGTCTTAGATAAATGGCTATTTGATTTATCACCCACTTTAATCATTAGCAATTGTCAACAATGCAAGAAAAACTGCGACCACCAACTCGTTTGTAATACATACATTATTAAGCAGGTTATCGTAAAATTTTAAACTTTAACTTGACATGTGCAATTGAAGAGGTAATATTTTATTGAAGCAGCTGGCAGCTACGATAAGTTGTTTGACCAACTTAAAAAAAAGGAAATGATAATTAGCTGAATGTAATTAACACTTTCCTACATACTCGTAACATAGGAAATACTAACTGTGACCGTTGGGGCACAAATATTACTGTTACGGTTCGCAGGTTCTATTCCTTTATTATATTATATTGACCAAAAGCGGAGAATAAAATGACATGTCACTTTCTATCACGTAAGGGAACTTTTTAGTGTGTTTGAGCCAGACAGACAGCTTTACGGATTCTGCACCTATTAAAAGATTATTTTTTAATATTTTATACATATAAACTATCCATTAATAGTAGCTATATTTAAATTCGAGAAAAAAAACCTCCATCGTTAAAGGGCCCATTAGTTATATTTTTAAGTTTACTCAAACTTTATTTTGAAAAACATTTTTTTAAAAATTAACCCACAAACAAACAGACAAAGCCACAAACAATAAATGTTTACACAAAAATAGAAACGAAATAAATAATAGAAGAACTCAGCTATCACCTTCTGTGAGTACGAGGTGGCGTGTTGAACCCACTCACACATAAGCGCGCCCGGCGCTGTGTGCGTGAAGACAATAAAACCCGCTGGTGTGCGAGCTAGCGTGATTGAGCAGTTGAGATCTTTGGTACAGGTAGTATTATGTAAAAACACTGGCATGTCTTAAAAACGTGAGATTTTGCAAAGAGAGTGAGTGGAAATTAATTAATAATTTCCGTAATTGTCTCTATTTTTTAATATATTTAAATTGAGATAAGTTTTTAAATTTTGAACCGATTGAAATAAAACAAATACTAAATGCTAAGTGAAGCTTACCATAATACATTAGTGAAAACCGCATGCAAATCTTTTAAGCCGTTTCTGAGATTAGCACGCACAAACGAACAGACAAACAGGCAAAAATTCTAAAAATCATTGTTTTGTGTTCTAGTATGTTAATAAGGAGTTCCAAAAATAGTTGTCAAATATCTTCCATGTACAGAAAGGGATCAGTTACACTTTTATTACCTATACTCGTCTGTATAGATATAAATAACTGTAAAGGTAATATCCCAAGACATTATATAACAAAACATACTTACATTACTAATCTAGTTCTAATCTGTATAAATATTATAAATACGAAAGTTTGTGAGTCTAGATGTTTGTTACTCTTTTACGCCAGAACGATCCGGATGAAATTTGGCACAAAGATAGATTATAGTCTGGAATAACACATAGGCTACTTTTTATCCCGGAAAAATGTACGGTTCCCGTGGGATAGGTTTGTTTTTGTTTTTGCGAACACGAGCGAAGCGAGGGTCAGCCGCTAGTATCGAATAATTGATTAAACCGCTACACCTAATCATCATAATCAGTTTGATACATTCAACGAAAATATAATTTCACATATAAAAACAAGTAAATACTAATAAAAATATTATATAAACAAACTAAAAACACAAGCAAAACCCTGTAACAGAGCCAGTATAACCCAAATAGCACACACGGTACAAAACTGCTCGATCGCACTATCTAACCCACACACGCGAGTGTACGCATTAAAACAATTATGTGTATGAACCGACCTTACGGAATTCCAAAATTCAAACTTAACTTTTTTTTCCGAAACGTCAACGTTTGTCAGCGGCCAGGTATTTTTTGGAGTGATAATAAAACAATTATTTTGGGTCACCAGTTCGAATCTAGGATTGACAATGACATCTGACGTTTAATAATTATAATTAAAGAAATGCCTATACTTCTGTACATATAATAAAATTCTTAACTGGGTCGAATCTGTACATTAAATATTTTTTGGAAAATCTTATTGAAATATATAGTCATTTTAAATAAAACTATCTTTTCGGATTTTTTCGCGGATTTATTTTGTTTTTTGGTTCCCGACGTTTCGAATGCTTTACAGCAATCATGGTCACGGGAGAGACTGAGGTTATAGACGTCTCAAAGGCGTTATACACTTGTTACAGACAGTGCCTACCCACTATTTTACAAAAATGATTTCAAAAATTCAAACATGAGCTCACAGTACCTTACATATTTGTTGATTTTAATTCTAATTTTTTTTTATAAGTATTATAATCAAATATAGCAATATTATTTATTTCATTTTAGCTGTTATTATTATAAAAATATCATTTTGAAAAAAAACTTTATTCATTACTAATATTATTTAGTGTTGCTATTAGGTATTATTTTATGTGTAGCCATAAAGATTATTAAAAATTTAAAAATATTAATTATTTATTTAAGCAATATTATTCTTTTATATTATATAATTTAAAAGAATTTAAAATATTAATTTAGATCGCTATTATTTAAAGTTAAAATATTAAGCAACACTATTACTACCTTTGTAGATAAAAAAAATATAAATTTAACGCAATACGAGTAGAACCCCAAAACAATGATTTTTAGAATTTTTGTCTATTTATCTGTGCGTTTGTGCGCGCTAATCTCAGAAACGGCTAAACCGATTAGGGTGCGGTTTTCACTAATGAATTTTGGTAAGCTTCACTTAACATTTAGTATTAGTTTTATCTCAATCGGTTCATAAATAAAAAAGTTATGTCAATTTAAAGAATCACCAAGCGACTCACCTTCGCAAGGGGAAGCGAGGGTGAGTCGCTAGTAGGCACTGTATCTACGAGTATTATTTAAATAAAAGTAAGTGTTCAGTGGTCCAACTTCAACCATAATCTATTGAAAATTTGAGGAAAACATGAATAGAATTTACTAATCTATATAAAAAAAAACTATATCCAATTTTTTTATTGGCAACACTAAAGCTCATCAATAGGTACTAAACAAAAAAAAAACGCGTGTGTGTACTTATGTACGCACGTAAGAAGTTATACTTCTCTGGCATAACAGAACAAAAATAGCTAAAGATTTCATCCCGTATGTCACAACTCTCTGTTTGTAAAAGGAACGCAGCTAACTTCATCATGTCGCTTTTTGGCTGCCGGCGTGCGCGCGCATCGTTAAAATTTTACTCTCACAATTTTTCCGAACGTGCAAAAAGAAGTATAACTTCATAAAAAAAAAACTAAATCGGTTGACAAACAGAGAAAATGCTAGTGATGTGCGTAAAGCGCCGCGTGCTCCATCTTGTCATTCAAGTCGAGATACTATCAAAGGGGCAGTTAATTAACAGCAGTTTTGATGCAACTTTGACATTATCACGATATATATATATATTGAAAGGTGTATAGATAATATCATTATTTACACATTGATATTTATAGAATAATTATGTGAGAAACAAGTTTTTATCTGTGGGCTTATTTGTTTTTTTTTAATATAATCTATACATACATACATATAATAAAAATGTAACGAAGCCGAATCTGTACATTAAATATTTTTTTGGAAAATCTTATTGAAATAAACATTATTATCGATGCAGAGGCCGAATCTATAGTTTTTAGAATTTTTGTCTCTCTGTCTGTTACCGCATCACGGAATAACCACTGGAGGGATTTTGATGAAATTTAGTATGGTAATAGCTGGTTATCCGGGTCAACATATAGGTACTTTTTACCACGGGAAAATGTCTCATTTCTGAGAAAAAATACAAAAACTGCAATGTAAGAGTATATTAATATGTAAAATTTAAGAATTTGGTTTTTGGTCATCTTAACGCGGGCAATGCTAGTCTATACAAATATTATAAAGAGGTAAAGTTTTTGAGTTTGTGAGTTTTTTTTTTATTTATTTATTTAGGTTTACCAACAATTGTTTACACGGTTTATATAATTAGTATACAATCTTAGATGTTCTTGTAATAGTGTAACAATTACTTAAAGGTAAACTCCACATGCAAATTGATTATAATGATAACAAAGAAGTCAGTAAAAATAATGCCTAACTTTCACAAAAATTAACTTAACCATACCATACCAAGAAACGCAACATTAGATTGTTATTCTTTTATATAATTAACAACAGATTTGTAAAATTTAGCAGCGGAATCATGATATAGATCGATGCTACCGCTACAAATGTTAATAATTTCACATAATCTTGCATAGGGGGAGTTGGAACCTAAAATGGTTCTACTTAGGGGTGGGCAAAGTGGCGTAATGGGTTGACGAGGAATTCTAGATGGGACTCTTAACTTAAAAAAACTGTAACAAGTGTGGAGAATCGATATGATTGTTTATAATCTTATATACAAACATTGCATCAGTTATTGTTCTACGCGTTGATAGGGAGACCATGTTAAAATGATCTAAACGACTTTTATATGATTTTACTCTTTTATGTATGCCTACAGAATATGATAAATGCCAGAGAAAACGTTTCTGTATGCGTTCAAGACGGAGTGTGTGTGTAGCATAGTGAGGACGCCAAACTACACTACAATATTCTAAAATACTTCTAATTAAAGTGTTATAAAGTAATATTTTTGTTTTTATGTGTTTAAAAGATTTTGACGAAAGTTTGAAGAAAGTTTGTGACGTTATAGGGGGTAATCTCTGGATCTTCAGAAACGATTCAGATGAAATTTGGTAAGAAGATAGTTTGAGACCCTGGGAAGGACATAGGATACTTTTTATCCCGGAAATCATCTCTTAAAAGAGTGAAAATGGGTATGAGTTTGTATGAGGAATCAAGTAAGGGACGAACCCGAGTGAAGGCTGAGTCGCTAGTAACGAATAAAGTAGCATACGACGCAAGTATCTCGACATTCTAGTAAAAATATGTTTTCTTTGTAAAATACCGTGAAAACAGAAAATAGAGATGGCGAGATAAATAACTAACTAAAAAGCTATTTTCGCAAACGAAAAATATTTTTTTAGGAGAATTTAATATATACGTGTATATATATATATATATATATATATATATATATATATATATATATATATAATTATTTTTATGCTGTACAACTCAATTCGGTTAAATGAAACATCATCAAAAGAGATTCAGTATTGGAATGTTATTGCATCTTTAAAAACTCTTATTTATAAACATCGTAATCATTATTTTTTTAGTTAAAAGTTACACCTGTATTGAATACCTTACCCTTTTGATGTCGGTGTAAAATTTGTCACAAATAATCGAACCTGCGACTATACTAAAGAAAGAATGTCACTAAAATTCATTTTTTGTAAGTGATAGATAAAGCTACTCGTATATAGAATACTAAAGACTCACCCTTGCACCGCTCGGGTTCGTTATTCGGATACCTACATACTTACATTTTACCGGTTATTACAGATCTCTCAAAAATGAGATATTTTCCTATTATAAAAAGTATACCTTATGTTGACTCGGATAACCAACTATTATGATACCAAATTTAATCAAAATCTGTCCAGTGGTTTTCTTGTGCTGCGTTCCCAGACAGACAGACAAAAATTCTAAAAACTATAGATTCGGTCTCTGTATCGATAATAATGTCTATTTCAATAAGATTTTCCACAAAATATTTAATGTACAGATTCGACTTAGTCACAATTTTATTATATGTATAGATAGATGTATTATAGAACGTATATTTGCACTTACAAACATTTTAAGGTCGACTAGGTTATCGTTACTATTAATGTTAAAAAAACATACACAAGTTAAATTCGTAAACAACAAACACGTGTAATATAATAATATTTGTGATGAAAATCTAAAAGATATCACTACTTCGAAATATACTT